ATAGAAATAAAGTGGTCGCCATGGCCGAAATCGGTCGGATGAATCATCATCATCATCAGGTACTGGTGGTAGGACCTCTTGTGAGTCCGCACGGGACCACCACCCTGCCTATTTCTGCCGTGAAGCAGTAATGCGTTTCGGTTTGAAAGGCGCGGCAGCCGTTGTAACTATACTGAGACCTTAGAACTTATATTTCAAGATGGGGGCGCATTTACGTTGTAGATGTCTATAGGCTTCAGTCACCACTTAACACAAGGTGGGCTGTGAGCTCGTCCACCCAGCTAAGCAATAAAAAAAATGTACCTAAAAGCACCGTTAATGGATCGGGAGGATCCGTAATGACGTGTTTAGGGCGACGTCGACTGTTTACCATTCGGTCCACAGGATCGGGTATGTGTCAAGAATCAGTTGTCGCCCTAACACAGCGCCCCACTGTCATATACCACGGGACCACAGCCGTCATTAAAACAATGAATTACCTTTATGAATCTATTTTCTGTTTGATTTAAGTTACGTAATTGTTCCGGTTTCCAAACTCCCAAAGCAGTTTTTCTGTGCCCCACACTCAACTATTATTAATATACTATTCTGTTATATAATAAGAAAAAAACATTTAAAGCCCTTAATTTAGCCCTCTTTTATAGCTAATGTTAAAAATTCAACATTTAATAGTATTAAATAATAAACTATAAAAGACTGAAGTCTCTTTTTACTGCATGACATACTTTCACTTCATTGCACTGAAAAAAAGTGCGTGCGTACAAAGTACACATGTCAGAAGTGAAACTTTTTTGGCGAACTAATTTATAAGTCTTGCTTATATTTATACAAATCTAAAACTTTAGATTTCCGAGACTTAGAGGAAGGGAAAAAGGAAAATATGTTCCCGCCAAAAGTCTGTCAAACCTCAGTGTTGACAGTCACATTATGTTTAGATTTCTAAATTGTAAATGGCTAATATATTGCCAATTGAATTGACTAATTTAATTTCATGCTATTTGATTAATGTTCCAAATTCTTTTCATTTCATGTCAATTCCTATTAACATTTTTCACAAAAAAATTATAAAATATTAGGCTGTATGGTATGATACATTTGCCTTTCCAGTTGGAAAAATACAACAACTACTACTACTGACATTTGACAAGTACTTAATTTCAATAGTAGTTTGATGNCAATTGAATTGACTAATTTAATTTCATGCTATTTGATTAATGTTCCAAATTCTTTTCATTTCATGTCAATTCCTATTAACATTTTTCACAAAAAAATTATAAAATATTAGGCTGTATGGTATGATACATTTGCCTTTCCAGTTGGAAAAATACAACAACTACTACTACTGACATTTGACAAGTACTTAATTTCAATAGTAGTTTAATGTCACTTCCGTTGCATACCTGCGTGACGTTCTGTAAAAATTTTACCCCCAAGTGCCTAAAGAAGTTTCACTTCAAAAAAATCCATTTTAAAACTTAAAGCGTTTCAAAACATAAAGGTTTTTCTTAATACAATATATTTTAAACAAAAACTAGCTGACCCGGCAAACGTTGTTTTGCCATAGAAATTATTTCTAGGAAATATAAATAACCTAGACACCGATTGCAGCGCCATTTGCCGGGCTGATTTGTGAATCTAAACCATTCTCGAATCCACCTGAAGGTACACAGAAAACTTCATTATCATTCATCATTTCAGTGACAAACGCACGCACAGAAAAAATTTTTATTATAAAGAAGATATCAACACGAAATTACAATTTATCATCGTTTGAACTAAATATTTTATCAATGTTTACTTCGAGATATAATTTTCATTGACAAACTTAAATGAGGTGTCGTCTGTAGCTACGTGTAGTTTTATTGGTTTTACCATCGCACCGCCCGCCACCGGAGTAGAGTTCATCCATACTACCTGGAGCCACTGCGGTCATCCACAGTGCGTTTCCAGAGGTCTTTTTTGCCACGTACCATCCGGCTTTGGAATGAGGAGTGTTTCCCGAGCACTATGACATATCCTTCTTCAAACGGTATACAGCGGCTTGGCTCTGCCCCTGGCATTGCTGAAGTCCATGGGCGACGGTAACCACTCAGTATCAGGTGGGCTGTAAAAAAAAAAGTTTAGCGGCCAGACCTTGAGGTCTAAGTCCTAAGCTGTATGGCAATGATTGTCGCTCGTGAGCACAATTGTAGAGTTAGCCGGCTTCGGTCATCGTCCTCGTCGAACCCGTTGCTTGCGACGAAGGGCTCGATGAGTAAATTAACCCATAGACACAGCCCACTGAGTTTCTCGCCGGATCTTCTCAGTGGTGAGTTCAGTTCTTACCTTTGTAGGACCTCTTGTGAGTCCGCACGGGTAGGTACCACCGCCCTGCCTATTTCCGCCGTGAAGCAGTAATGCGTTTCGTTTTGAAGGGCGGGGCAGCCGTTGTAATTATACTGAGACCCTTAGAACTTATATCTCAGGATTGGTGGCGCATTTACGTTGTAGATGTCTATGGGCTCCAGTAACCACTTAACACCAGGTGGGCTGTGAGCTCGTCCATCCATCTAAGCAATAAAATAAAAGTTGGTCGCGTATTCGATCCGGTGGTAGATTCTGCGAAGCACGACTCTTGCTAGGGTTCGCGTTAGCAACGTCGTCAGGTTTGAGCCCCGTGAGCTCACCTACCAGTTAAGGTTACGCTGATATGAAATTTTTTACAATAACATAATTTTTTCATACACTATTTACAATTCAAATTTATAAAAATTTTGTTTTCTATTTTTTAGTTGGATTTTCTATAAAACGCGTATTTTGTTAGTTTTTTTAAACTATTAATATTTTTAATTTTTTAGTTGAATTTAAATTTTTTCATTTTTTTTCTTTATTAATTTTTTTTTAATAATATTCAATTGTCATCGGTCCTTAATAAGTATACCAAATTTCGAGTTAATCTGACGTTTTGAAGGGGGTCAAAATCATGTTCAAAGATTCCGTTACAAACATACATACATACGTCTGAAGTTAATAAAAGCGTATCAAAAAGTTAGCCGGCACTGCGTATCGTCCCACCGCTAATATATCATTCGCTTCGAAACGACAACAACCCAGAGTTCACAGACCATCGTGGTAATTACATTATTTACAATTAAAAACAATATATAACTCATTCAAGAAAGTACCGGGAAAACATTAATAGTCCATAAAAAATTAGTTGTTCAATAAAATTTAATTTATTACTTTACAGTATGCTCCTTCAGAAAATATTTTTTTATGATTAGAGGGATTAGTCGTGGCCCGGGGGCCCTTCCAGTTTCACCAGGACAGGTGGGCGAACTAGGACTCAGCCAGGAGGGGTAGGATTTGCTAACAGCTACCCGAGCGCCTCCATAGGAGAACTAACAACTCAAGAGCAGATCCTTCGCGAATGAATCTACTACCGGATCGGAATCGCGACCCGCTGAGAAGATCCGGCGAGAAACTCAGCCGGCTGATGTTTAGGTTACTCGTCGACCTCTTTGTCGAGTTCGACGAGTACGGTTACCGGGGTCCCTAAGCCTGCTCCTACTGTTAGAGCTGAAGGCGTCTAATGCGAATAAACGATATACTGAACCCAACGAATGATCCAATCGTGAAAACATCTTTTAAACGCTTTTCCCGGGATCGAGTTTAGTTCTTCAAGAATTCAGATTTACGTCTTCTACCGGATATAGTCGGGTGCTTAGAGGTGGTAATTTGAGTTTAAGAAAAATATAGGACATTGTGGGATGAGATGTCCTACTTTCTTCCCGCGGTGCACATACTATTTTTTCTACTACCAGGCTGAAAGTTCGTGAAGTACCGAGCCAGGGTCCAGGGGCGAAGCCTTGGCGGGGGGTAGAGGGGGGCGGAACCCCCCATACTCATAAAAAGCAATTTAACTGTTTTTTAATTTTCAAATAAACTACTACTAATTGAATAAGAACTGTCTGATGAACTCATCTTTGTTTAATACTACACTATTAAATTTTATTGCCTTTTGTTTATTTTAACTTTTACACTAAACACAATATTGCAAACTACCCGAGCACAACAATGGCGGAGAACTTTAGGTGCGTGTGAGCAGACGTAGACACTAACGCGCATGCGCACCTGTCAGTACCCAGGGAAGAAAAGTTACACTTTCTTCCCTGTACAGCGGGAGGAAATGTCCGACTTTTCTCCCTTGGTGCTCAATGTACTATTTTCGTAATGAAACGCGCGCTGCTCCAAACAATATGGCCGCTTCTGCCGGCGACCGTTATTTGACATGAGCGCGATAATTAATCCGTGACCGGTTTACCAGCCGTAACGAAATAACTATTATTTTATTATTTAAACGCCGACTTGAATGATGGACGGGCCGTAATTTTTTTTTATTGCTCCGATGGGTGGACGAGCTCACAGCCCACCTGTTGTTAAGTGGTTACTTGAGCCCATAGAACTTTACGACGTGAGCCCTTTCACCGGATTTAAGCAATAAAAAATAAATTAAAATTTGCTAACATCAAGAGACGTCTGAGTAACTTAAAAATTTACACACGCATTACCTAGCTCCAATGACGATACAATAGTTTGATTATTTTGGTTTTAATAACCTTTATTTTTAATTCGACTTCAAATTCGACACCAAACGGCCGTCTGGTGTAGTGGTAAGTGACATGGTCACTACACAAGGGGGTCGCGGATTCGAATCCCGCCAAGGGAAGATATTTGTATGATAAATATAAATGTATTTTCCAGGGCTATGGATGTATATTAAATATATGTATGTGTATAATAAAAATCTTACATTTATTTCCGTTATCTGGTACCTGTAACACAAGTTCTTTACGAACTTAGCACGGGACTAGTTAACGTGGCGTGATTGTTAGTAACTATTTATTTATTATTTATTTATTTATTTATTTATTTATTATTTATTTAAATTCAATTAGGCTTTTTTTACGTTATAAACTACACCTATTATCGATAGTCAGTTAATAATTTTATTGTATTAGCAATTTTAAGGTATCTTGTGTATACAAAAGAAGGTAATAGCGTGTGAATTGTCATATAAAAAAAACTTGGAATACCCCTTCAATACTTACAACGTAAAAACAGTTAAAAACAAAGAAAAAACGTACTACCAACAAAAGAATCAGTGTTAGAAGTGACAGTGACAGTGACAGTGACAGTGTCACGGAACGGATGTGACAAAAATGCAGAGACAGTTGAGCAATGTCAGTTTTCATTCTTACCAGGACTACGAACCTAGCAGGCGTTATGGTGAGTATCCCCGGGAATCAGTTCAACTGATCTGACCTGATACTATGCTCCCGGTATTCATCAGGCGAGACTTATAATAATACTAGCTATACCCGCCCGCTTCCCTGGGCATTTAAAATTAACATTATTATTTCTTACCCCACAAAGATTCTCATCATTAACGCCCCCGCAACTGGTGTAGGGAGTCCAACGCTCATATAAATATTAGTCTATCCATTAAGTACGTGTATTTTCTACATGGATACCAAATTTCAAGTCAGTCGGATGCACGGTTCATTAGTTATAACGGAACATCCGTAAAAACCACTGTAGATTTATATATTAGTAAGTTACTAGCAACCCGTAATTTATCATTGATTATCAAAATAAGATAGCAGATTTTTTTCCTACTTACTTGTTGACTTATCGTTATATTTTTAGTAATTCAAATTATATCTTTATAAATTATAGCTTATGTATTATATTATTGTGATGTGTTACCTATATTATTGTAAAATTTGGCCACTTCGATAAAGCGGCACGACACGAGAACCCTCTCATCGTGGCCGCCGGTAACTACATTCCTGATCCTGCGGACAGAATGGAAAGCAGTCGACGTCGCCCAAAACACGTCATTTCGGATCCTCCCGATCCACTAACGGTGCTTTTAGGTACCACAAGCACCGGTCATCGTTCTCGTCGAACCCGTCGCTTGCGACGAAGGGCTCCACGAGTAAATTAACCCTCAGACACAGCCTACTGAGTTTCTCGCCGGATCTTCTCAGTGGGTCGCGTTTCCGATCCGGTGGTAGATTCTGGCTCTTGCTAGGGTTCGTGTTAGCAACGTCGTCAGGTTTGAGCCCCGTGAGCTCACCTACTAGTTAAGGTTACGCTGGAATAGCCTCTCAAGGATACCAGCGTTTTTAAAAAAAAAAAAAAAGTAATGTTTCGGCAAAATCAATTCAGTAGTTTTTGCGTGAAAGAGTAACAAACATATATCCATACATACTTAGGCAGCGGCTTGGCTCTGCCCCTGGCATTGCTGGCGTCCATGAGCGACGGTGACCACTTACCATCAGGTGGGCCGTGTGCTCGTCTGCCTACAATGGCAATAAAAAAAAACATACAAACATTCGCGTTTATAATATTAGTAGGATTCTATACATTTAAGTAATAACTGGAAATAGAGTGACTCAAGAAAGACATGAGTGGAAAAGGTTTAAGGAGGCCTTTGTCGATTGGCAAACAGATCTGCAGAAAATAAGAAAAATTCAAATAATAGGCTAGATTAAGGTTTACATTAAATTTAAGTTTTCTATATATTATATTTAGTCATATAATTGTAATATGGATCTGAATAAAAGTCTATTCAATTCAATAAATGGAAGCAAACCACGCACGGTCATCCGGCCTCAAATTAGGATTCCTTGTGTTATTGGTACCATAGACTGACATACATACTTATATACGCTTCAATATATACACATATAGCTAATAAATACCCAGACAAAGATCAAACCTGTTTATCACACGAATGTTTGCCCGATACGAGAATCGAACCCACGACCCTAGGCGCGACAGTCAGAGCCGATAACCACTGCACTATCCAGTCAATATGCACGTTAACATTGTATTTGAACCTTGAGGAATACCTCTTGACTCAATTACCTTCTCAATCTGTAACTAAGACTCGAAGTTAGTAGTCCTCATCGGGGTAGTTGGGAGAAGAAGGCTGAGCCAGGAGGGAGAAGGATTGTTTATAATTATCACGGGGTAGTCGAATAGCTCAAGGGTAGCTGCTTTGTGAGTGCATTTATTTACCCCCGGATCAGACTCAACTCGCTGAGAAGATCCTCAGAGGAAGTCGCTGATTTTTTTTATTCCTTATTTGGGTGGACTAACTCACAGCCCACCTGATGTTAAGTGGTTACTGGAGCCCATAGACATCTACAACGTAAATGCGCCACCCACCTTTGAGATTGAATTTATATAGTCTCAAGTATAGTTACACGGCTGCCCCACCCTTCAAACCGGAACGCATTACTGCTTCACGTTAGAAATATGTGGGGTGGTGGTACCTAGCCGTGCGGACTCTCAAGAGGTCCTACCACCAGTGAAATCCCGTTAAACCGTTTCATTCCCAAATTCTACGTGACTACTACATCTAACATGCCTATTTCTACATACCATTATTAGTTTTCGATCTGTTTTAATCATATTGCTCGTCGATATTCATTCTAAAAGATTCTCAACGAGTAGTCGTATGAACCAACATAAAGGTCTCTTTTTTTCTTCCCCAGGGCCGCAGTATGAGCCTGGAGGCTACGCCACGGTAGTACAGCAACGTACCAACATGACCCAGAGGGAGGACGCCCTCAAGTTCGAGCAGGGTCGCATCAAGGCCCTGCAGGAGGAGAGATTGCACATCCAGAAGAAAACCTTCACGAAATGGATAAATTCGTTCCTGCAGAAGGTCAGTATGTCGCTAAAACAACCGCATCCGCGTCTGTATGTCAGTATGTCACTAAAGCGTCAAGGTAACTAACTGGTGGTAGGACCTCTTGTGAGTCCGCGCGGGTAGGTACCACCGCCCTGTCTATTTCCGCCGTGAAGCAGTAATGCGTTTCGGTTTGAAGGGTGGGGCAGCCGTTGTAACTATACTGAGATCTTAGAACTTATATCTCAAGGTGGGTGGCGCATTTACGTTATAGATGTCTATGGGCTCCAGTAACCACTTAACACTAGGTGGACTGTGAGCTCGTCCACCTATCAAAACAATAAAAAAAAAAGGTCGCGACCCGTGGGACAATGGCATTGTATTACATGCAACTGAAGATAACAAAAAAAAAACACGAAACATTCGGCCGGTGTCCCATTTCACGTTACTCTCTCAACTCTGGCGAATCCGGCTTTTGTTCATTATTTTCGGCCCATGGACGCAGCGAAGCCAAGGTTCTGTTACACGGTACTAACTGCCTACCTCACGAAGGTAGATTTTTTGAAATGCCATTGAGGAGAGATTCTCAAATGCTAAGGTCCTTTACGAAAACGCCTATGAATCAAAGACATATGCTGTTTCCGGGACGCACCGCCCTTAAAATCCCAAGGTTGAATGAATATGCGCTTTAGAGCACAAGGAAGGCTTTCGGGAAATGCCATGGAGGAGAGACTTTCAAATGCAAAGGTTCTTTACGAAAACGCCTTTGAACCAAAGAAATGTATGCGGTTTCTGCGATGTAACACCCTTAAAATCCTAAGATTCCGCTCTGGACTACAAATTTCTCTGCTATCTACCAGTATAACTCTTGTATTAACACATTGATATGCTAAAGCAAAGTCACTTACTCCTTATTTTCATGTCATGTGGTTAAAGCAAAGTTTTTTATTTTTTTATTGCTTAGATGGGTGGACGAGCTCACAGGCCACCTGGTGTTAAGTGGTTACTGGAGCCCATAGATATCTACAACGTAAATGCGCCACCCACCTTGAGATATAGCTTCTAAGGTCTCAGTATAGTTACAACGGCTGCCCCGCCCTTCAAACCGAAACGCGTTGCTGCTTCACGGCAGAAATAGGCGGGGTGGTGGTACCCACCCGCGCGGACTCACAAGAGGTCCTACCACCAGTAAACTTAGTCACTTACTCCTTATTTCCATGTCGTATAAACCTTCAGGCCTCACCACAAGAACCCTATGCACCAATATTTTGAAGTAAAACGGCTATTTTAACTGCAACGCACTTAAAAACAACGCGTCCTCAACGGAATTATCGGTTATCATTCTATTTATACGTTAATTAGTCATTCTCGTGGTGTCTGCTTTAACTGGTTTTCAGATGATGTCATGCCAGTTAATGACTTGCGTACAAAACTATGTTCGAAGAGGAGGTTTTTTGTTTGCTTTGATTGTGCTCGCAGGATCGTAGAGTTTAGGGGTCATAGGCCGCTGGTCACTTGGGACAAGTGTCGAAGTTGAAGTTACATTGTATAAGGGCTGATCTAGCCTGGAAAGGGGGAGGGAGTGGTAGTAACTAGTATGGCCTCTGCGTGCTTATATTTCAACAAGTAATTGCGTGTTTTTTGTTTAAAAAAAACACGTGTGGCACTCGGGGACTGCCGCGGTAAAGCTATTGCATAGCGTTTTTATCAATTTACGCAATTATAATTTAATATTAAAACAATAATAAAATAAGACGACGCTATATTTATAAACATTAACAAAAGCAAAACATTCACTGTCCCCTTCACACTCATAAGCTAGACAGCGCGAGGGGGAGATGGGCAGACTTTTCATGATGCGCATGCAGTCAGACGTCACACCGCGCGCTTATTCACAAACACTACGAAACTGCAACGTGTGAATGTGTTGAATGCGAGTTACATGGTAGGCTGAGTGGGGTGTTAGGTTTTATTTTCGTTACGGAATTTCTTGATTCGGTCGCCGCCCTCAAAGCCCGCGATAAAAGCTATGCAATAGCTTAAAAATGTATTAATTTACGAGTTTGTGTATGAACAATAGGCGCACGCAATGAACTCCTTTCGTTAAGTCCTGGTGGTACTGGTGGTAGGACCTCTTGTGAGTCCGAAAGGGTAGGTACCACCGCCCTGCCTATTTCTACCGTGAAGCAGCCGTTGTAACTATACTTGAGACCTTAGAACTGATATCTCAAGGTGGGTGGCGCATTTACATTATAGATGTCTATGGGCTCCGGTAACCACTTAACACCAGGTGGGCTGTGAGCTCGGCCACCCATCTAAGCAAAAAAAAAAGTCCCTTTCTTAATCAAAAAACCAGATTTGCTGTTTACCGAAATGTCCCGAGTCAAACCCGATCTCACAATTTAACGAAGATAATGTCGTATTTTAAATGTTCATCTCGTTCCAGGCCCGGATGGAGGTGGAGGATCTATTTGTGGATTTGGCTGACGGGCGGCGCCTCCTCAAACTCCTGGAGATCATCAGCGGGGAGCGTCTGCCGCGACCCAACACCGGCAGGATGAGGGTCCACAAAATCGAAAACGTCAACAAAAGCTTGAGTTTCTTACACACAAAGGTGGGTTGTTATCTATTGTCTAGATGGATGGACGAGCTCTCGGCCCGCCTGGCGTTAAGTGGTTACCGAAGCCCATAGACATCTACAACGTAAATGCCGTCACGTACCTTGAGATATGAATTGTAAGATCTCAGTTTTAACAATACAACGGTTGCCCCGATCTTCAAACCGCATTACGGCCTTACGGCAGAAATAAGCAGGGCGGTGGTACCTACCCGTGCGGACTCACAAGACGTCCTACCACCAGTAAAGATACATGGAATTAGTAGTAACATGGTAGTTTCTTGCAGATTCTTCTCAGTACTGAGGCTGGGTATCGAATCAATGTTAAAACTCTCATACTATTAGTATTTATTACAGGTATTTAAAGGCATAAATAAACATAGTTAATACTAATTTTATATTATGTTTTTTTTCTTTTTCTTATTGCTTAGATGTGTGGATGAGCTCACAGCCCACCTGTTAAGTGGTTACTGGAACCCATAGACATCTACAACGTAAATGCACCACTCATCTTGAGATAAAAGTTCTCAGGTCTCAGTATAGTTACAACGGCTACCCCACCCTTCAAGCAGGCATTATTGCTTCACGGCAGAAATGGGCAAGGCAGTGGCACCAACCCGCGCGGACTCACAAGAGGTCCTACCACCAGTAAAAAATGGATCGTCTTCCATTCATTTTACCCATCACTAAGAGTCTCTCCAGGTTGTCAGAGGGTTTTCTTGGTATACGACCAGAATATCATGTCCGATGCTGTCACGGTTTCCGTGGTGACGAACGAAGGACTGAATCATACCTCAAAACTGATTTCAATCATTCGATTATTTAAATTTACATTTCTTTTAGCCTAAAGGATAAGACGTCCGGTGCATTCGTATGTAGCGATGCACCGGTGTTCGAATCCCGCAGGCGGGTACCAATATCCTTAATGAAATACGTACTTTTGGGAGGTTTAAACGACAAAGGGAAGATCTTCCACCGAGCGGGTGATATTGCTCGGTAGACCGACGGTCCGAATGTTGTTGTTCGGAACTTGTATATATGCAGGCTTATCTTGAAAATGTCGTAAGCCAGATTCAGGCATCCGTCAATTATCTTGCGTTGTATGATGGCTACCCGCCACATTTTTTTTTTATTGCTTAGATGTGTGGACGAGCTCACAGCCCACCTGGTGTTAAGTGGTTACTGGAGCCCATAGACATCTACAACGCAAACATACTTAACAAATGTTCACGATTGACTTCCACGGTGAAGGAATAATAACATCGTGTAATAAAAATCAAACCCGCAAAATTATAATTCGCGTAATTACTGGTGGTGGGACCTCTTTTACTCATCTAAGCAAGAAGTAAGAAAAAAAATGCTTTTTTTAGTAACAGATTGTAGATTCGTTGTTACTGTATCTAATTCTCTACCGAAAACACGAGCAACGTTCTAAAGCAATGTATAAAGAGACGTGCGAAATACAAGGTGTCGCCTCACGTAGATAAAAATCGTTGATACGATAAAGCTATTTACGATAAAAATTACATTCCAGTAACACATCGTTATGTAAGCTTGTATACCGCTGAACCACCAGTCGCGTCATCGATACTATCTATACTTCTATATCTATACTAATACTAATACTAATAATATTATAAAGAGGCAAGATTTGTTTGTTTGTTTGTTTCGAATAGGCTCCGAAACTACTGGACCGATTTGAAAAATTCTTTTTCCATTAGAAGCCGACATTGTCCCTGATGAACATAGGCTACTTTTTAAAAAAAAAGTATTTTTTTTTTTGTTTTTTGTTTTATGTGTGTTTTAATGTTTCCGAAGCGAAGCGAGGGCGGGTCGCTAGTATCTATATATTAAGATGTGAAGCAAAAACTTTGTATCCCTTTTTACGAAAATTGCGCGGATGGAGGAGTATGAAATTTTCCACACTTATAGAGAATATAGAGAAGAAGTGCACAATGCTAATTTTTTTTTTTAAATAATGCTTAAAAGGTACATTAAATCAACAAAGAAAACGTTACACACACTACATACCATGTATTTGACGCACACACGCATCCATACTGTTTATTTATTATCAAACTTTTGTTCTTGACGTCTGTTGTCAAATTGAGAATAGATTAAATATTGTTTGTCTTTATTAATATTTTTTTATAGTGTAGCCTTGGCGAATTTTGTGATTATGTTATGTGTACAAACTTACAATTCCAATTAATTATAGTCGAATTTCGACTACTGTGGGACCTCTAGTACATTTGAATATGCAATTTCGAAAAGGGCACATGTCGCATATCTTGTCAAATACGTTTTTTCATATTCATGTAGTTTTGAGGCTTACCTACCTACTACACCCATTTTATAATAATTCCAGTAATTTTCAATTGCTAATTAACACTAAAATATATCTCAAAAGTTAATATTTTAAATTTTACACTTCGCTTTAGAAAATAATCAGTTTTTTTTTCATTTCCTGATTTACATTTTCCATTTTCCATTTTACATTTTCAGAGATGTGCCCTTTTCAAAATTGAATATTCAATTGTATCTTTAGCGAACAAACACGCGACTTTATTAAACCTTAAAGCGATTAACGTCATATCGACTCCCGATCCACTAACGGTGCTTTTAGGTACCACAAGCACCGGTTATCGTTCTCGTCGAACCCGTCGCTCGCGACGAAGGGCTCGACGAGTGAATTGACCCACAGACAGCCCACTGAGTTTCTCGCCGGATCTTCTCAGTGGGTCGCGTTTCCGATCCGGTGGTAGATTCTGCGAAGCACGGCTCTTGCTAGGGTTCGTGTTAGCAACACTCCCGGTTTGAGCCCCGTGAGCTCATCTACTTCTTAAGTCACGCTAGCTTAGCCTCTCAAGTATAAAAGTCTGCTTAAGTATAAAAAGTTAATATAAAAAAGGCGCGTTAACTTTTGCACCATTGGATCGGTCATTAAAAACATTACTTTCTCGTCCGTATTGCTGCTACATTGAGTCCAAAGTGAGCGTGGTATATAGTCACAACTTATAAATGTATTTCTTTTCAACTAAAGAATGCGACTAATCTGTTGTAGGGAAGCCACAGTCTGGGATATGGCTTCTGGTTATTCATCGTGAGCCAGCCAAGCTATGTAACGTAAACATTATGGATTTTTATGGAAATACTAACTTTTTTTTATTGCTTAGAAGGGTGGACGAGCTCACAGCCCGCCTGGTGTTAAGTGGTTAAGCGAGCCGTACTTTGCCCGTCACTGGTTTAAACCATAAAGATAACTTTTTTTTTTCCTACCTAAGCTGATAGACTTGAGAGGCTATTTCAGCGTAACCGTGGCTAGTAGGTGAGCTCACGGGGCTCAAACCTGACGACGATGCTAACACGAACCCTAGCAAGAGTCGTGCTTCGCAGAATCTACCACCGGATCGGAAACGCGACCCACTGAGAAGATCCGGCGAGAAACTTAGTGGGCTGTGTCTGAGGGTCAATTTACTCGTCGAGCCCTTCGTCGCAAGCGACGGGTAAAGCTAACTAGCGACCCGCCCTCGCTTCGCTTCGGAAACTGTAATTTATTATTGATTTTTCCACTATTTAATTGATGTTATATAGACATATAAATAAAATTGAAGTGTCTGTTTGTAATATTGAAATAACCGCTTTTTACTACATACATATGAATATATATACGGTACATACACCAAAATAACATTTTTTACAATTTTCGTCTGTCTGTTTGTTCCGGCTAATCTCTGGAACGGCTGGACCGATTTTGATGTGACTTTCACTAGCTCTATCACTAGCTGATGATATAAACAGTAACTAGGCTACTTTTTTTAAACTAGCTTCGCCCCGCGGCGTCACCCGCAGTTATTGTCGTACCGCGCGCAACATGGCGGGCTTCGCCTATCAATAATAAAATTTAATGTTTCCGAAGCGAAGCGAGGGCGGGTTATACATATAAACCTTCCTCTTCAATAACTCTATCTAATAAAAAAAACGGCATCAAAATCCGTTGCGTAGTTTTAAAGATTTAAGCATACATAGGGATATAGGGACAGAGAAAGCGACTTTGTTTTATACGATGTGGTGATTACAATTCTGAATTTGGCCGAATTCACAATCGGTAACTGAAATTATTCGATTTTCGCATTAAAATTCACAATCGTCCTGATTCCAGGTGCGTTTGGAGTCTATCGGAGCTGAAGACATCGTGGACGGAAACCCTCGACTCATCCTCGGCTTGATCTGGACCATCATCTTGCGTTTCCAAATACAGGAGATCGAAATCGATGTGGTAACTAGTCATCTATACTATTATTATAAAGAGGAAAGATTTGTTTGTTTGTTTGTCTTGAATAGGCTCCGAAACTACTGAACCGATTTGAAAAATTCTTTCACTGTTCGGAAGCTACACTATTCCCGAGTGACATGGGCTATATTCTTATTGAAAAAAAAATTAGGGATCTTTACTAAAACTCCAATAATGTGTACCCAAGGTGTAAAAAAATTACCTAAAATTAAACTACGACTTTTTAGTACACATTATTAATTACAAATAGTGTCGCGACACCATATGTATAACTATTGTAGTTATGCCGCAATAAGTATTCTTTTATTTAAAAAAAAAAAACAAAATGTGTGCAACTCACACGTGGTAGAAGTGAAACCTTCCAAAATTAAAATACAATTATCCTAAACGTCTTAAGTATATGTAAAATTTTGTCATTAGTAAATAATTGTAAGGTAGCGCCCTCTGTGAATTGATATTTTAATTTCACGTATAATCCTAAATTAAAATTCACTACAAGAGCTTTCATACACACGTTAGTATTAAAAAATCTCACAGATGGCGCTGTATTAAATAGTATGTATATTTCTGTCTCATTCTTTTGTATTTGTGTCTCTTACCTGTCGTTTTTTCCGTTGCATCTGGTTTGAAATCACAACGATTCTAAAGAAGTTTTCACTTCAATAAAACAACGTCAAATATCGTTGAAATTGTTGTTAAAGACCCGAGCGGAGCCGGAGCGGGCCGCTTGTTGCTTTATAATCAGGGGCTGCGAATTGAGAAAAACTCACCCCGGGCGCTATGACATGTCCTTCTTCAGACGAGGCTTGTGGAGAGTACTTAACGGTAGACAGCGGCTTGGCTCTGGCATTGCTGAAGTCCAGGGGCGACGGTAACCACTCACCGTCAGGTGGGCCGTATGATCGTTTGCCTATAAGAGCTATAAAAAAAAAGTTTCACGTCGGATCCGCGTGTAGGCTAAATTCTTTTTTAATTACTTAGAACGCGGACGAGCTCGCAGCCCATCTGGTGTTAAGTGGTTACTGGAGCCCATAGACGTCTGCTACTTAAATGCGCCACCCACCTTGAGATATAAGTTCTAAGATCTCAAGTATAGTTACAACGGCTGCTCCGCCCTTCAAACCGAAACGCATTACTGCTTCACGGCAGAAATAGGCAGGGTGGTGGTACCTACCCGCGCCGACTCACAAGAGGTCCTACCACCAGGGACAATAAAGTAAATTCATTTTTAAACGGATCCTACTAAAACCTCGTGTTCTTTCGACTGTAATGCTTAGACCTAAGTTTCTTGAGGGTTTCACGGAGACATATCTCAACAGGACGAAGAGAATGAGTCTTCCGAGAAGAAATCCGCCAAGGACGCCTTGCTATTGTGGTGCCAACGCAAGACAAGTGGCTACCACGGAGTCCACATCCACAATTTCACTGACTCGTGGAGATCCGGGCTGGGTTTCAACGCGCTCATACATGCTCACAGGTGAAGACTTCCTTTCAGTTTTTATTTTTATTTTTTTTATTGTTCAAGTTGGTGGACGAGCTCACAGCCCACCTGGTGTTAAGTGGTTACTGGAGCCCATAGACATCTACAACGTAAATGCGCCACCCACCTCGAGATATACATTCTAAGGTCTCAGTATAGCTACAGCGGCTACCCCACCCTTCAAACCGAAACGCATTACTGCTTCACGGCAGAAATAGGCGGGGCGGTGGCACCCACCCGTGCGGACTCACAAGTTGTCCTACCACTAGTAATTACGCAAATTACAATTTTGCTGATTTCATTTTTATTACACGATGTCATTCCTTCACCGTGGAAGTCAATCGTGAACATTTGTTGAGTACGTATTTCATTAGAAAAATTAGTACCCGCCTGCGGGATTCGAACACCGGTGCATCGCTACATACGAATGCACCGGACGTCTTATCCTTTAGGCCACGACGACTTTTCATCTCTTGATATGTTCATCTATGATGGCTGTCAAAACTTGCAAATAACGATCCAGCTCATCTTTCCAGGCCCGACCTCTTCCGCTGGACCGAAGTGCCGGTCGCTGACCACGTGGAAACCCTCAACCACGCCTTCGACGTCGCCCACAAGCACCTCGGCATCCCTAAACTCCTGGACGCTGAAGGTAAACATCTAATTTACTAAGCCACTTACCCTGTATACATTTTGGAATGTAAAGAACAACTAAACGCTAAGTGAGAGTTTTTTAACGTTCTCGATAGCGTAAAAGTTAACTCAAATTTGTACGCAGTTAAAACAGGGCCCCTAGCGGCAAACGTAGGCAATAGTTCCAACTGCATACGAACTTCAGTGAACTATTACGCTGTTGAGAACGTTAAAAAACTCGCTACATATATCGATAATAGATACATAGATAAAGAGTTACCAGAGGTAGGACTTCTTGTGAGTCTGCACCACCCTGCCTATTTCTGCCGTGAAGCAGTAATGCGTTTCGGCTTGAAGGGCGGAGCAGCCGTTGTAACTATACTGAGACCTTAGAACTTATATCTCAAGGTGGTTGGCGCATTTACGTTGTATATGTCCATGGGCTCCGGTAACCATTTAACACCAAGTGGTCTGTGCGCTCGTCCACCCATCTAAGCAATAAAAAAAATATGTTTTTTTTTGTCATCAGATGTGGACACGACCAGGCCTGATGAGAAGTCGGTGATGACGTACGTGGCTAGTTACTATCACACATTTGCTCGTATGAAGAATGAACAGAAAAGTGGCAGGAGAATTGCCAATGTGAGTATTTATTTGCACTGCTCCGTTGTCGATAGAGATATTTATATGTATAGACATATAAATGAAATTGGGGTGTCTGTTTGTAATATTGAAATAGCCTCTTTTTACTATATGCATATGAATATATATACGGTACATACACCAAAATATTTTTTTTTACAATTTTTGTCTGTCTGTTTGTCCGGCTAATCTCTGGAACGGCTGGGTCAATTTTGACGGGACTTTCACTAATAGGTAGCTGATGATATAAGGAGTAACGTAGGCCACTTTTTTTAGACTAGCTTCACCCGCGGCGTCACTTGCGGTACGACACTAACCGCGGCGTACATCGCGAGACTCAACTATTAATAATAAAATTTAATGTTTCCGAAGCGAAGCGAGGGCGGATCGCTAGTCTCTAATATTATGCGGGTGCTAGTAACGCCATCTGTCATCGAATAGTAGAAACCGATATTGAAACTACTAGCCGTGTCGGAGAGAGTAACGCCATCTATTGTCTAATAGCGTAAAGGAAATAATACCATTCCCGATCCTGCGGACAGAATGGAAAGCAGTCGACGTCGCCTAAAACACGTCATTTCGGATCCTCCCGATCCACTAACGATGCTTTTAGGTACCTCAAGCACCAGTCACCGTTCTCGTCGAACCCGTCGCTTGCGACGAAGGGCTCGACGAGTAAATTAACCCACAGACACAGCCCACTGAGTTTCTCGCCGGATCTTCTCAGTGGGTCGCGTTTCCGATCCGGTGGTAGATTCTGCGAAGCACTGCTCTTGCTAGGGTTCTTGTTAGCAACGTCGTCAGGTTTGAGCCCCGTGAGCTCACCTACTAGTTAAGGTTACGCTGAAATAGCCTCTCAAGGCTCAAGGCTCTCAGCTTAGGTAGGAAAAAAAAAAAAAGAAATAATACCAACGGAATGGTTTGCGAAAATTATAGACATATCGGGTCGCAGAGACGACATGAAGGTAGTTAGCAGTTCCACTCGAAGCGAATTACTATTTCTGACTTTTCTAATTCATGAATGATTTTCATCCGTCGACATTAGACATAATGAATAGTACCGGCCTTGGTTTAGAAGACGCTATACTGTCTACCCTACTTTAAATCCTTTACTCACTTATCCCACCCTCGAGAAGAGACCAGGTGTTACTCAGAAAAGCCAATTAAAGCTCCTTCATACGACAACCCGTCACCTCTACCCCTAGGCCTTTTCCCTCTATTATACGGGTCACCACAAGGCATTCCAAATTGCTGGTATCCCTGCGTGCAACAAGACCAAAATACCGGACATTTTGGCGGGAACGCGAGGAGTGAAGTTGTGTGATTTGTTTTATTTTGTGTACTTAGTGTTTCTTCAGGTTTAAATGTGTAATAACGGTGGCTTTTTAACTGTTTAATATCTGTGAAAGTGCACAAATGTATCATGTGGGTAAAATGAAAAGCCGCTGGACGTAACTTCTCGGGTTCCTCCAAAAAGTCCACTGAAAAAATTTCAGTAAATGACCACCATTTTACTGAGATTATATTACATCCCAGCCAATTGATCAATGTTTCAAATTAATCAACTTCATCTCATTTAACTTCATCCCAGTTGATTAATGTCTCAAATTAATCATCTTCATTTCATTTCACTCCATATTATCATTTTTCATAAAAATAAGGATATAAAGTAAAATAAGACATGACTTAAAGGTCATAGTTACCAGGTCATAAAATCCCTTAAAAAGAAAAATACCAAAATACCGCCATATTCTTTATAGGCAGGTTGTGGATAGATGTCAATAAAAAAAAACTTTATTTATTTTTTATTGCTTAGATCGGTGACCGAGCTCACAGCCCACCTGGTGTTAAGTGGTTACTGAAGCCCATAGACATCTACAAAGTAAATGCGCCACCCACCTCGAGATATAAGTTCTAAAGTCAAAGCTCTCAAGTATAGTTACAACGGCTGCCCCGCCCTTCAAACCGAAACGCATTATTGCTTCACGGCAGAAATAGGCAGGGCGGTGGTACCTACCCGTGCGGACTCACAAGAGGTCCTACCACCAGTAAAAACCGTTTGGTATATTCCTATATTATTATACCTTTAAACGAGCAATACTTGTTTATTTATATATCTCTCTCTCTCTTCGATCGGTCCCTCACTGCTGAGGATCGTGACTCCGTCCGATTTCGTCAACCAACTGTCTCCATCGATATTTATATATATATAATCTGAATCTCGGAAACGGCTCCAACGATTTTCAGAAAATGTTGTTTTATTCGTGTTTTCAATAATCAACCCTTCCCGACATCTATTGGCGAATAATAATACTATTTTCCTTAATTGAGGGCAACTAACCGCTTTAAAGATACAACAAGAGGGCGTTATCAAAAAAAAAAACCAGCAAAGCTCGGTCATCATCTAATTATTCCTATATAACTTATTCCTAGATCATCGGTCAAATGATGGATTGTGATGAGAGGAAGGGTGAATACAGCCGGCTGGTCACCGCGCTCTTGGAGTGGATCCGACTCAAGATCGAAGAGTTGAATGACAGGGAGCTGCCCAACTCTCTGGATGGAATTCAGCGTCTGCTACTTGGCTTCAAGCAGTACAGGACCGTCGAGAAACCTCCCAAGTGAGTTTTATGAATATGTTAATGGCCCATCTGTTTTTTTTAAATTGTTAGCTGGGTGTATGAACTCACGGCCTACTGGTGGGTAAATGGTTATCAGAGCTCATAGACATCTACAACGTAAATGCCGCCTCCCACCTTGACATATGAGTTCTAAGGTCTCAGTTTTTACAGTACAACGGCTGCCCCGCCCTTCAAACCGAAACTATCTGGCTTTGAAACCTTAAGCGCTATGACATCTTCAAAGGTGGCTTGAAGTTTCGCTCACGTAAAAATATAGATACAGATATGTGGCCCATGTCACCCATGACCGAACACTATGGACGAAAGTCACATGTGGTTGTGATCCTCAGCAATGAGGAAGAAAATGCAAATAATATAAAAACGTTTTAAAAAAGTTTTTGTAATAAAATATTCGATGCATGTGACTAGGAGATATATGAAAATGGTAGTGCAAGGTAGAGGGAGAAGAGGTCGACCGAAGAAGACATGGATGGAGTGTGTGAATGGCGATATGAGAGAGAGAGAGGACTGAGTGTTGAAATGACGGCTGATAGAAGAGAATGGAAGAGAAAAATTAGCTGTGCCGACCCCACCTAGTGGGATAAGGTGGAGAAAAAGAAGAGTAATAAAATATTTGACCGTTTTATTGAGGTTGTCGTGTCCCGACACCTCTGTCTTTTGGGCATCCCTTCCAAGGCTGCATATAGTCTCATTACTTTGAAGTACATTGCGGGTATTACTCGTGACGTGTATGAATATAAAACTCCTTCACAGATACAAAGAGCGGTCGGAGATCGAGGCGTTATATTTCCACATCAACACGATGCAGAAGAGTCTGGTAGGAGAACCCTGGGCGCCACTGGAGGGACAGCTTCCTCAAGACCTGGAGCGAGCCTGGCAAAGATTAGAACAGGTGATTTAGCGTTTTTTTTACTATACAGTCTTAGAGTATGAGTATGCTGGTAGTGGGGTGTTTTGTGGTCTTGCACGGATAGGTCACACTGACCAGCAGATTCCTGCTGCAAAGCATACTATTCAACAAGTCCTAAACGACCTAAACAGTAACCCGACGGTAGCAGGTAGCGTGGTGGTACGCGCGTGGTTCTTATTGTTATCATATTGTGTTTTTCCTACCTAAGCTGATGACCTTTTTGAGAGACTATGCCAGCGTAACCTCACAAGTAGGTGAGCTCATTAACCCTAGCAAGAGCCGTGCTCCGCAGAATCTACCACCGGATCGGAAACGCGACCCACTGAGAAGATCCGGCGAGAAACTCAGTGAACTGTCTGTGGGTTAATTTACTCATACCATATTTAGACGGGTTGCTAGCGTTAAGTGGATGCTGCAGTCCATGGACAACACACCATGCGCCTCCGACTACAAACCCTGACGTCTGTTTCTATACAATTAGGATTACGCAAATGATCCACTGATTAGTGCACCAAAACCATAACCTAAAGATGCTAATATTAGAACTGTTTCTGTCTCTTTCACAGGCCGAACACGCGAGAGAGATAGCGCTCAGGACCGAACTGCTCAGACAACAGAGGCTCGAACAACTCAATTACAAATTCAATACTAAGGTAATTGATATAAGTAACGTTCGCTCAACCTTCGAATTTCTACCTTAATCACAAATGCTTTAAAGCTTAGATTGCATGATGGCTACCGTCACAATTTATTTATGTGATACTTGCTAGTTACTCTTACTGAGGAATCACGTTAGTATCCTGTCCACAGTCGGTCCTGCGTAAGGGCTACTTGAAGGAGATGATCCAGGTCCTGTCGGACCCTCGCTACGGCTCCAACCTGGCCCAGGTCGACGCCACTGTCAAGAAACACGAGGCCATATCTGCAGACATCTTGGCAAGGTCAGTTGGTGCCCCTAAACTTGTATATTGTTATAGTTAAGGCATTTAATTATTGTACAACTAAACACCGAAAAAAAAAACTAATAAATCATATTATTATGTACAAGTCTTTATTTGTTAAAGGCAAATTGATTAAATTTTATCAATTAGTGGTTACTGAAAATTTTACAAAATCCTTCATTAAAAATAAGATATAGGATAGGTAATATGTTACGGCAATCTACAGGACCTATGAGAAACTAATCGAAGCGAAGCCATCTAGTGACCGACGCCCCTAAACATTTTTGTTGAGTGCTTGAGTTGCTTATCTATAACTAATTTATGTGTATTATCTATGGATATAGTGACTGAGTCTTCATTCTGGTCGCCATTGAAGTAACGCCTATACGTCCTTCAAATGTATTTATATATTAATTAGGCTCACAATACACATCACAAGCTAAAAAGATACATAAAAAACACGAGTAAAAAGAAACAAAATCTGGCTTGCAACATAAGTTATGTGCGCACGACAAAACAAGACATATAGTGCTGAATTTGTACACAATGTTCCTTACAACTATACGACAAAACAACACGATAACAATAATTAATCTAACTTGTAATTAGAGGTCGGAGTAGGTAGATTGATTTAAGGTCGTTGACGTCAAACGTAGGGGATAATATGGATATGCCTCCAAAATACCGGAACTTCATATTTATTGTGATATTTGTTCCGGAATTTTGAAATTAGCATGAATCTGTATTTAAGGTGATAAACGTTATTAATAATATTAATCTACGCTACCAGTGCTAGCTAATGGTGAAAGAAATCAGTATTTTATTTTATACAAAAACACCTTGGAATAGTTACACCGTATTTTGTCCCTTTCTGTTGAATTAGAAATGACGCTTGTCAGTATAAGACAAAACTTAGACAGGGCTTTTTGTTACTTTATCTCATAAATATAGAAATTGTATCCGATGAGGATTAAAAATAAATTTTTTTTAATTAAAAAAAATAATCATTATGGATAAAATAGCATGTCCATGTTATAAAATCTTGATGCAAGTATATAAAATCAATCTACCTATTCAAACCACTGCTTATAATGTAAGGAAATAACTTTATTCACAATATACAATTAAACAATTATACTACCTTAACCTATTATTATCGTGGGATGTAAAATTAAATTTTAACAATAGTTATTTGCGGTAGTTATAGGCAGCACACCGACTCTTGTCCAAATTGATCGTCATTTTATGTCTTCAGAACCGAACGTTTCGAGGACTTATCAGCAATGGCGGCAGAACTGGTCAGGGAGAAGTACCACGGCGCGGAAGCCGTCTCCAGGACCGAGCAAGCGGTCCTGCAACGCTGGAGGGAGCTCCTGGAATTGCTGGAGAGGCATAGAGTGTCTTTGGGCAAGCTGGCCAGACTTATGGCATTGCTGAGAGAAGCTGATGCCGTGAAACATACTCTGGTTGAGATGAAGGTATGTATTTGCTATATGTTCTTGGAGCTTTAGTGTGAGGTCTAATTAGTAGATCGGCTGATGATGGCGATGAATATCACGCCTGTCTCATATCAATGCTTTGAGGCATAAATATAAACAAGGAATATGGTGATACCCACGTGCGCAGGCACATGCTACTTCCTACCACCAGTAAAGTTTAGTAAGTATATAGAAATTTTACACTTCGTCGATAATTTGTTCATCTTTTGTGTCGTTCGTGAGCACGTGCTTAGTCGCTCCTTAGTACGTATATAAGTCTGCACGTGTATTGTTCGATACCGGTACAGGATACATCTTAAACTTGAAGCCACGATCATTGAAATAACAAAAGAAGAAATTATTTATTTATTTTTTATTGTTTAGATGGGTGGACGAGCTCATAGCCCACCTGGTGTTAAATGGCTGCTGGAGCCCATGGACATCTACAACGTAAATGCGCCACCCACCTTGTGATATAAGTTCTAAGGTGTCAGTATAGTTACAACGGCTGCCCCACCCTTCAAACCGAAACGCATTACTGCTTCAGGGCAGAAATAGGCAGGCTGGTGGTACCTACCCGCGCGGACTCACAAGAGGTCCTACCACCATTAATTACGCAAATTATAATTTTGCGGGTTTAATTTTTATTACACGATGTTATTCCTTCACCGTGGAAGTCTATCGTGAACATTTGTTAAGCACGTATTTCATTAGGAAAATTGGTACCCACCCGCCTGCGGGATTCGGACACCCGTGCATCGCTACATACGAATACGACCGGACGTCTTATCCCTTAGGCCACTTCAACTATGCTTCCTAATAAACTATTAAAGAACATTTGTGCAATAAAGTTTACTATAAAATCAATGATTATCTAGAAGATTTCAAAAAGTGGGAATAAGTAGCTCACTCCGGGGATTTAAATATTGCAATAATTGTTACGTTATAATACTCATTATAAAAATGAATATAAAAAAATTAATCTAATATTATTATTTTTTTATCTAATATTTAAAAAAAAAGACATGCCCGCTGAGTTTGGTTTGATTTGATTGAATAATCACGCTTAATTTCCGATACCAGACCCAGTTCCAATCGGAGGAAGTCGGCAGGCATCTGTCTGACGTGGAGAGGCTGCTGCAGGCGCACGCTCTCCAGGAGTTGCAGCTGGGCGCCGCGGACGAGAGCCTCAAGCGGCTCGTGCGGCTGGCGGCCGGCGTGGACGGCCCGGCGCAACCCCAGGCGCAGCTGCAGAAGCAACTAGAGCAACTGCAGGAGGCTTACGACAGGTAGCCCAGAACACGTTATTACGGATCCTCCCGATCCATTAACAGTGCTTTTAGGTACCACAGGCACCGGTCACCGTTCTCGTCGAATCTTCTCAGTGGGTCGCGTTTCCGATCCGGTGGTAGATTCTGCGAAGCACTGCTCTTGCTAGGGTTCGTGTTAGCAACGTCGTCAGGTTTGAGCTCCGTGAGCTCACCTACAAGTTAAGATTACGCTGAAATAGCCTCTCAAGGCTATCAGCTTAGGTAGGAAAAAGAATGACAGGTAATAAACACCCAATCCGTTGTTAGCTTTGTGCTCAATCCAGAGATGGCGTTACATGTTCCTTTAGTTATGTGCGCGATCAATAGATGGCGTTACTGGTCCCTTCTAATTAATGCATCTTCAAGAGATGGCGTTTTTAATTATGGCGTTAGTTATGCTCGTGTACATGCAGATACAAACAAAATCAAGACTATTTTTTATAGACTGTTTACTTCCCAACGCGGATTCAGGACTTTTTTAAAAGCTCTATTTATTTACCCTTTCATTTTTTACGTGTTTATTTATGAACGCAATCCATTTAAAGTAACATAAAAATATTTATGTTGTATTTTTCGGTTTGAATCTAGTCCTAGGCCTTGGTAAAAACTTATTTAAATGTACTATTAATCTAAAAAATAAATAAGACATATTCATATGAAACAGTCATACAAGTGTCCCTGTGTATAATGTGGTGTTCTTTTCCAGCCTGCTGGCGGCGGCCAAGGACCGAAAGGCGAGGTTGGAGGACGCTCGTAACCTGTACCAATTCCTGGAGGACCACGAAGAAGAAGAAGGTAGGAAATAACTGGTGGTAGGAAGTCTTGTGAGTCCGCACGGGTAGGTACCACCACCCTGGGCCGCGACCGCGGATGCCTCACCTTCCGGCTGACGCAAATGTTGACCGGCCATGGTTGTTTTGGCCGGTACCTTTTCAAAATAGCCGGAAGGGAACCGACGGCGCAGTGCCACCACTGCGCTGACCGCGACGAGGATGACACAGCGGATCATACATTGGCGCGTTGCTCTGGATTCGACGAGCAACGCGCCGCCCTCGTCGCGGTCATAGGAGAGGACCTCTCGCTGCCGCGCGTCGTGGCTACGATGCTCGGCAGCGACGCGTCCTGGAAGGCGATGCTCGACTTCTGCGAGTCCACCATCTCGCAGAAGGAGGCGGCGGAGCTAGAGAGGGAGAGCTCTTCCCTTTCCGCACCGATCCGTCGCCGTCGAGCCGGGGGCCGGGGGCGGGAATACGCCCGTACGTCCCGGCCCCTGTAGGTGGCGGCCNCCACCACCCTGCCTATTTCTGCCGTGAAGCAGTAATGCTTTTTTTTATTGCCTTTTTAGGCAGACGAGCATACGGCCCACCCGATGATAAGTAGTCACCGTCGCCCATGGACGTCAGAAATGCCAGGGGCAGAGCCAAGCCGCTGCCTACCGTATAGTATCACTAGCACATTGACCACTGGACCAGTCTAAACTGTACTGCCTCTCGCACAGGTTGGGTGACGGAGAAGCAGCGCATATGCCGCACTGACGTCGCCGCCAAGGACCTGAGAGGAGTGCTGGCTCTGAAGCAGAAACACACGGGGCTGATGCACGAGCTGAGGGCCAGGGAGCACGTCTCCCAGCGACACAAGTCCAAGGGTCAGAGGTGCGAAGGTTTTTATGACGCGGCCGTGTATAGAAAACTATAAAGTTAATATGGTTGCGCTGGTTTAAAACTGTTAGTTTTTGGTTTCGAAAAATAGCAACATTTAATTTGGTTTTGCAAATCCTGTCCCATCCCTCTCCCGCACTTTACTTACGGACTCGTGCGAGCGAGAGCGTGTGGCGACATGGACTCGAGAAAAAAATGTAATGGCTAAACTACCGCGCGCGGGCTTCGTGTCTCTGTTGTAATATATTCGTAAATAAGTGAAATTGTTGGTGTTTCCCATCGCGTAGCGATACGAGTCTGCAGTAAGGACTACATAAAGGTATTGTGCATCCCTCCTTTACCGCAAAACTGCCGCTTCTCATCGTTTCTGTCCGCAGTCTGTGTCCTTCATTTGCAACGACCAAATTTCAAATATTTCGTAGTTTGCTTATTTCGCGTCTGCAAATATGCTGTTATTATTATTAAGCGGATGTAGATTATTTGGCGGGAATGCGACGAACGAAGTTGTGTGAATCGTTTTATCTGTGAACTAGCGACCCGCCCTCGCTTCGCTTCGGAAACTGTAATTTATTATTGATTTCTTGACTATTTAATGGATGTTATTATACATATAATCTTTCCTCTTCGATCACTCTATCTATTAAAAAAACCGGATCAAAATCCGTTGCGTAGTTTTAAAGATTTAAGCATACATAGGGACAGGGAAAGCGACTTTGTTTTATACTATGTAGTGAATTTATTCAAAATAATATTTGCACGTGTTATTATCAAGAATGTGTTAAAAAATTTCTAAATACACTATAGATAACGCTTATCGACAACAATAATGCGCATCACTATGCCCGTCCATAAGGCTCGTGAGTGGAAGAGAGAGCAAAATACTCGCTTCACCGCTCCGATTATTTTTGACCTAAACTGCCCAGACAAAATAATTCGCCTACTAGTTAAGGTTACGCTGAAATAGCCTCTCAAGGCTCTCAGCTTAGGTAGGAAAAAAAAATACAGGTAATAAAAACCCACTCCGTTGTTAGTTATGAGCTTTATGGAGAGATGGCGTTACTTGCCTCTCCAGTTACGTGCGCGATCAACAGATGGCGTTACTGGTCCCTTTTAATTACACGCGTCACCAAGAGATATCTATTGTATCATCATTAGCGTTTCAATTTTCACCAGCCTCATAGACGCCGGTCACCCGAAGAGCGCCGAGATCGAGCGGCGCCTGACCTCGCTCAGCAAGCAGTGGGAGACGCTCAGGGACCTGGCTGCAGCACGAGAGAAACAACTGGCTGACGCTGCAGAGGCTCACCAGGTATCCTAGTGCCTCCATCGCCGGCTACGGGCATCGGCAATATTTACCGCTTAACTATTAATTACCACAATAGCAAACAATTAAAATGGAATGATGGGGAACCTCCCTTTTTTTTTGCGCCACCCAACTTGAGATATGAGTTAGATGGTCAGATCTTGTTAAGGGAGAGGTTGGTGATAGTCTATACCATGCGGTCCGTCTCACACATGATCGAACACTGTGGAGGAAAGTCACATGTGCGTAATTACTGGCGGTAGGACCTCTTGAGAGATCGCGCGGGTAGGCACCACCACCCCGCCTATTTCTGCCGTGAATCAGTAGTGAGTTTCGGTTTGAAGGGTGGGGCGGCCGTTGTAACTATAATAAGATCTTGGAACTCATATCTCAAGTGGCGGCATTTACGTTGTCTATGAGCTCCAGTGGTGGGCTGTGAGCTCGTCCACCCATCTAAGCAATAAAAAAAGGGAAGGTGTAAATCTTATTAAACATTAACCACAGTTCTACGGGGACGCGAACGAGGCGGAGTCCTGGATGAAGGAGAAGCGTCCGCTGGTGAGCACCGCGGACTGCGGGCAGGACGCCGCCGGCGCCGCCGCCCTGCTGGCCCGCCACCGCGCGCTGCACGACGCCATCCGCGCGCACCACGCCGAGCTGCAGACCCTCGCCGCGCACGCAGCCCGCCTGCAGCAGGCCGGCATACAGTGCCTCCAGGTCAGCCGAGGATCTCCCTCATCATCATATTTATTTATTTACTAGCCGACCCGGCAGACTTCGTAGCGCCTCAATCGATAAATAAAAGATCTAAACTTTGTATAAAATAAACTTAAAACAAACAAAAGGAATCCGCCCCACGAGGGACACATCAAAGGGAAAACAAAATTGTTAGGAGGCCTTTCCTCCCCCAACTGGCGTCAACGGTTCGACAGACGTGACCGGTCCATTGCCACTTTATCCTGCTAACTTTGAGAGCTATGTCATCATGCCCCTGCAATCTACCAGTCACTCCTCTATCCTATATATACCATATCCGCTCAGCTCACTCCCCTCTTACACATATCGTCTTACACGCATCCATTTATTCTTAGGTCTACTTCTTCCTATAAAGCAGCCTTTCCCAAAGTGGGCGATAACGCCCCCTTGTGAGCGCTGTAGGACCCAAGGGGGGGCGGTAAGAGATCCAGAAAAAAAATGGGTGCGTTGTATAGAGGCTTGGGGGGCGATTTGTAATGTCATTTAGGAGGACTCTTACACACCGGCTAAGTTCTCGCTATAGTGGCTTTTAAGTAGGCGAAAAAATGGGGGGCGCTAAAAATAATTTATTCTCAAAGTGGGCAGTCGACAAAATTTGCTTGGGAACCTCTGCTCTGGTCTCTGTCCGTGCGGGACCCACCACCAGTTATTGCACAAATTTGTTGTGATCGGTGTCTCTTTAAAACTCTTACCAGTCTGCGGGAAGAGGGAAGGTCGCGTCGCCGCCGCAAACACTTCCTACGTAAACATTTTATTGTAAATACTAGCAGACCCGGCCACACGTTGCTGTGATTAAGGTTTTTGTTTCTAAATAACACGTGGTCGGTTATGCTAATACCAAAAATTAACAAAGCAAGAACAATTGAATTTCACTGTATTGCGTTTACTACGAAATACATTTCACTAATGCTTTAGCCTCAGCAACACGTGGTGGTGTTTATGCCATTAAATTGAAGCTTATGTGAAACGTCATTATTTTTAAAACAGCGCCACCTAGGAGAAATTAATGTCAGACAGCATTACAATTGTCTGTAAAACCTTCGATCAACAATAGTAACTAGATTTCGGGTCGGTGCATAAAATCCGTCTCGTCAAATAACAGCGCACTTGAAATGTGAGCTCTTATTTTGTTTAGTTCACTTCAAACACAGCCAATGTCAACCCGTCTCACAATACCGCAGTGTGTATTCAAAAGTTGCAAAAATAATGCCCGAAAAAGCAATTTAACGGCCGGAGTATCTTACTTTCGGTAAGTACATGAAGTATAAACTATATTGTAAGCTTTAAACTTATAAATAATATTAAATTTTGAACAAAATTACCGATTTTTAACCACCGCTACAAATGTTGGCCAAGGCTCGGCCAACACATGGACAAACTTTTGATTAACAGAACAGTAAATGCATGGAGTAGATTTGTGTTGTAATAATTTTTTAAAATTTGTTAGCAGCACTTCAAAATTAGTTGGTTAAAATTGGTTAATGCTGCTTTTGTGTCTGTTTGTTGGACTCTCATTAGATACTTAGCTTTCCATTTTTATTTTAGCTTTCCTAGCAATCACGTGTGCAGAATGGATCTCGATTTTCGCCAGAGAAACAAGAGATGACTTTTATAAGCCAGCTAAGAACTCCGCTTATTGACACTGGACATCTTTGCCTTCCGTGCTCACGGCTACTGAAATGTGGCCGAAACATTGTAATAAAAATACCACGCTTAAAACCGTTTAAACGTTGTTTTATTATGCGCACTGGTCGCGAAAACTTAAAAATATATATTACACAAAAACGTAACGCTAATAAAATAATAAGTAATGTATACATACTAACAAACATACATTTCCAAAACATAAAAAGTAAACAACTAAACTTTTACTTTAATTCATTAATAAATTATTTTAGTGTTAGGCGCGACTCCCTTACCTCCTGTAGTAAATAGAAATCGGCATTTCAAGAAGCAAAAATAAATAAAGCAAAACGATGTTAGTTCTCAGAGCAATTAAGGGAAAAGTTACTTTATTTGTTGCACCTTAAGATTGATTTAACATTAAAAGTTGTTTAAAATATGTCTTTTTATTGGTAAGTGACAGGAGTAATTTATTGCTTTGCTCGTTTTATGTGACGAATGATCGTAAGTATTAGATAATGTTTTGGAGATTTGTGACTTTATTACTAGGTGCCATAGTTGTTATTAGTTTGAAAGTAAAAGTGTTTCAAAACTTTTTTCTCCGTTTGTTAGTAAACGAATGTAGCTATATAAGTATATATTCACGCGGACAGTTTTTGCTTTAATTTTGTACGTATCCCTTTATCTAGTTACTATTGTTGATCGAAGTGTAAAACAGATTTAAGGCGCCATCTGTTTTAGACTTATGAAACTTGTAATTAATAACAAAAATAAACATAAGAAATCATTTTATTGTTAATAAATAAATATTGCGACCATTAATCGAAATAAAAACCATCCTATCTTTCAAGTTGGATCAAACTGCACGCGGTGTGCAAATTTAATTTAAAATCGGTTAAGTAGTTTAGGAGTCCATCGCGGACAAACAACGTGACACGTGATTTATATATATTAAGATAACCAGCTTGTAAGTTGACTTTATTCTCCGCAGTTACCAACGGAAGTGGAGTCCACTCAGGGCATGGAAGACGAGGAGTGGGTGAACGAGTCCAGGCTGGTGCCGACCGAGGTGTGGGAGGAGGAGCCGGTCGAGAGACTCGAGCACAGGACCGTCACCGAGGAGAGACAAGTACCGCAGGTGGGTGCTGCAGGAGTCAGCTGGGCGAAGTACCAGTTGCGGTAGACTAGCATACAGCCCGTGGGGGTAGGTGGGATCGCCCTCCCTACTGTAGCAATGCAGTAATGCCTTTGAACGTTTTTTACTGGTGGTAGGACCTCTTGTGAGTCCGTACGGGTAGGTACCACCACCCTGCCTATTTCTGCCGTGAAGCAGTAATGAATTTCGGTTTGAAGGGCGGGACAGTCGTTGTAACTATACTGAAACCTTAGAACTTATATCTCAAGGTGGATGGCGGCATTTACGTTGTAGATGTCTATGGGCTCCAGTAACCACTTAACACCAGGTGGGCCGTGAGCTCGTCCACCTAACTAAGCAACAAAAAAAGCCCTCGGGTGTGGTGGGATCGCCCTCCCTACTGCAGCAATGCAGTAATGCCTTCCAGTTTGAAGGGTGGGGACAGTCGTTATGCTATACAATTGCGATTTTGACCTCGTGTCTCAAGATGCAGGTGTGGAGATGTCCAAGAGCTCGTTGAACAATTTACGACTCACAAGATGTTCTACTACCAGTCGTCATTCTCCTGTCTTTCTCCGAGTCACCTGGGGTCGGCGTAACATATTTTCTCCTTCCATCATATACCATTTCTTCGCTCACTCTCCTCTTACACATATCGTCTTTCACGCAATCCACTCATTTTTTCTACCTCTTCCTCTATATCCTTCCACATTCATCACATGTCCATACCATCCTGAACGCGCATTGCTCAACTTCTCTGTCACAGGTGCCACTGTTGCGTCTATTTCTTAGAGGTATCTTAAGGTGGCCAAGAAAATGATTAAATGCGTTTACTTCTTCAAATACTCATTATATTATTTTTAATTAATGTACAAAATAGAATTGACATGCGCGTCCATCTTTTTTCTTCGTGTAATTTTTTTTTTTTTAATTTTGACAATTGGTGCCTCTATTGCGTTTTCTGATTTGTGATTGGTTCGTGCGATATGACATCATCGTTGGCCAATCACAGCCATCAATGTATGACGCGACGTTGATTCGTTAACAGCCACTTTCAGATTTCTTCTAACGTAGGTCCATCAGTAATTACGCAAGTTATAATTTTGCGGGTTTGACTTTGAGCGAATTACTATTCATTATTACCCTCATTGTCCGACTGCAAGTCATTCGCGAAGGTTTGTTCATCTCCTATTTGACTAGTGTTTGAATGACGCAGGTGAAAGCGCTGTACCCATTCACGGGCCAAGGGATATCGATGCAGAAGGGCGAGGTCATGTTCCTGATCAACAAGACGAACCCGGACTGGTGGTCGGTGCGGAAGGCGGACAGGACCGACGGCTTCGTGCCCGCCAACTACGTGCGGGAGATCGAGCCCAGGGTCGTGCCGGTGAGTCAAGACTCTCTGAATGTCTTTCTAAAAAATGGTGCGCGTGAACGAAGTGAAACTGACTGACTAACTGACTGACTGACTGACTGACTGACTAACTGACTGGCTGACTGACTGACTGGCTGACTGACTGACTGACTGACTGACTGACTAACTGAATGACTGGCTGAGTGAGTGACTGACTGACTGAGACAACTCTGTCCACGTACCGCTATTTTATATTCTGGCGTTACGGTGTCTACCATAGATTTTTGTATTTTTTATTTTTATCGTTGATGCGCATGCATACAAGGGATGTAACAGCTCTACAGAGACGCGTGTCAAAACTGACATCTGTCAAATTCAAAGGTACTTTGAATAGTGGCCTAAGGGGAATTTGAGGTTACACAAATAGGCAACAACCGTCTTGCCTATTTCAGCCGTTGAACTAAATAAATGAAACCTCAACCTCACGATTGGAAATAAGGCGGTATTAGCCGACGAGCACGTTAAAACTCAATGCAACTCCCATCCAGGTCCAAGTCCGCAGACCAGAGAAGGTGAGGACGGTTCAGCGCGTGAAGAAAACGGTGCTGGTGAAGCAGGTGGTGCCCGTGAAGAGGAACAAGCCGACCGCCAGGAGGGCGTCCAGGGTCCAGCAGAAGGTCGTCACCGTGGCAGCCAGGATGGCGGACATACAGAAGGACTACGGTGAGACAATCTTCTACAGCACCACAAGACTAACGGACTTAAGTCGTCGCGGCCTAAAGTATAAGACGGTGCATTTGTATGTAGCGATGCACTGGCGTTCGAATCCCGCAGGCGGGTACCAATTTTTTTAATGAAATACGTACTCAACAAATGTTCGCGATCGACTTCCACGGTGAAGGAATAACGGTGAAGCAGTAATGCGTTTCGGTTTGAAGGGTAGGGCAGCCGTTGTTGCCTACCTCATCCGGGTTCTGACCTCGGAGGGGATCGAACGTCGGGTGTAAGAGTGCAGGGGAGTCGTTTAGTGGGTGGGCCCTAAAATCCTTGGGCCCGCGGTCTGCTCACAACACCATGCAGATCATTGAGTCTCACATACCTCGCGCGCCCCTTTTGCGCGGGGACCTCGTAGGAGGTTCGGCCCTCTAACCGAAAAAAAAAAAAAGTGCAGCCGTTGTAACTATACTGAGACCTTAGAACTCATATCTCAAGGTGGGTGGTGGCATTTACGTTGTAGATGTCTATGGGCTCCAGTAACCACGTAACACCAGGCGGGCTGTGAGTTCGTCCAGCCATTACCAACCACCCGTCACTTAGTGTAATCACAAACATTGCTCCCCCAGACGAGTTGGTAGCGTTGTCGTCTGCGCGTCGTGAACAACTCGAGGATGCCATAAAGCTGTACAGCTTCTTCGCCGAGTGCGATGACTTTGACAAGTGGATGAAAGACAAGGAGAAGTTCCTCAAGTCTGACGACGGCGAGGAGAGCGTGGACACCGCCAAGAGGAAGTATGAGGTACGGTAACGACCTGGCACTATTACTGGTAGTAGGGCGTCTTGTGAGTCCGCGGGGGTAGGTACCACCACCCCGCCTATTTCTGCCGCGAAGCAGTAATGCGGTTTGAAGGGCGGGGCAGCCGTTGTAACCCGTTCATCGGCTCGACGAGTAAATTAACCCACAAACACAGCCCACTGAGTTTCTCGCCGGAACTTCTCAGTGGGTCGCGTTTCCGATGCGGTGCTAGATTCTGCGGACCACTGCTCTTGCTAGGGCCAGTGTTAGCAACTATCCCGGTTTGAGCCCCGTGGGCTCACCACTCGCCCGGTTACGCTAACATAGCCAATCAAGGCTATCAGCTTAGGTAGGAAAAAAAAGTGTAATAAAAATGTACCTGCACAAGTACATACCATAATCTTGCTTACATCTGTCGCGTTGTAATGTTTACGACACCAAAGGTATCATCAGTATGTCGCATCTTTAAAGAAATATTAACTCAAGACTGACCATTCGCTCCGGAAAAAAGTAGGCAGCGGCTTGGCTCTGCCCCTCGCATTGCTGAAGTCCATGGGCGACGGTCACCACTCACCATCAGGCGGCCGTATGCTCGTCTGCCTACAAGGGCACTAAAAAAAAACTCATCGCCCCAGTCCAAACACGTCGTTGCCTTTCAGAAATTCGTGACCGATCTGTCGGCGGCCTCCAAGCGCTTGGAGCACATCGACGAGGCTGCCGAGGAGCTGGTCTCCGCCAGGCACGGGCAGGCCAGCAAGGCGGTCGCCAGGAAGCAGCAGCTGCGCCAGCAGTGGGATAAACTACTGCGACTGAAACAACAGAAGGAGAAGAGCCTGGAGGGCGCGTCGAGGTACGGGCTGCGACTTATTCAAGTATCCCCGCTTGGTGTAATTCGGTACAATTGTCGTCAGTCCGGGGAAGGATACCGCGGTAGCACCGTCAAGGGAAGGTAGGGGGGTAGACGGGGGGGGACGTTGTCCGCATGCAGGCAGCGACCGTCGCACTAGTTGTCCAATAACATTCCGTAACGCCACCAGATTCTAGTTTTGAAGGGGGGTGAAAAGGGGGTCTTCCGTTCTATTCCGGGTGGGTGCCTCCATCCAGGCCATCTCAGTCGTGAGGCCTGACAGTCGTTATACGTTTACATTCAACTGGTCTCCCATCATCATCATCATCTCAGCTGATCCACTGTCCACTGCTGAACTATGTTCAGCCTCTCCAAGTGATCTCCAGTGCGGCCGGTCCGTTGCCACCTGCATCCAACGTGACCCAGCGGTTCTTACCAGGTCGTCGGTCCATCTCGTAGGTGGCCGTCCCACACTGCGCTTGCCAGTACGTGGTCACTACTCGAGGACCTTTCTGCCCCATCGGCCGTCCGATCTTCGCGCTGTGGCCTGCCCACTGCCACTTCAGCTTGCTAATCCTCTCCCATAGTGACTCTGACATTGAGGATATCATGATCTCCCTAAAACGCTCTCAAGAAGACCGGGACTCTATTAACGTCTCTTAAAATCGCCCGAACCTCACATCCAGTTTCCGTTCCAGCGTGGAGTTGTTCAGCCGCACCTGCGACGAGGCTCTGGAGTGGATGGCGGAGAAGGAGCAGCAGCTAGCGGCCGGGCCGGGCGCCGCCAGCGACCTGCGCACCGTGCGCGCGCTGCAGCGGAGACACGCCCAGCTCGAGCGAGACCTGCAGCCGCTCCGGGACAAGGTCGCCACCGTCAGTCTGCTAGCCGACTCGTGAGTACCTTCGCAGTTATTCTTGAAGTGAAACCTCTTTAGAATCGTTGTGATTTCAAACTCGATGAAACGAAATGAAACGAAACGAAAAAATAAGTCCATAGAGACACAAACGCATACACATCTGTCTCACATAGCCTATGACGTCACTGCTGATGTAGATAAAAATATATACTTAGAAATGGAGGTTCGTTGGTGCGTTCAAACCGTTCTGATAAAGAGAGATAGATGGTAATGTCCTTTCGAAAATCTCGCAATGTAATAAAAATCAACTGGACGCGCGAGGTCAACGGCCTAGCGAGAACGCGGACTACAACCAAGTACCCTCGTGTTTCATTGCGCACTCACGAAAGGTGAAGTCACTTGAATGTTACCACTGGACCTTAACTCGATCTAAATATTGTTTGAGCCTAACCACTCAAATGTTGTTAATAAAATATATTTGATTTATATTTTTTGTTTGCAAGCAGCCTTCTACTGTGGTATGAAGAGCATAGCTTAATGTAAGACATTTAATATTACATATCGACGGGCTATAGGATATTTTGCTTAAGCGATATTTTACAGAAGTGGCAATTAATGTTTAAAATTTGAAAAAAATTGCACAAGAACAATTGTAAATAGACATGCTTTAACAAAAACCGACTTCGAATAGAAAAAAAAAGATATTCCAAAACAAATTAATATACACTAAAAACAATAATCATCGAAATCGGTTGGCGTGATATTGAGTTATTGAGTTATTCATCTATTTGTCGCGCACGTACTTAATGCAAATTTAAGACTTATATGGTTTTCTCATGGATACCATTATCAGAACTGGACTAAATTGAAATGGGAAGCGTCAGCTTTCTAATAAAAAAAAACATCATCAAAATCTATTCACCCAGTCAAAAGTTATGAGGTAACAAAGGTAAATAAAAAAAAAACCTACAGTCGAATTGAGAACCTCCTCTTTTTTGAAGTTGGTAAAAAAAAACTTCTGTAACTATTTGAATGGAGTAAACTTAATTGAAGTTCAATTAAAAACATCGAACTGTCGATGCTGATGCCAAATAACACGGACCTTTTTGTTTTTTATTGCCTTTGTAGGCAGACGAGCATACGGCCCACCTGATGGTGAGTGGTTACCGTCGCCCATGGACTTCAGCAATGCCAAGGGCAGAGCCAAGCCGCTGCCTACCGCAAAATTTAATTTAATTTAATTTAATTACAAAGATAAATGTCGCGTGTTAAGCGAAATGTCGCTTGAACCAAACATCTTTTCGATCTTCGGTTTAATTATTGGGACGAAGAACGAAGTTCCTTACGGCAGGCTTGGAGGAGATAGGGATTTTGCTGCGCGACCCAACTGAAAAAAATGTGTTAGTAAAAACCGTAAACCCGCCTATTTCTGCCGTGAAGCAATAATGCGTTTCGGTTTGAAGGGTGGGGCAGCCGTTGTAACTATACTGAGACCTTAGAACTTATATCTCAAGGTGTGTGGCGCATTTACGCTGTAGATGTCTATGGGCTCCAGTAACCACTTAACACCAGGTGGGCTGTGAGCTCGTTCACACATCTAAGCAATAAAAAAAAAACCGTTAGAAAAAGTCCGTGGAATAAAACCGTTCAATGAGGCGTGCGCAGGCGCGACAGTAGCATACACAAGCGAGTAGTGTATAATACCTCTCTCTTTCTCTTTCTTTTTATTATTATTCATATAAATAGCTGTTTCTTTGTATATTCATATTATATATTTCTTATAAATCATTGTAAATAAAATAAAGTTGATAACTTTGTAAAGTTATTTATTTCATCATTTTAAAAATCATAATAACGGATAGAACGTATTCAGGAAGGCTTTAAAGGAGCCGTATCTATTAATTTAGTATTACTTATATGTATTTATTTTATGTATTTCATTATACTAGAGGTCCCGCAGTAGTCGAAACTCGACTATAATTAATTGGAATTGTAAGTTTGTACACTATTATGATTTTATTTTTAAACGGTTTTATTTAGCTCGACCTGTACGGAATTTGTTTTTTATTTATTTGGGTCAAAATTAGAAATTGAAATTTAAGCACCTTCCCGTTGTCAGATTGATCTGAAATTTGGTACACACATTTAATTTAGATGACAATACAATATAAGAAAATCAATAACATTATAAATCTAAGATGGCCGCCGATACAAAATGGCGGATTACATATTTTTCCTTAAACCCCTCAATATGGGTATCAAATGAAAGGGCTACACTAGTAAAACACGATGATTATGTCAAAATTTAAAATTCAAGATGGACGCCGTTCCAATATGGCGGACTAGGTACATATTTTTCCACAACCACCACAATATGGGTATCAAATAATNCCTGGTGTTAGCGTTCTTTCATGAACTGCCTTTCGGCCGCTGACATGGTTCATGTTATGACAACCACTACCATCAGAGATATTAATGACCGAGATCACCTACGTAGGTTGATAGGTAAGTAACTATTTATTTATTTTGTAGTTTTCAGTGCACATAAAATAAAACCGTTTAACTTAAAAGTTTTTTTACCGATTTTTATATACTTCTATAATCACAAATTTCGCCAAATCTACACTATAAAAAATATTAACAAAGACAAACCATATTTAATCTATTTTCAATTTGACAACAGACGTCAAGAACAAAGGTTTGACAATAAATAGTATGCATGCGTGTGTGCGTCAAATACATGGTATGTAGTGTGTGTAATGTTTTCTTTATTGATTTAATGTATCTTTTATGCATTATTTTAAAAAAATATTACCATTGTGCACTTCTTCTCTATATTCTCTCTATGTGTGGAAAGTTTCATACTCCTCCGTCCGCGCTATTTTCGTAAAAAGGGATACAAAGTTTTCGCTTCACGTATTAATATATAGATATGTACGTGTATGTATAGGTTTACGTTATTTATGTGTGTATGTATATATGTAGTCTGATATATTATGTATTAGTGTTTTTATTTATTTATTATTGTTATTGTTTAGATTGTAAATTGTAAATTGATTAGATTGTATTCTTCTACCCACTCATTTAAAGCTTTCCTTCGTTAAGAACGGTTCATCATTTCAGCCTATCGCCGTCCACTGCTGAACATAGGCCTCTCCAATAGATTTCCAGTGCGATCGGTTCATTGCCACCTGCATCCAACGAGACCCAGCGCTTTTTACTAGGTCGTCGGTCCATCTAGTAGGTGGCCGTCCCACACTGCGCTTGCCAGTGTTAAATTAAGAACGGTTAGCTGGTAGAAAACTCAATTGTTGAGTTAAGCTCGCCATTTTTATATCTTATCGCAATTACTGTAATATTAACTGTATGTACAATAAAGAATAAAGAGAACTTAAAATTAATAATATTTATATAATAAGGAACTTCGTTCCTATCCGGTGTCCCACGACACTACACATCTTTTTTATTTGTCGTAGGACCATAAGTGCAAGGGTAAACCGATATTGTAAGCAAACATTTATGTTAACATCCGTCTGGTGTAGTGGTAAGTGACATGGTCACTACACAAGGGGGTCGCGGGTTCGAATCCCGCCAAGAAGATATTTGTATAATAAATATAAAATGTATTTTCCAGGGTTATGGATGTATATTAAATATATTATGTATGTGTATAATAAAAATCTTACATTTATTTCCGTTATTTGGTACCTGTAACACAAGCTTTTTACGAACTTAACACGGGACCAGTTAACGTGGCGTGATTGCTAGTAAATATTTATTATTTATTTATTATGTATTCCCAGAGTGAAGTCCCAATATCCGAGCGAGAGGGCTAATGTGGAAGCGAGACAGAGAGAGCTTCAGCGCGTCTGGGAGAGGTGTCGGCAGCAGGCTGATGAGAGGAGGGACAGGCTGGAGAGCGCCGTGGGGCACCAGATATTCGGGAACAGTAGCGCCCAGCTACAAGGCTGGCTGCAGGTATGGACAGGACTCGCTCTCAACACATCGTGGGTGGGTGGCGCATTTACGTTGTAGATGTCTATGGGCTCCAGTAACCACTTAACACCAGGTGGGCTGTGAGCTCGGCCACCCATCTAACCAATAAAAAAAACGTACGGTGTCATGTGACGGAAACTTTCACCTATTTCTAGACGTTGTAACTAACACACTTATCAAGGAGATGAAAGTATAACTGAAGGTAATAAAAAATATATAATTACTATTACTTCTATTACTGGAGTGACTTCTGGCACTACTGTGTATGATCCAACTTAACGCTAGGGCAGCAGTGAGCTTGTCCACCCATCTAAATGAGGCCAAAATGAGGCATGGTGGACCTCTCAAATTATATGGGGGTAATGTACTTCCTGATTGAAGGGTAGATGGCGCTACAGTGATGTGATCACCAGGTCCGCCTCCAGCGACCTGGTTCCATTACTCATACGCGAATATATCTTGAAAGCATCCTTAGAGCGATTGATGATGAAGAGGAATTTCTTTGCCAGAAAACGAGAGAGCAGCTAGCGCAAGAGGCCACCGCCAAGGACGTCGCGACGGCCGAGGCTCTGCACGACCAACACAAGGAGCTGCTGGACGACATCAAGACTCATGACGACGAGTGAGTACTCAATAGGCAGCGGCTTGGCTCTGCTCCTGGCATTGCTGAAGTCCATGGGCGACGGTAACCACTTACCATCAGGTGGGCCGTACGCTCATCTGCCTACAAAGGCAATAAATAAAAAACTCCGAGCTGCTGTGGGGGGTGGGGGCTCTGAGTCATACAGACACCAGATCAGACGTTGATGTTGAAGTCAGATGCCATCACAGCTTCCAAACCGGAATATATNCGGCTTGGCTCTGCTCCTGGCATTGCTGAAGTCCATGGGCGACGGTAACCACTTACCATCAGGTGGGCCGTACGCTCATCTGCCTACAAAGGCAATAAATAAAAAACTCCGAGCTGCTGTGGGGGGTGGGGGCTCTGAGTCATACAGACACCAGATCAGACGTTGATGTTGAAGTCAGATGCCATCACAGCTTCCAAACCGGAATATATGTAGGACGGAAGTAGGTCCATTTTCCAGTATATCCCGTAGGCGCTGACAACGCGCGGGGCAGTTGGGGGGGGGGGGTGCCACGTTACGTCACCACACGTCCGTATCTCTTGTACAAGAGTATTTTATGGTGTGTGTACGTTGTTTTCTCACTTATTATTTTCGTAATATCGAAGCTGTTGAATGAATCGACTGAGATGCTGTCCATGGACATCTGTTTATAGTGCAAACTACGTTCAATTTTTTATAGTTATTTAAAACAATGTCGATAATCGCAGCTGACGTGTGCACGCTCGCTGTAAACACGAAATAATTGGGTTTATTTCGATGTAACTCTGAGGATGTCTTCAGATTTATTGAGCCCCCACCCACGCTGTCAGCTCGGTAGCGATAAAACACACAGACTGGTGTTAGGACCTCTTGTGAGTCCGCACGGGTAGGTACCACCGCCCTGCCTATTTCTACCGTGAAGCAGTAATGCGTTCCGATTTGAAGGATGGGGCAGCCGTCGTAACTATACTTGAGACCTTAGAACTCATATCTCAAGGTGGGTGGTGGCATTTAGGTTGTACATGTCTATGAGCTCCGGTGATCACTTAACACTCCGCCGTGACCTCGTCCATCCCTGTTAGCAATATTTGTATAAGAGTAGTTTCATAACTTTTTCTTACTTTCACGGGTTCGCAGACAGGAAATATGAACTTATTCACTCTATTAAAATGATTTCCTTTAAGCAAGGTTCCGAAGATACTGGCAGCGTCCGCCCTTTGTATCTTCCAAACATTGCCTAAAACTGCTTTTAATAATACATTTTAGTTCCAGTTTCTAGTATATATATATATATATTTATTTCTGTATAAATAAATAAATTATGACAGTAAAAAATCACTATTAATGTACCTTACAGCCCACTGAGTTTCTCGCCGGATCTCCTCAGTGGGTCGCGTTTCCGATCCAGCGGTAGATTCTGCGAAGCACTGCTCTTGCTAGGGTTAGTGTTAGCAACATTGCGGCTTGAGCCCCGTGAGCTCACCTACTAATGAAGGTTACGCTGAAATAGCTTCTCAAGGCTATCAGCTAGGTAAAAAAAAAAAGGCTACTTATTTTGAAGTAGACTTAAGTTCCGGTGTCTTCTCCCGCAGATTCAAGGAGGTGATCGCTCTCGGCAAACAGCTGCTGTCCAAGAACCCTGCGCTCACGGACGTGGCGGACAAGATCAAGCAGTTGGAGCAGGACCAGAAGGCGGTCGCCAAAGGTGAGGTGCAGTTGACTTTTTACTGGTGGTAGGACCTCTTGTGAGTCCGCGCGGGTAGGTACCACCACCCCACCTATTTCTGCCGTGAACTTAACACCAGGTGGGCTGTGAGCTTGTCCACCCATCTAAGCAATCTTCTTTTTCTCCACCTTATCCCACTAGGTGGGGTCGGCACAGATAATTTTTCTCTTTCATTCTCATCTATCAGCCGTCAGCTCAACACTCACTCCTCTCTCTCTCATATCGTCATTCACACACTCCATCCATGTCTTCTTCGGGCGACCTCTTCCCCCTCTACCTTGCACTAAAATTTCCATACATCTCCTAGTCACATGCATTTCCTCTCCACGCATCACATGTCCATACCACGCTAACCGTCCGCTCTTTAATTTGTTGATTACCGGGGCTACTTTCACACTTCCTCTCCAGCCATCTGAAATTTTTTTTATTGCTTAAATGAGTGAACTAGCTTACAGCCCACCCGGCGCCAAGTGGTTACTGGAGCCCATAGACATCCACAACGCAAATGCGCCACCCACCTTGAGATATAAGTTCTAAGGTCTCAAGTATAGTTACAACGGCTGCCCNCCGCTCTTTAATTTGTTGATTACCGGGGCTACTTTCACACTTCCTCTCCAGCCATCTGAAATTTTTTTTATTGCTTAAATGAGTGAACTAGCTTACAGCCCACCCGGCGCCAAGTGGTTACTGGAGCCCATAGACATCCACAACGCAAATGCGCCACCCACCTTGAGATATAAGTTCTAAGGTCTCAAGTATAGTTACAACGGCTGCCCTACCCTTCCAATCGAAACGCATTACTGCTTCACGGCAGAAATAGGCAGGGCGGTGGTACCTACCCGCGCGAACTCACAAGAGGTCCTACCACCAGTAAAAGCAATAAATAAACTAAAGACCAGCGCTGGCCGCGAGCTACGAGTAGTTGTCTCACAGTGACTGTTTTCTCCAGAGTGGCAAGACAAGGACGCATATCTGAAGCAGCTGGTGCAGTTGCAGTGCTTCAACCGGGAGGCCGACCAGATCGACGCGTCGTCCGGGGCCCACGAGGCTTACTTGGACTACACGCACTTCGGGGTGAGTAGACCTGACCCCGGGGACACCAGGAGCTTAAAGTGTCTATTGACTGGCGAAGCTTCAGTCAACGTGCTTTTTAATTGAGATAAAGACCCCATGTTGAGACGTCCGTGAGGTTTGGTAGTTTTTTTTATTTTATTACCCTTATACTCGTAGGCAGAAGGGCACACGGCCCACGGCACGCCGCACGGGTGAGTGCCACCCGTGCGGCGGCGTTCTGCCGTGAAGCAGTAATGCATTTCGGTTTGAAGGGTGGGGCAGCCGTTGTAACTATACTGAGACCTTAGAACTTATATCTCAAGGTGGGTGGCGCATTTACGTCGTAGATGGGCTCCAGTAACCACTTAATATCAGGTGGGCTGTGAGCTCGACCACACATCTTAGCAATAAAAAAAAAATAAAAAAACCTAAAATAGTAGTTAATTGACATTGAGTGAAATATTTTAATACGCTTTTATTAGCTTCGTATGTATGTTAGTATCTATGTATGTATGTAACGGAATCTTTGAACGTGTTTTTGATCTCCTTCAAGAAGTCAGATTAATTCAAAATTTGGCAACTTATCAAGTCATCATCATTCTCCTGCCCTTATACCAATCAGCTGGGGTCGGTCACCCGCGGTACGACAATAACCGCGGGTAAACATCTCGGGACTTCGTTATCAATATATAATATATTAATACGTGAAGCAAAAATTTGTATCCCTACGAAAATTGCGCGGACGGAGGAGTATGAAATTTTCCACACTTATAGAGAATATAGAGAAGAAGTGCACAATGCTAATATTTTTTTAAATAATACATAAAAGATACATTAAATCAATAAAGAAAACATTACACACACTACATACCATGTATTTGACGCACACACGCATGCATACTATTTATTGTCAAACTTTTGTTCTTGACGTCTGTTGTCAAATTGAGAATAGATTCAATATTATTTGGCTTTGTTAATATTTTTTATAGTGTAGTCTTGGCGAAATTTGTGATTATAGAAGTATAAAATACAATCATAATAGTGTACAAACTTACAATTCCAATTAATTATAGTCGAATTTCGACTACTGCGGGATCACTCGTATAATATAAGTCTCCAAAGCGAAGTGAAGGCGTGTAGCTAGTTGTTAATAATTTTCGAGGCAACGGCACCAAAATTGTACTAATGACGTCATCTCTCTGAAAACCAACGTTGTATGAATTGCACACATTTTTTTTATTGCTTAGATTAGTGGACGAGTTCGCAGCCCACCTGGTGTTTAGTGGTTACTGGAGCCGATAGACATCTACAACGTAAATGCGCTACCCGCCTTGAGATATAAGTTCTAACGTCTCAAGTNATAATTTTCGAGGCAACGGCACCAAAATTGTACTAATGACGTCATCTCTCTGAAAACCAACGTTGTATGAATTGCACACATTTTTTTTATTGCTTAGATTAGTGGACGAGTTCGCAGCCCACCTGGTGTTTAGTGGTTACTGGAGCCGATAGACATCTACAACGTAAATGCGCTACCCGCCTTGAGATATAAGTTCTAAGGTCTCAGTATAGTTACAACGGCTGCCCCACTCATCAAAATCGAAACGCTTTACTGCTTCACGGCAGAAATGGGCAGAGCAGTGGTACCTACCCGCGCAGACTTACAAGAGGTCCTACCACCAGTAACTCTCTGTCTGTCTGTTCCGACTTCGGGGTAGGTAGCTGATGATATAAGGATTAACTTGGCTAATTTAGGGCGGGTCGCTAGTTGGCTATGAGGCAACTTCACCACAATTTTTGTACCACTGATGACGTCATCTCTTTGAAAACTAATGTGAATTGCACACATGTTTTTTTTTATTTAATAATAACGAGTACATCTTGTCCAGTCGTCGGTGGATGAGGCCGAGGCCCTGGTGAAGAGGCACGAGGAGCTGGAGGCGCGGCTGGCGGCGCAGGACGAGAGGCTGTCCGCCTTCGTGCAGCGGGCTGACGCGCTGCTGGAACTGCCACACTATGCTGCGCAGCAGTAAGTCTCGTACTTCGCATGGTTCATTAAATTCACCCTTACTCTTCAGCTATTAATCACAGGGGTTGAAGCAACGTAAACTTTTAACATAGGTATACTAAAGTCCTCGAAAAGTTGCGAAAAAAATTCCATATATCATTTATTTTCCTCAAAAAAGAGGACCGAATCGAGTTGGCAACACATGAATTCCGCTGACGGCAAAGAAACTAGTGCTGGACAAAACAAAAACGTCCCTTAAGTTGTTGCATCAAAGAGACGAAATGTCAAGTTAAATGTTAAGTCGTCGCTTTACCCCCGTATGACGTCACAAATATATAAAATTTCTTCTATTTCGTTCTTTCACGCGGTCTGATGCCTTCTACTTTTTCCTGAACGACAAGGTGTTCTATGGAGTCATTTCCTAGCCGGAAGAAATGTCCAAAAAATCATATTATGCACTCATGCACGAGCGCCGAAAGACGTTTGGAAGTTTGCCTATGCGATGGACCGCCCAATTCACGTCGGCAGTTGGTAGACTCACCTCAAACCGGGAGAAATGGCGATTGCTCGTGAGGCGCATATCATCTGCCCACAGCAATGATACTAAATGACGACCACCCTGACAGGAGTGAGACGACAAGGAATTTCATTCTACCCGCCCAGACTCTTGGCCAGTCGTATTACTGGTGGTAGGAACTCTTGTAAGTCCGCGCGGTTAGGTACCACCACCCTGCCTATTTCTGCCGTGAAGCAGTGATGCGTTTGAAGGGTGGGGCAGCCGTTGTAACTATACTGAGACCTTAGAACTTATATCTCAAGGTGGGCGGCGCATTTACGTTGTAGATGTCTATGGGCTCCAGTAACCACTGACACCAGGTGGGCTGTGAGTTCGCCCACCTATCTAAGCAATAAATTTGTCTGTACCAATGGCCGCGTTCCACACTAACCCATATGTCCGTGGTCCGCAGCATCGTGTCCCGTCGCGACGCCGTGCTATCCCGTCGTGACGCTGTGCGCCTGGCCGCCACCGAGCGACGCCGCGCGCTGCACGCCAGCCTGGCGTACCAGCAGGTGGGGACCCTCACTCCAATCTGTCTCCATCCCGGTTCCTTGAAACAGGAAGGAGCGAGACAGCGATAGTAACGTTTTTAGTAACGCGACTTGTTCGCGCGTACAGGAGAACGCGACGGTCCTTCAGGACCTTGCTTTTTTTTTATTGCCCTTGTAGGTAGACGAGCATACGGCACACCTGACGGTGAGTAATTACCGTCGCCCATGGACTTCAGCAATGCCACGCAATAACGATGCACTTCTCTTCCGTATTATAGCAAAGAAGTCATCTGTGCGAGATGTCGCAAATATTGTGGATGAACTACAAAAGCGCTGCAGTGACAAACAACATCCTAAACGCATTATTATATTGAAAACATAGGGCATGGTAAGCCCTCCGCCTACACGTGGTCCACAGACTGGTGGCGTAAAAATTCTGGACGCTCAAAAATGCTAAATGAATGGTTGTGTTGAGAGTCCGCCCTGTTGCACACGGCCATGTCTATTTCTGTCGCCCAGCAGTTGTAGGGGGTGCGCGGGTGCCGCGGTCCTGATAACACTTTGACCTATATAAATCTGTGACTTGGACCTCATGTTTCATGCTGGATGACATTCTATCGTCCCCCTACCGGTCCACTAAATCTTGGGAGCCGACCACCCCAGCCTCTATAGCACGGTCTCAGCAGAGCTCGACACTTGAGGCGCTTTGGATACTAATTTTTGTTTTACTAACTTAGTGAGTCATAATTTTACAAAGGTGTCTATATGTAACCAGTGTTCCCCAGTAGACAAATAATATTAAAAATAAACAATATTTATCTATTCTCAATATGGGACTACAAAACTTTAAACAATAAATAAAAGAGATGCGTGTGTGTGTGTCAAATACATGATAGTGTGGATAATGTTTTTTTATTGATTTACTTAATGTATTTTTGGTACATAATTAAAAAAAAATTAAAAAATTCATTCTGCACTCCTTCTCTATAACTGTGGGAAATTACATGCTCCTTTGTTCGCGTAATTTTCGTAAAAAGGGATACAACATTTTTGCTTCACGTATTTATATAGATAATCGAAATTGATATATTGCAGTTCGTGGCGGCAGTTGAAGAATTGCAAACTTGGATCCAGGACAAAACGAAGACTGCCAAGGACCAGAGCTACAGGTATGTTGGAGCTTTATTTTCTTTTTTTATTGCTTAGATGGGTGGATAAGCTCGCCCACCTGGTGTTAAGTGGTTACTGGAGCTCATAGACATCTACAACGTAAATGCTGCCACCCACCTTGAGATATAAGTTCTAAAGTCTCAGTATAGTTATAACGGCTGCCCCGCCCTTCAAACCGAAACGCATTACTGCTTCACGGCAGATCTATATTGCCCTTCTAGGCAGACGAGCATAGGGCCCACCTGATGGTGAGTGGTTACCGTCGCCCATGGACTTCAGCAATGTCAGGGGCGGAGCCGAGCCGCTGCCTACTGTTAAGTACTCTCCACAAGTTTGGTTTGACGAATTTGTGGTAAATTTGCAATACTGATAGAATATACCGCACCTTTACAATTGAATTGGCTTAATCCAAAATTCTTGAAAAAAAAACAAAATCTGGCTTGCAACATAAGTTATGTGCACACGACAAAACAAGACATAGGTAGTGCTGAATTTGTGCAACAACGTTCCTTACAATTTATTGATGTATCGTATATTTGATTTTTGTTACAGAGATTTGGCCAATTTGGAGCGTAAACTTCAGAAACACGAAGCATTTGAAAGGGAGTTACAAGCCAACGAGAAGCAACTCAGGAATGTTGAGAGTGTAAGGAACATTGGGCCAGGGACTCCCCTCCCCCCTCCTCAAACTGGGATATGCAATTTTTTCTCTTCCAGGAATAAATAAACGGTCATAGACAAATCGCCTTGACAACGGCTGCCCCGCCCTTCAAACCGAAACGCATTACTGCTTCACGGCAGAAATAGGCAGGGTGGTGGTACCCGCGCGGACTCACAAGAGGTCCTATCACCAGTAACTACTGCGTCTAAATAAGAATGTAGAGTTGATCGGAGCGTTCACTCACACAGATCGGACAGTCTCTGCAGAAGTCGGATCCAGCACGCGCCCAGGAGGTCAGCGCGCGGCTGGAGTCCCTGCGCGAGGCCTGGGAGGCGCTGGTGGCCGCCTCCAGGGACAAGGGGGGCAAGCTCCGCCAAGCAGCTCAACAGAGGCAACACCGCAGGTACGACACCCCATAAGAAACGCGACCCCCCTCCCACAAGAAACGCACATATATATTCGATATAAAGAAACAATCCATACAGTAGATTGAGGGGAATAGAGACTAGAGTTAGAATAGGGACAAATCTGGAATGTCACAATACTTTTGTTGTTAGATTTAATTTTGTTGAACTCAAAATGACTTTTATGTAGTGTTTAAGAATATTAAATACTTTTATTTAGTCATCAAAGTTTTGTAACTCATTAAACATATAAAAAAATTAATTACCTAAAGTTAGGTACTTAACTAACAACTAAATAGTGCCCTATTGAAAAACTATTGACCCCATACGTGACCCGATTCACCCGTAAGGCTAAAGTGAATCGGCTCAGGCCAGTTTTTTTAGTTTTTGTGTACTTATATCTTGTAATGAACTATATATAATAACGCATCGTATATAAAAATTTAAGCCTCCGGAACCATTTTAATCTTGATTTTATTGGTATTACCCTAATAAAAACCATTGAAAATTTGTCTTGGATTTGGAGACCAATACCCCACAATCTCACTAGGATTAAACCCCTTCAAATACTTTTATAAGGAATTTTTACTTGAACAACAAAGTGCGGAGGCAGGGCTGCTGTAGATTATGCCACAAATTTTTAAATTTAGGTATTATTAGATTTAAGTTTATAGATTAAGATTACAGGCAGCGGCAGAATAGCAGCGATAGTTTCAGTTATCACAAAGCTGAGCCGCGGCCATTTTATCTCCGCTGTGTTAGTACAATATATTGTAAAATTGCTTAGAATTAGAATTTTCATGTCATACTAGCTGACCCGGCAGACTTCGTAGTGCCTCAATCGATAAATAAAACACCTAAACTTTTGTATAAAATAAACTTAAAACAAATAAAAAAGAAAATTGTTATTTTTATTTAATTCCGAGCAATTTCATATTTATCTACCTTTTAAACCTTCTCTGGACTTCTACAATTAATTCAAGACCAAAATTAGCCAAATCGGTCCCTCCATTCTCGAGTTTTAGCGAGACTAACGAACAGCAATTCATTTTTATATAGATAGATTAATTGAAAAGTTATTTGAGTTTGTATTATGTAGTAAATAAATGCAATTATTATTATTATTATCTACGGTATATTTTTTTTAACCCAGGTCTATTGAAGACGCGAAGGCGAGACTGGTGGAGTTGGAGAGGGCGTTGAAAAGCGAAGAGATCGGCACCGACTTGAGGAGTTGCAAGCGACTGCTCAACCAGCACCAGGTGCTGTGCTGTTTTATGTTCATTATGCGAGAGCCCGCGGACCGCACCGCGATGTGAGGCCCGTGTTGCAATGGTACCACGCCCCGGATGAAACCAGCCAGGGCGGTGGCTAACCTGCGGACTTTCCATTCATTTATTAAACTAGACCCATACAGAGGACAAAAAATCCTTATCGCCCAAGTGTCACATATATAAATACCGGCCACCATCCTCGTCGAACCCGTCGCTTGAGACGAAGGGCTCGACGAGTGAATTAACCCACAGACACAGCCCACTGAGTTTCGCCGGATCTTCTCAGTGGGTCGCGTTTCCGATCTGGTGGTAGATTCAGCGAAGCACGGCTCTTGTTAGGGTTCGTGTTAGCAACGTCGTCAGGTTTGAGCCCCGTGAGCTCACCTACTAGTTAAGGTTACACTGAAATAGTCTCTTGAGGCTATCAGCTTAGGTAGGAAACAAAATAATATAAATGATCTTTATAATAACAATCAAATCGTCTTTGTCAATATATAATTAAGGACATCTTATTAATTATAAAGCCTCAGCATTGAGGAATATGTCACAAGAAGGAAAATCAAATTAAAAGATTAAAAGCAAATCACTACATAGAAAGAACAAAATTGTAGATCGCTTAGCGTTCGCAGTCCGCCGGGCGCTGCTGCCCGTGGTCCTCAACACATACAGGCACAAATACAAAAGGAGTTGGATGTATTCTGCCCCACTCAAAAACATCTGTTCTAAAACTATCAAACAATATCGACCTCAAAACTCCTTACAGACTCTGGAGCAAGAATTAAGTCAATGGGAGCAAAAGGCGACGGTATTGGCTGCTCAAGGTGCCGACTTAGTGTCGGCGGGGCACTTCGACGGGCCGGCCATAGAGAGGGACAGCGCTGCCTTACTGCGGGCCGTGACGGCGCTCCAGCCGCCCGCCGAGGCCAGGAGGAAGGCGCTGAACCGAAGTCTCCTGTAAGTGCACCACCGTTGTTGCAGCAAAAGACCGTGCGGGTCCTCTTTGGTCACTTCTTCGACAGGTTCTTACCGCGGGCCACGGTGTAACATTGATTGAGTTCCCAATATACCTTCTTTCTAGTCCGCTTTTGGCCATCACCACTGGAACCCCAAAACCCGTTATTACGGATCCTCCCGATCCATTAATGGTGCTTTTAGGTACCCCAAGCACCGGTCACCGTCCTCGTCGAATCTGTCTCTTGCGACGAAGGGCTTGACGAGTGAATTAACCCTCAGACACAGTCCACTGAGTTTCTCGCCGGATCTTCTCAGTGGGTCGCGTTTCCGATCCGATGGTAGATTCTCATTCTCATTTCTCTTGCTAGGGCCAGTGTTAGCAACACTCCCGATTTGAGCCCAACGGGTGGACGAGCTCACAGCCCACCTGGTGTTAAGTAGTTACTGGAGCCCATAGACATCTACAACGTAGACGCGCCACCCACCTTGAGATACAAGTTCTAAACTCTCAGTATAGTTACAACGGCTGTTTTACTGCTTCACGGCCGAAATAGGCAGGGTGGTGGTACCTACCCGCGCGGACTCACAAGAGGTCCTACCACCAGTGATTACGCAAATTATAATTTTGCGGGTTTGATTTTTATCACACGATGTTATTCCTTCACCGTGGAAGTCAATCGTGAACATTTGTTGAGTACGTATTTCATTAGAAAAATTGGTACCCGCCAGCGAGATTCGAACACCGGTGCATCGCTACACACGAATGCACCGGACGTCTTATCCTTAAGGCCAGGACGACGACGACTCTCTCACAAATTAGGCTCTACTCTCTAGGCAATCTGACTTAGAGTCCACCTGATGTCCGCAGGCACCACAAGTTCGCTGCCGAGGTAGCCGGCGAGCTGGACTGGCTGTCGGAGCGCAAGGCGGCGGCGTCGTCGGAGGCGCTGCCCGCGGACCTGCACGCCGCCCAGACGGCGCAGAAGAAGCACGGGAAGCTGCGCGCCGAGCTCACCGGCCGGCGGCCCCTCATCGCGCGCGTCATCGAGCAGGGCCGCGGGCTGGTCGCAGAGGGACACCCTCAGAAAGATAAGGTGCTGGACAGGATCCGACTTCTCATTTCTATTCTCCCATCATGACAGTAGCGATAAGTTTGTAGGTATAACGACGGAGGGAAGATCTTCCACCGAGCGGCTGATATTTGCTCGGTAGACCGACAGTCCAAGTGTCGATTGAATGAATGCTGAATGTTGATTTTAGATAAATATTATATAATATAATAATATATAATTATATAATATAATAGATATATAATATAAATATTATAATAAAATTTCGTGTTCAAATCTCGTCGGGATCACCAGTTTGGAGCGGCTTAAACGACAAAGGGAAGATCTTTCACCGAGCGGGTGATATTGCTCGGTAGACCAACGGTCAGAATGTTGTTGTTCGGAACTTGTATATATGCGTGCTTATCTTGAAAATGTCGTAAGCGAGATTCAAGCATCTGTCAATTATCTTGCGTTGTATGTATGATGGCTACCCGCCACAATAAGCTTACTTAAATAAATATTAAATTTTACTGGTATTGGGACGTCTTGTGAGTCAGCGCGGGTAGGTACCACCGAACTGCCTATTTCTGCCGTAGAGCAGTAATGCGTTTCGGTTTGAAGGGTGGGGCAGCCGTCCGCTGAACTAAGCAACAAAAAAAATTTAACCAAATATCTTTTCATCTTTCGATATAATATTAATTCATAAAAGACTAAACTTGTGTACAAAATACATACAGTCTACAGCAGCGGTCGGGGAATCGGAGTAAATTACCCCAAGCGGGGTAAAATGAAACTTTTGTGAGTAAAAAGTATAATATATTGAAGTGAAACTTCTTTAGAATCGTTAAATTTTTAGTTATTGTTTTCTTTTCAAAATTATCGTGGGGGCTATAATATGAAATGATGAAGCGATTTCGCTTTTTTTTTCCGTTCTTCGCCATGGGGCAATACCAATTTACACATAAATATTTTGGGGTAATAATTAAAAAAGTGCCCCGACCGCTGGTCTACAGCTATATACTTCACAGTAGGTGCAGCCCCTTTTAATCTAAATCAATATCTTCGCTTTCATTACAGACAGAGCTAATAAATTGGTTTTGTCGAATCCAGATTCTGGCTCTTTGTGAGGAGTTGGAGTCAGCGTATACTGAAGTGTCGGCGGCGGCTGACGCCAGGGCCTCGCGTCTGGAGGCCGCGCTGAGGGCGCAGCAGTTCTTGCACGAGGCCCGCGAGGTGGACTCCTGGCTGGCTGACAAGGCGACAGCTTTATCCACCGACGACGTTGGAGGAGACAGACATCGGGCTACTCAACTTTTGACGAGGCATAAGGTAAAGTAAATGCCTTTTTTCCCTACCTTTGCTAATACTCGAGAACGGCTGGACCGATTTGACTAATTTTGGTCTCGAATTACTTGTGAAAGTCCAGAGATGGTTTAAAAGGTAGATAAATATGAAAATGCTCGGAATTAAATAAAAATAATAATTTTGTTTTTCCTTTATTGTGTCCCCCGTCGGACGGATTCTTTTGGTTTGTTTTAAGTTTATTTTATACAAAAGTTTAGGTCTTTTATTTATCGATTGAGGCACTACGAAGTTTGCCGGGTCAGCTAGTAATATAATATAGGATAATTAATACTTCTCAGACATCATAAACATGACCGGATTATCTCAAGACACACTTCAGAGCGTCAGATTAAAATACAACTATCATTTCTGGTACTGAGACGACATTGGCCAATATCTGGGGCACGAATATAATTTCGCTCAGAAACAGAACTGATGTTTGTGCGAAGTTGGCGAAGAGGCCTATGTCAGTATGTTATATGGATTACTGCAACGCCTTTTGTTTCCCCTACCTATGCTGATAGCCTTGAGGGGCTATATCAGCGTAACCTTAGCATGTAGGTGAGATCACGGGGCTCAAACCGGAGGTGTTGCTAACACTGGCCCTAGCAAATGCAGCACAGAATCTACCACCGGACCGGAAACGCGACCCACTGGGAAGATCCGGCGAGAAACTCAGTGGGCTGTGTCTGTGGGTAATTCACTGGTGGTCTGTGTGTAATTCACTCGTCGAGCCCTTCGTCGCAAGCGACGGGTTCGACGAGGAAGTATATGCTGATGAAGCAACGGAAGTACTCATGGTTTTGGGAGTACAATGCTACACGCAATGCAATGGCATCAACAATCAATACGTCGTCTTTTCGCATTAAAACTGTACAATTTCTTAAAATATTCTAAATTGAGTTAATATGCGGAATAATTTGATATCACCAGTATTTTTTTCATAAATACTGTCAAATGAGCGTAGTTTAGTTTTAGTTTTTTTTTAGTTTACCTATATTTTGACTACTATTCACAAAATTAATACATAATTTATCGTACTTTAAAAGACAGATAATAATGTAACTGGTAAAGATTTTTTTTTAGCAAAAATGATTATTATTAAAAATGTGATATTGTAATGTGATGTTAAGCCTTTAAAACACTCTCCTGTAAAATTAGTAAGTTTTGAGATTATACAGTTTTAATGCGTGAAGACGATGTGATGATGTAAGATTTCACGGAGCTTTGAGTGCGTGAATATTACACTAATTCTTCAATTCGAACAGGCTGTCGAGTTGGAGTTGGACACGTACGCCGCGATCATATCGGAGATGGGCCACGTGGCGTCGTCGATGCTGGGCTCGGGACACCCGGAGGGCGGCACGCTGGTGTCGCGCCACGCCGCGCTGGCCGACACCCTGGCCAGGCTGCAGCGTCTGGCGGCGCACCGGCAGCACGCGCTGGTCGAGAGCGTCTGCAGGTGACACCACACTCTACCACTTTCAACTGTGTAATGTGAGGAGGGGGAGACTTAGATGGACTGAGTGAAAGATAGGTGTGAGAGCAGAGATAACGTAAAAGAGGACATGCTCCACTGGCGACACGTAGTGGAATATGAGCAAGAAAAATTTAAGCACACTTTGGCAAATTAACTACATGTTCAAACATTTTTTGTTCATAACACTAAAGCTATACCAATGGTGATAGGACCTCTTGTGAGTTCGCACGGGTAGGTACCACCACCCTGCCTATTTCTGCCGTGACGCAATAATGCGTTTTGAAGGGTGGGGCAGCCATTGTACTGTAAAAACTGGCTGGCTTCCAAAGCCGTTAAAGTCTAAAGCGTTCATTGCCTATCTGAATTCAATATCAGACCGGTTTATCTTTCTTTTATTGCTTAGATGGGTGGGCGAGCTCGCCTCGTATTAAGTAGTCATCGGAGCCCGTGGACATCTACAACGTAAATGCCGCCTCCCACTTCGAGACATGAGTTCTAATGATTGTTCTCTGTGAACAATTTAAGAGAGAAGGCAAAAAAGAAAGAAATCGTGTATTCGCTAAGCATAATGAAAATGAGTTATTACATAAGTTATAAGCAGCGTGTATGCTTTGTCATTATTTGACATGCGAATTTTAGTGCAGTGCAAGATGTTATTATGATATTATATAATTTACCACTCATTCATCCGTAATTCAACTAATAATTAAGAAATCCGTTTAATTTCAATGTCGTCCCTAATTAAATCCTAAAACTAATTGTTACTAAGTAATTGTTTTAAAACTTTTTTTAAATTTGTTTTAAAACCTGTTTTAAATTTGTTTTAAAACTTGTTTTAAAACCTTTTTTAAAATTGTTTTAAAACTTTTTAAAACAATTTTTAAAACGTTTTAAAAATTGTTTTAAAATTAATGCCATTTCAGGCACGAATACTTGGCTGAGAGCGAGGAGTTGGAGCACTGGATCCAGGAGCAGTACGCCGCAGCCTCCAGCGAGGACTACGGCCAGGATTACGAACACTTACTGGTAAGTGTCTGTTACGAGGTAGGTACCACTATTCTGTCATGTTTCGGTTTGTAAGAAGTCCTTTATTATAAACATCATCGTCATTAGCCTCCAGACGTCTACTGCTGAACTCCTGCCTCCACCATGAGAGGTATGAGAGGTCCCGTGCTGCCCGCATCTAGTGGTTCCCCGCGACCTTCAACTAATTATTGGTCCCCCTTGTGGGAAGCCTTCCCACGCCTCACCACTGTGTCTTCCATTTTGGTCCAACGAGCAATGTGTCCTGCCCACTGCCGCTTTAACCTCTCAATTCATCTTTTGAGACTAAACCTTTGAGACACAGGTCTCCTGTGAATTACAGATCGTTAATAAAAATAAAATTTTAAAAATCCCCACATACCTCACGCGCCCCGTAGGCGCGGGAATCACGTAGGAAGTTCGTCCCCCCAAAAAAAAAAAAGTCCCCTGCGAATACCTTAACTGTAATTGGTTTTGTAATTGCTGAATCTACTAGTGGAAATGTGATTACATCCTAGTATCAGGTGTCCACCACCATTATAGTCACGTGGGACTTCCCGCAAACCGGAATGTGGAGTGCGACAGCAATACAGATAGTGTTACCTCACAGCCGACTTCAACTGAAACGGTGTTCGTTCAAAAAATGTGTTTTACGTAACAGATCTTACGGTCTAAATTCGATGAGCTCCGTCACCGCGTCGAGAGTGGAGCGGAGCGGTTCAACCAGTGCGAGGAGCTGGCCAAGAAGCTGCTGGCGTCGGAGAGCCCTTACATCGAGGACATCGAGAAGAGACAGGAGGCGCTGGGGTAAGTTGCACCTTGGACACTGGGGGGCCTTGAACCCTGAGGGGACACTGAGGGGCCTTGAACAGTGGAGGGCTTTGGACACTGAGGGGCCTTGGACACTGGGGGACACTGGGGGTCGTCGGCCTAACCCATGCATCAGCCCGCTGAGTTTCTCGCCGGATCTTCTCAGCGGGTCGCGATTCCGATCCGGTAGTAGATTCATTCACGAAGCAGCTGCTCTTGAGTTGTTAGGTCTCCTTCGGAGGCGCTCGGGCAGCTGTTAGCAAATCCCACCCCTCCTGGCTGAGCCCTTGTTCGCCCACCTGCCCTGGTGAAACTGGAAAGGCCTTCGGGCTACCAGTAATACTTCAATCCTAAAAAGACACCATCGGACCGTCACCAGTGCTTATATCAAAGTCAATTTGGATGTTATGGGTCATGGGTGCGGGGAGGCGTTGTTTCATGCATTGCATAACGGCTGAGCTTTCCGGTAGATATGACCAGGAAGGTGGTTCCTCCTGTTCAGGCCAGCGATACGTCCTACGCTTTGAATATTTGAAGTTTTACTGGTGGTAGGACCTCTTGTGAGTCCGCATTAGTAGGTACCACCACTCCGCCTATTTCTGCCGTGAAGCAGTAATGTGTTTCGTTTTGAAGGGTGAACCTTAGAACTCATATCTCAAAACGGGTGGCGCACTTACGTTGTAGATGTCTATGGGCTCCGGCAACCCCTTAACACCAGGTGGCTGTGAGCTAATTGTGAGCTTATTGTGTATTGACAATAAAATGTACAGAGAGTCGTGGCAGCGACTGGTGGAGCAGATCCAGTCGCGAGGGTCTCGTCTCCACGCGGCGGGCGAGATCCACCGCTTCCACCGCGACGTGGGCGAGCTGGTGTCGCGCGCGGCGGACAAGCGCGCGGCGCTGGGCGGCCGGCCCGCGCCCCGGGACCTGCGCGCCGCCACCGCGCTGCTCCGGGACCACGACACGCTGCGCAACGACCTGCTCGCTGTCGACGCGCAGATGCAGGTGAGGGGGACCCCGGGGGGTTGGGGAGGGGGTCGAGACAAACACACTCCAGACCGTACATATTAAAAAAAAGAGGAAAAAAAAGAGTTAATGCACTTTTGAACACAAAAATAACGAACAAAGACCAGTCGCTAAGTTTGTTTCTAAAATTATGTTTTTTAATGACATTTCAAATGATATAAAAGGTTTTTTTTTTTTTTTTCAAAATTTTATGTCCTGGTAAGGGTATCTTCAATCCGAGTCATATATTTTCTTCTTATGTACTGTACTGTTCTTATGTATATGAAAAATGAAATAAAATTTATTAATTTAAGACTTTAATCAACTAGGATATAATTAAATAATATGAGATTAGATGAAATATAGTCTCAAAGTGATAAGGTTTGCTTAATTCTTCATTGTGCAAAGAAAAGCGGTGTAGGGATCACAAATTTCCCCATAGCAACTAATAATTATATGTATGTGTTAGCTGTAATTACATTGCAATGATGCTACGTCAGTCTCGGGATTGTCGGGCTGTCGATAACATGTTAGGTTGTAATCCCAATATACGTTAGTCACTTAACTGAGAGACTAACTAACTAGACTAACTAAGAGATAAATATAATAAATAAATATTTTACTTACAATCACGCCACGTTAACTGGTCCCGTGATAAGTTCGTAAAGAACTTGTGTTACAGGTACCAAATAACGGAAATAAATGTAAGATTTTTATTATACACATACATATATTTAATATACATCCATAACCCTGGAAAATACATTTATATTTATCATACAAATATCTTCGCTTGGCGGGATTCGAACCCGCGACCCCCTTGTGTAGTGACCATGTCACTTACCACTACACCGGACGGCCGTTAAATCTCATTCTCCCGCAGGTCTTACAAGAGGAGGGCAGTCGTCTCCAAAAGCTGTACCCTGGGGGTAACGTGACGCAGATCGCTCTACAGCAGAAAGCTCTGGCTGAAGCTTGGGAGATGCTGAAGCAGGCCGCAGACGAACGCAAGCACGTCCTGCTGCAGCATCTACAGCTGCACCAGTTCCTCACGCAGGTGAGCTTCGATTAACCACGGAGATGCTATAGAGCTTTTACAAGTCCTTCTTCAAACGAGGCTTGTGGAAAGTATTAAGCGGTAGGCAGTTTTGCTTTGCCCATGGCATTGCTGAAGTCCATGGGCGACGGTAACCACTCACTATCAAGTGGGCCGTATGCTCGTCTGCCTACAAGGGCAATAAAAAAAAGAGCATTTACGTTCTATGATAGGCAGATCAATATTGAAACTCTTAAACATGTCTTGTGTATATTCATATTTTGGTATTGTTGATGCTGATGGGCATATCCATTCAATCGTTGAATGAATGAATATGTTAGAGGAAGTCTGAAAGTGGCACCTGTGACAGAGAAGCTGAGCTTGGGATGGTATGGACATGTGATGAGACGAAATGACAATGAGGTTGGTAAGAGAGTGTTAACTATGAATGTGGAAGGATACAGAGGAAAAGGTAGGTCTTAAAAAAATTGATAGATTGCGTGAGAGATGATATGTGTAAGAAGGGAGTTAGTAAAGTAATGGTATATGATAGATAGTGGAAGGAGAAAATATAGTTACGCCGGTAAGAGTAACGCTATCTATCGTCGAATAGTCGAACGAATACCGAAGGATCTAGTAGCACCTAGAACGCTCGAGAAATACAACGCCATCTATTGTTAGATAGCCGAAACACAATACTCGAAATGTGTGGAATATTCTCGATAATTCTAGGGTTGTGGTATCGGCTATAAAAGCGTTGCAGAGATGGCACGCAGGCGGTTAGTAATGGGAACTACTCGAAGCGAAGCGGAAGAAGCGAATTGAGAGTTTTAAAGTGTTTGTTAAGCGTTTTAAGTGTTCTTAGTGCTAATACAGTGTTAACTTGTGATTCGGTAGATTTTTTTATTTATCCCGAACCCCAGCGCGTCTCGATATGTTGCGCCGACCCCAAGTGACTGGGATCAGGGCAGGAGTGTGATAATGATGTTAATGCCTATGAGCTGTGCCCTTGCCTTGAACCAACCGGCGTGCTTGCCCCAGGTGCGCGACCTGACGTCGTGGTGCCGCAGCGTGGCGGCGTCGCTGGGCGGCGGCGTGCGCGTGCGCGACGCGGTGTCGGCGCAGAGCGCGCGCGCCGAGCACCACGCCCTGCGCGCCGAGCTGGACGCGCGCGACGACAGCTTCGCGGCCGCCCTGCAGCTCGGACACGACCTGCTCGCCGACAGGCACCCCAGCTCCGCCGTGAGTGTACCCCTCCTCCCCCCACTCTAAACTCCAACATCTAGACCAGTGTTGGGCAAAGTACGACCCGCGGAAGTATTTAGACACCCCAGCTCCGCCGTGAAAAGCAACACAATACGCAATATTTATTTGGAAATGGAGACGAAGAATCAATAAATACATTATTTCGCGTTTGTCTGGCAACAGGAGATCGAGGAGAAGTGCGGGGCTCTGATGGAGGAGCGTGCGCGGCTGGAGCGCGCGTGGGCGGCGCGGCAGGTGGCGCTGGACCAGCTCATAGACCTGCACTGCTTCCTGCGCGACGCCAAGCAGCTGCACGACCTCTGCGCCGCGCAGGAGGCCTCGCTCAGTGAGTCCCGCGCCATCACACTACACTCATCTATATATATAAAAATTAATTACTGTTCGTTAGTCTCGCTAAAACTCGAGAACGGCTGGACCGTTTGGCTAATTTTGGTCTTGATTGTGGAAGTCCAGGAAAGGTTTAAAAGGTAGATAAATATGAAAATGCTCGGAATTGAATAAAAATAACAATTTTGTTTTTACTTTGATATTTTTTTTTTATTGCTTTTGATGGATTTATATGGATGGACGAGCTCACAGCCCACCTGATGTTAAGTGGTTACTGGAGCCCATAGACATCTACAACGTAAATGCGCCACACACCTTGAGATATAAGTTCTAAGGTCTCAGTATAGTTACAACGGCTGCCCCATCCTTCAAACCTTCAATCATAAAAAAAAACCTGAACACGAGACTAATCCGCGCACATCACTGTGCCACTGATCGACATTACTGGTGGTAGGACCTCTTGTGAGTCCGCACGGGTAGGTACCACCACCCTGCCTGTTTCTGCCATGAAGCAGTAATACGGTTTGAAGGACGGGACAGCCGTTGTACTGTAAAAACTGAGATCTTGTAATGTCTACGGGCTCCGCTAACCACTTGACACCAGTTTTGTCGTGAGTTCGTCCACCTACCTAAAGTGAGTGACTACCCCCGTGAGCTCACCTACTAGTTCAGTGAATCTACTATGATCCCTCAAAGTCATTAGAATAGGTAGCAAAAAAGTTAGCTCTACCCATGGCATTGCTGAAGTCCGTGCGCGACGGTTACCACTCCCCATCAGGTGACTTAATAGAGACTTGTATCTTCCCCCACCCCGCAGGTACAGAGCTGTCCCCCACCAGCAGCGTCGAGGCCATCGAGCACCAGCTGAAGAAGCACGAAGCCTTCGAGAAGCTGATCGCGACCCAGGTACGGCCGCTAACTAACGTTGTCAAACAATCAGTATACAAACAATTAAAAGCAATTAAAATTTACTTTTATGACATATTATATCGTCTTTTCGCATTAAAAGTGTACAATTTCCAAAAATATTCTAAATTGAGTTAATATGCGTAATTATTTAGTATCACCAATATTTTTTGTCATAGATACTGTCAAAAGATCGTAGTTTAGTTTTTTTTTTAGTTTACCTATGTTTTGACTACTATTAACAAAATTAATACATAATTGTATCTTACTTTAAAAGACAGATAATGTAACTGGCAAACATTAAAAAATAAACGCTGCAAAGATGATTAATATTAAAAATATCACATTAAGTTAAACCTTTAAAACACTCCTGTAAAATTTAGTAAGTTTTAAGATTATACAGTTTTAATGCGAGAAGACTATATGTAATATTATTGTTCGTCGACACTTGATAATTGTGCCAATTGTCGTCTGCTCGATCACGCCATATCAACTGTGTAGTATCCCCTAAAAGCTGCAAATAATATCGTCGGGTACAACGGGGAAGAGGTCGACCGAAGAAGACATGGATGGAGTGTGTGAATGACAATATGAGAGAGAGAGAGGAGTGAGTGTTGAGATGACGGCTGATAGAAGAGAATGGAAGAGAAAAATTACTGGTGGTAGGACCTCTTGTGAGTTCGCACGGGTAGGTACCACCGCCCTGCCTATTTCTGCCGTGAAGCAGTAATGCGTTTCGGTTTGAAGGGCGGCAGCCGTTGTAACTATACTTAAGACCTTAGAACTCATATCTCAAGGTGGGTGGCGCATTTACGTTGTCGATGTCCATGGGCTCTAATAACCACTTAACACCAGGTGGACTGTGAGCTCGTTCAGCCATCTAAGCAATAAAAATTAAAAAATTCACATCACTGAGCTAGGTCTTCAGCTCTCTTCATCCGTAGCATGACTGCCCCACCTTCGAAACAGGAACGTCTGACTGTTTGAAATGGGTGGGGTGGTGGTATCTGTTACGCGCGGCCGGACTCTCACAAAACCAGTGACACACGGTCCCTTCCTCACGATACATATTACAAATGTTGTCACTTATTAAAACCATCCCGCCTTTTCAGGACGAAAAGCTGGCAACACTGAACAGCCATGGCGACAAGCTGCTACAGCAGAACCACGTGGAAAGCCAGAGGATCGCTGACGAGCTGCAACTGATTAACGAGAGGAGACAAAAGGTCAGACCTCAAAGAGGAAAAATAAAATAAATATAAATAAACTAGCTGACCCGGCAGACTTCGTTAGTGCCTCAATCAATCGACAAATAAAAGACAAACTTTTGTATAAAATAAACTTAAAACAAACAAGAGGAATTCGTCCGGGGGGTTACATCAAAGGAAAAACAAATTTGTAAATTTTTTTATTCCGAGCATTTTCATATTTATCTACCTTTTTAAATTTTCTCTGGACCTCAACAAATAATTCAAGACCAAAATGAGCCAAATCGGTCGTTCTCGAGTTTTAGCGAGACGGTTCCTGCTAGGGTTCCTGTTAGCAACGTCGTCAGGTTTGAGCCTCGTGAGCTCACCTACTAGTTAAGGCTACGCTTAAATAGTCTCTCAAGATTCTCAGCTTAGGTAGGAAACAAAAACAAAACGACGCACAGTTCCTGACCTGGTCGGCCCCCCACAGCTGTACGAGGCGGCGGCGGCGCGGCGCGCGGCCCTGGGTCGCCTGCGGGCCCGCGCGCAGCTCGCCCGGGACGCGGCCGAGACTCGCAGCTGGGTCGCGGAGAAGCTCGCCAAGCTGACCGCCGACCAACAGCACGGTGGGACCCCGGGGACTCCTCGCTTTGTACACTTACTGGGGGTGGGGGGGCGAGTACACGGCTCTAAGAAGGGGGCTCCTCGCTTTGTCTCCTTGGGGGGCGAGGGGGTCAGGGGAGGGCATGGCTCTATGAAGGGGACTCCTCGCTTTGTACACTTACCGGGGGTGGGGGTGGGGTGGTCGAGTACACGGCTGGAGTAGCATAGGACTCGCTGAGAAGATCCAGCAAGGAACTCAGTGGGTCGCGATGAGAGTTTTCGTGCATCGAACAGATGAGCTGGGAACTGATGCAGCAACAGACGACCTTATGTCTGGTTTACGTTTACTGGTGGTAGGACGTCTTGTCCACGCGGGTAGGTGCTACCTATTTCTGCCGTGAAGCAGTAATGTGGTTTGAAGGGCGGAGCATCCATCCGTTGTATGTACTGTAAAAACTGAGACCTTAGAACTCATGTCTCAAGGTGGCATTTATGTTGGCGATGTCCATTGGCTCCGGTAATCACTTAACACCAGGTGGGTCGTGAGTTCGTCCACCCATCTAACCAATAAAATAAAATTAAAACTGGACTAAAAGTAATATTGAACCTACTCCTAACAGGCGAAGTCACGAACTTGGAGGATAAGATCAAGAAGCTGCAGAAGCACCAGGCCTTTACCGCCGAGCTGGCGGCCAACAAGGCGCGCCTGCAGGAGGTGGAGGCGCTGGCCCGGCAGCTCAGCCCCGACCCTGAGGTCGAGGAGCAGCTGGCCGAGCTGAGGAATGACTGGNAAACTGGACTAAAAGTAATATTGAACCTACTCCTAACAGGCGAAGTCACGAACTTGGAGGATAAGATCAAGAAGCTGCAGAAGCACCAGGCCTTTACCGCCGAGCTGGCGGCCAACAAGGCGCGCCTGCAGGAGGTGGAGGCGCTGGCCCGGCAGCTCAGCCCCGACCCTGAGGTCGAGGAGCAGCTGGCCGAGCTGAGGAATGACTGGGCGAAGCTCGAAGACGCGACCCGGGAGACTGGTGAGCCAACGTCGCGCAGCTATGTTAGTGCACGACAAGTGCGTAAGGGTCCACGGACCACAGAGGATGCCGATCACCACATTGACGTTAAAGTCGTGGTGGCCAGTGATTCATACTGCTGGTAGGAATGTCAAAGCTTGCTCACATAATATTCGAAGGTTCCCTTACTCCATCCCGATGTAAGAATACAGCAGGGGTGTGCTTAGGGATGTCAAAGTTTGCTCACATAATATTCGAAAGTTCTCTTACTCCGTCCCGATCTGATTATCTCCTCCCTCCTATCGCACCCCTGAATGACCACTGTCAGACATCGTTGAAATGTAAATTGCATCAGACTGTAAAATTGGTATGTGTTACTACAGGTCGTGGCTTGGAAGAAGCTCAAGACATCTTGGAGTTCAACCAGCACTTGGACAAGTTCGAGGCTTGGATCAGAGACAAGGAGATGATGGTATGTGAATAATTTAATGGCGCAAGTGACCGGCAGCATTTTTGTTTTATTTATTTTTTATTGCCCTTGTAGGCAGACGAGCATACGGCCTACCTGATGGTAAGTGGTTACCGTCGCCCGTGGACTCCAGCAATGCCAGGGGCAGAGCCAAGCCGCTGCCTACACTTTAGTGCATGGTTGTGTCATCTTCAGCCACTTGCTAAACTTTGTGATGATACATCAATTCTACTGATGGTGGGACGTATCAGGTATCTACTGAGAAGCACCACTATCCCATTTTTTTTATTGCTTAGATGGGTGGACGAGCTCACAGCCGTGATGTTAAGTGGTTACTGAAGCCCATAGCCATCTACAACGTAAATGCGCCACCCACCTTGAGATATAAGTTCTAAGGTCTCAGTATAGTTACAACGGCTGCCCCGCCCTTCGAACCGAAACGTATTACTGCTTCACGCCAGAAATAGAAAGGGTGGTGGTACCTACCCGCTCGCAGGATTCGAACACTGGTGCATCGCTCAACACGAATGCACTGGACGTCTTATCTTTTAGGCTACGACGACTTCAACTCCTTATTGACCCCCCCCCCTCCTCCCCCAGGTGCAGGCGCACGAGCTGGGCCGCGACTACGAGCACTGCAGCGCGCTGCTCCGCAAGCTGGACGACGTGGACAGCGACATGCGCGTGGACGACCGCCGCGTGCGCAGCGTGCGGGCGCTCGCCGACAAGCTGCTCAACCAGGTAGACCCCCCACGGCTATAGCTCCAGGATCCAACGAGCGCAGTGGACTAACGATCGCACAAGCATACAGCTTACTTAAACTCTTCTCTCTAACGTTTTTCCTCGAGATAAAGGACCTTCATTTGTACTCGAAGGACCTTGGGACGGACCTTCACAAACTCAATGATATTGTTACGCGCTGGGGTTCGGGATAAATAAAAATTGTACCGAAGCACAAATTAAGACTTAGAACACTTAACGAGCCTTAGTGATATGTTCGCTGTTTCGCTTCGAATACCTAGTTCCGATTATTAACTGCCTTCGTGTCATCTCTGCAACGCCTTTGTAGTCGATACAACATCCCTAGATTTATTGAGAACATTTTGGGCAAGTCGAGTAGCTTCGATCTGTGTACTGTTGTACTTCTCGAGCGTTCTCAACGTCACTAGTTCCTTCGACGTTCGTTCGTCTATTCGGCGATAGATGGCGTTACTCATACCGGCGTAGTAATATTTATTTAACACAGCTGTCTTCGCGGCCATAATTTTGAAGTTGAAGTAGTTTCTATCGTTTCGTCCAGTATGTATATAACCTTATGATGGAATCTTTACAATAATTTTAACTGACTTCAAGACGTTTTATTAATAATGATGGCGACACAGTAATTACATATATTAACCTTAATAGGATAGTTTTGGAAATATTATATTTTTCATCCAATTCGCCATTTAAGGTTTTTTTTTTAAATCGAAATGGCGAAACTGATTTCCACTTCAGAATAAGTATTGAGGAATCCTTGAGATGAGGAGTAGCATATCTTGCGTTGTGTGTCAGGGCCCCACCCAGCAGGCGGCTACGGTGGCGCAGCGCCGCGACGCCTTCCTGTCGAAGTGGGCGGCCCTCAGCGGAGCCCTACAGCGGTACCGGGACAACCTGGCCGCTGCTCTCGAGATACATTCGTTCAACAGGTAACAACATATTTTTTATCTGGACTAAATTGGTGAACGAACTCACCGAGTATCCCAAGGTCACTGGAACTCATACTGTCCGCCTTGTGAGATATGACCTCTAAGACTCTCATGTTCAATGGCCACGTCAATATTGAGACACTTGACACACAATATCCGTCATCGCCGGATGTCGAGTTTTATTACTTAGCGGTAGGCAGCGGCTTGGCTCTGCGTGTGGCATTGCTGAAGTCCATGGGCGACAGTAATCAATTACCATCAGGTGGGCCGTATGCTCGTCTGCCTACAAGGGCAATAAAAAAAAACAAAAAAACTTACCCAATTATACTCGTCTGTAAGTATCGTTGTAAGCACGTGCTGTCCAATAGCTCACAACGACATATAAGCGGTGTACGGACCACAGGGTTCACTGAAGCTTGGAAGTTAATATGTGAGTACCTCCACCTCCCCCCTACAGAGACGTGGAAGACACGGCGGAGCGTATCTCGAAGAAGGCGGCCATCTTCAGCAGCACGGAGCGCGGGCGCGAGCTGGAGGCCGCCCACCTGCTGCGCCGCAGCCACCTGGCGCGCGCCGCCGAGGCCTCCGCCGTGCTCACCAGGATCCAGGAGCTACAGGCGGACGGCACCGACCTCGCTACCAGGTCCGCCTCATTAAGGAATCATACACAACTAAAAACTGTATTTAACACCTAAAACACTCAACAAACACTTTCAAATTCTCAATTCGGTTCTTCCGCTTCGCTTCGGGTGATCCATTCGCTGTTTCGCTTCGAGTATTTCCGATTAGTAACTGCCTGTGTGCCATCTCTGCAATGCTTTTATAGCCGATAGATACCACATCCCTAGAATTATCGAGAATATTCCACAAATCTCTAGTACCGTGTTTCCGCTATCCGACAATAGATGGCGTTGTACTTCTCGAGCGTTCTAGGTGCTACTAATACCTTCGATATTCGTTCGACTATTCGGCGATAGATGGCGTTACTCTTACCGGCGTAACAACGTTGTATCGTTTGCCAGACACCCAGAGCACGCTAAAGACATAGAGGAGAGTCTCCGCAACTTGCGCGAGGGTTGGGACAACCTGCAGAAGTTGGCTGAGAGGAGAACCGCGCTGCTAGACGCGGCCATCAACGAGCACAAATTCGATGAGAACTTAAAGGTTTGTAAAGTGCTCATCTATTGATCTAACCGACAGTGCAGTACGGGTTACTCCGATATTTTGGACACGTATCGCGACGGCCAGCAGGGCTTATGAAGAAACATTTTGTTCAGGGTAGTGTTGATGGTAAAAGACCTGCTGGCCAAAGCCCCATGCGCTGACCAGTTTTTTTTTATTCCTTAGATAACGCATGACCTCACGCATGACGATGCACGGTCCTAGCGTATGTAATCAAACTTGACTTGGGTCAATCGACTCAAACTCAATAATGTAAATGTTTCTCAGGAATTGGAAGTCTGGGTGTCGGAAGCCGTGAAGCAGATGGACGAAGTCGAGGACCCGGAGACGATGGCAGAAGCCCAGGCCCTGCTGGAGCTTCACGACGAGAAGAAGGTACCGGAGATTAGATTTTAAACATAGGTTTCGCGGTCTCCCGCACCCTATTATTGTTCGCCTTTCATTTAAGAAATACCATATTAGAGTTTGTTAATAATATAAGGAGAACGCTATTACCCGAATTAAATTCAAAATGCATAACACTGTATAAGAAAAATGAAAGGACTTTTTGGCGGGAACGCGAGGAGGGAAGTTGTGTGATTTGTTTTATTTTGTCTATTTCGTGTTTCTTCAGGTTTAAATGTGTAATAATGGTGGTTTATTAACTGTTTGATATCTGTGAAAGTGCACAAATGTGGGAAAATGAAATAAAGCCGCTGGACGTAACTTCTCGGGATCCTCCAAAAAGTCCACTGAAAGAATCTTAGTAAATGACCACCATTTTACTGAGATTATATTTCATCCCGTATCATCTCATTTAATTTCATCCCAGTTGATTAATGTCTTAAATTCATCATCTTCATTTCATTTCACTCCATAATATCATTTTCCATAAAAATATGAATATAAACTAAAATGAGACATGACTTAAAGGTCTCAGTTACCAGGTCATAAAATCCCTTAAAAAAAAAGAAAAATGAAATGTTTGTTAAAACGACACTACTTGTTTTGAGCTTGGAGAGATTTTAAAAACAGCGTCATAAACTAGCACACTCCACATTAATCCAACACACTTGACTCTTTTTAAAATTGCTATATTCATATCGTTTCCACTACCTACACTAGCGCTAGGTCGGTGAGTCTTCCAACAATACCTAGCTGCTTACAGACGGACACTTATTCAACTTGTCCTCTATACAAGATGGTGCTTCTTTCCTCCACCCTCCATAGTAGCCGCATGGCTGCAACCGTCACTGTCACAGCCCGACAAGTGACGCTGGGGGAAGACCCTAACGATTCCCCCACTGTACTATCTTGCACACTGACAGTCCGCTGTCTATTGTTAATAATGTCCTTCTCCCCCCAGGCCGAAATCGACAACCGCCAGAAAGCCATAGCCTCGCTGAAGAAGGAGGCCGAGCAAACGCCGGAGAAGCTTAAGAAAGTTGAACACCTCTCCACCACCCTCGACCAAGCCTGGCTGAAGAGGAAGGAGAATTTGACTCAGGTAAAGCTTCCGTTTGTATCTATGTAATTACAGTTTCGTCCTCCAAATTTGAACAATCGCTATGCGGCAGAAATGGGTAAAGGACCCACCAATCTTGAGGCATGAGGTCTAAATCCCAATTGTATTAAAACTTTTTTTTTATTTCTTAGATGATTGGACAAGCTCACAGCCCACCTGGTGTTAAGTGGTTACTGGAGCCCATAGACATCTACGACGTAAATGCGCCAGCCACCTTGAGATATAAGTTCTAAGGTCTCGAGTATAGTTACAACAGCTGCCCCGCCCTTCAAACAGAAACGCATTATTGCTTCACGGCAGAAATAGGCGGGGTGGTGGTATCTACCCGCGTGGACTCACGAGAGGTCCTACCACCAGTAAAACCGACCTGTACGTCACTCTCGCGGCCGCATGCCCGCTTGCTATGCATAGTGTTTAGTATCTATGTCCGTCTTTTGACAGAGAAGTGTATAATCTATGTTCCGGGCGCTTCCGTTTTGAGTGTGAGCAGCGTGCGTCCGCGTCTTGTTGTAATCATCCTTTTAAATCTAAAATTATTTGTGTTTAAGAAAGATTAGAATTCGAAATTCGATACTAGTGACTAAACCATATAGTTTTATTGAATAAAAATACCCCTGAGATATCTACCCCTCATTACAAAGTAACATCTCTTTCGAACCCGGACGTCTTGCTGGTCTGATACAGAACTGAGCTGAATCATTTCGGATCCTCCCGATCCACTAACGGTGCTTTTGGGTACCTCAAGCACCGGTCACCGTTCTCGTCGAACCCGTCGCTCGCGACGAAGGGCTCGACGAGTAAATTAACCCACAGACACAGCCCACTGAGTTTCTCGCCGGATCTTCTCAGTGGCTCGCGTTTCGGATCCGGTGGTAGATTCTGCGAAGCACGGCTCTTGGTAGGGTTCGTGTTAGCAACGTCGTCAGGTTTGAGCCCCGTGAGCTCACCTACTAGTTAAGCTTAGGAAAAAAAAAGAGCTGAATGGTAGTCCTAATACTGTGCGAGAAAGAGAAGGATAGTGTATTATTATACCCAAATTAAACTTCAAGCTATCTGTCCCAGGCACACCAGTTGCAGCTACTGAAGGAGCAAGCGAGACAGATCGAAGACTGGCTCTCGACTAAGGAGGCCTTCTTGAACAATGACGACTTGGGAGAGAACTTGGACGGTAAGCTGCATCCGCGTCAAGGACTCCCCCCCCCCACATACCGACACCCTCGAATAGCCACCCCCCACCTCCCAATCTTGGGACATGAGTTCCGAGTCTCAGTTTTTACTGAAACACATAATTGCTTCAAGCGCAAATTATAATATTGCGGGTTTTATTTTTTAATACGCTTTTATTAGCTTCGGAGAATACTCCTCACTCACTTTAGCTTTATTAAATCGTCTGTGTTGATGCGCAGCCGTCGAGACCCTCATCCGTAAGCACGCTGAGTTCAGCAAGCTGCTGGAGAGCCAGATCTGCCGCGTCGACGAACTGAGAAAGAGCGCTGAGGGCTTGAAGGACCATCCTCTGAGGGTCAGGGTGGACGACGTCCTCCGCAGGGCCGACAGACTCAAGGTCAGTAATAATGCAACCAGGATATCGGCGTAATGTTGTGTGAAGAAATCATTTAAATGGTCCACTGAATCCACTTCATAAGTTTTGGTGGGAACAGAGAAGGAATGTTCAAATGCTTCTGGAAGAGGGAGCTTTTCTTTAACACTGGATGCATCAGAATCACAATAAAAACAGACTAAAATTTGTTACAATAAATCTATGTTTATATTTTCAACTAGCTGACCCGACAGACTTCGTAGTGCCTCAATCGATAAATGAAAGATCTCAACATTTGTATAAAAAAAACTTAAAACAATCAAAAGGAATCGGGAGACACATCAAAGGAAAAACAAAATCGTTATTTTTATTTGATTCCGTGCATTTTAAACCTTCTCTGGGCTTCTACAAATAATTCAAGACCAAAATTAGCCAAATCGGTCCAGCCGTTCTCGAGTTTTAGCGAGACTAACGAACAGCAATTCAATTTTATATATGAAGGAGGAGAAACCTCTGTAATGTTTTTAAAAAGTGTGACGTCATTGCTGCAATTTCTCATCGTAATAAACACAAAGTAATTAATTGATGATCAGATGATCCGATGATCACATTCAATCATTATTATTTTTATAATAAGTAGGTAAATAGTCATATTTGCGCCGATATATATATTTTCAATATTGCCTTCCATAAGTACATTCGCTTCTTTGATCATGCTAGAATTGAATTACTCTTGTTACGTTCAGGAGTCGTGTAAGTCGCGCGGAGACGTGCTGCAGCAGTCCAGACAGCTGCACCAGTTCCTGCAGGATCTGCAGCACGAGAGGGAGTGGATCGCGCTCAAGATGCAGATCGCCAACGACCAAAATTACAGGTACGGACTTCACTTTGATTACTGGTGGTAGGACCTCTTGTGAGTCCGCGCGGGTAGGTACCACCACCCTGCCTATTTCTGCCGTGAAGCAGTAATGCGTTTCGGTCTGAAGGGCGGGGCAGCCGTTGTAACTATACTGAGACCTTAGAACTTATATCTCAAGGTGGGTGGCGCATTTACGCTGTAGACGTCTATGGGCTCCGGTAACCACTTAACACCAGGTGGGCTTTGAACTCGTCCAGCCATCTAAGCAATAAAAAAATTAAAAATAATAATAATAATAATAACCGTCATCACGTAGACTATGCATTAGACACTGTATAGCCATCATACTAAGGCTATACGTAAATAATAAAAATCTTACGTTACGGACGTTTTTTCCCGGTTAGGGTACCCACCCCTCCGCATCGTCCCATAAGGAACTTCGTTCCAAAAAAAACCCGAAGTCTCGCTCATTAGGCCACGGCGGCCTTAGTACGTAAACGTTGATGATTGAATGTTGGTGTTGTCCCACAGAGAACTGTCCAACTTGCAGTCCAAGATACAGAGGCACGCCGCCTTCGAGTCTGAGCTGGCGGCCAACAAGGGACGCATCGACGACGTCGCCAACAGAGGGGAGGCGCTTATTGGTAACTATACTGTCCCCTCATATCGGTATACGGATAATGTTGCGGAGAGTACACGACAAAGGGAAGACGTTATATAAGGGTTTAAGTAATTTTGCTCTGTAGACCGACTGTCCGAATTAGGCATATGAAAAAAGTATCGATTCGATCGATAATTATATCGATATTTTAGAGCGATATTTAATATTTCGATATAATGATTAATCGATATAAAATTTCAAGTATCGAAAAGGTATAAAAAATGATATTTTTTTTCAAACCAATAAACATTTATAATCCTAGATTAGGCCAAATAAATTAACTTTTAGCGTCAGGTAATACCGATATCCGTTGGACGGACCAGATTCGTGCAGCCCTGGATACCACAGTGCACGATGCTCTGCACTCAGCTGCAGATAGGAACAGATGGCGGTGCACTATAAAAAACAATCTGTTTCAAGGCCATGACCAAGACCCTCAGTAATGAGGAAACCGACGCAAGGAGGAGGAGAATACCGATATACCAATATTTTTTAGTAAAAATATCAATATCAATATTGATTTTTCAAAACATATCGATACGATATAATATGTCGATACTTTATTGCATTTCCGACATCTCTAGTCCGAATGTTGTTGTTCGTAACTTGTATATATGCAAGCTGATCGTAGGCGAGATTCAGGCATCTTGCAAATATCTTGTGTTCTGTGATGGCTACCCACCACAATGATTATATATTATACAACCAGATAATAAATATATCGACGCTTGAAAGGCAAACGTGACTAAGCGACAATGCGTGAACTTTACAGTAGACTAATTTAAAGTTGAAATACCTGAAAAAAGTTCTATTTTAACGAATCTAGCTGTAGGATTGAAATGATTTTAATAGACCTAGAAATATATATTTTTTGCGCATCGAATATGGTTATTGCCTATCATTTATGTACAAAGCAGTTATTGTCGCTTATTCACGTTTGCCTTTCAAGCGTCGATATAGATGCCAGTGGTCGACCAGTGATCGAAATGGGACAACAATCAATGCCCAAAAACAAAACCAATCAATTCCAAATTCACCAGCATATATTGTCAAAAGATTAATATCACAAGTGTCTGCCGTGTCGGCCACGCTATGTACGACTATTTATTTATTTATCGTATGGCATTCGTTTACACTGCGTGGTTATAATTTAAATTTACAGTTTGTGAAATAATCGATAGCTTCTTCTGTTAAATTTTTGAGATCTTCCACTTGGCCTGCGAATTTCGTTAGTGGGCATTCCATGACAATGTGGCGCATAGTTTGCTCTGGGCATCCATATTATCATCATACGACTGACTCATTATAATAAGCAACGGACACTTGTATGTGATACTTAAATAGTGTCCCTACAATTTATATATATAGAATTTTAGGATCAGCCCAGTTGTTGTAAATGAAAGTCGTTATTAACTCACACACCGAAAATACAATAGGTACATACAGTTTTATTATAGCTATCTAAGTGGAACTGTGTTCGCTGTGTGACCGTTACAACTGGACTGTCGTCCAAATATCCTTTTCCCACAAGCGTGGAATGGTGAAGATGACACCTTGCATTACGTAGCCAGGTAACACGCCACGTACGTTATAAAGCATGTGTTTGTGAGACCCTACAAGAATACAGAAGTAAATCCAATTGTGACGTCATTAGTGACCAAAAAATCAAGTGTCTCATATCACTTTTTTTATGATTGACAGAAGCCAAACATTACGCTTCTCAAGAGATAGCGAAACACGTCGAGGAGTTGGAGAACCAGTGGCAGGAATTGCAGGTGAGATCCGCGTGGCCTTCATATAAACATGACCTCTTCAAACGTGGCTTGTGGAGAGTACTGGTATTTTTACTGGTGGTAGGACCTCTTATGAGTCCGCACGGGTAGGTACAACCGCCCTGCCTATTTCTGCCATGAAGCAGTAATGCGTTTCGGTTTGATGAGTGGGGCAGCCGTTGAAACTATATTGAGACTTTAGAACTTATATCTCAAGGTGGGTGGTGCATTTACGTTGTGGATGTCTATGGGCTCCAGTAACCACATGACACCAGGTGGGCTGTGAGCTCGTCCACCCATCTAAGCAATAAAAAAAATTAAATTTTGCGGTAGGCAGCGGCTTGGCTCTGCCCCTGGCATTACTGATGCCCGTGGGCGACGGTAACCGCTCGTTGCCTAAAAGGGCAATAAAAAAAAGAAGAAAAAAACTATTGAAAAGTTTACAGGAGGAGTGTATAAACCCTGGTGCTACCTCACGTTGTCACCTGACTCGCAGCTAAATTCCTAAACTCCCAAGTCATCTGGAATTTCGTTTAAAATCTAAATAATTGACTCATTAAATACGATAACGCTATTAAATGTGTACACGCTCTCGTCCTGAATTTCATTGATAAGATTGAATAACGTTGTTTACAATAAGGGGCCATTCATAAATTACGTCACACGAATTTTAGGACTTTTGACCCATATAGTTCAAGTTCGTAGATTTTTTTAAGTTTTTTATTCACATCTAAACTTCGCGTTTTCATATTTTGAATTTTAACATGTGACGTCACAAAACTATTGACCCCCCATGCCCCTTCTCACGCAATATCACATTTTGGCGATACCCCCCTCCCCATCAACGTGTGACGTAATTTATGGATGACCCTTAATTCGTATCGTCACTACGCGTGCAGACCGCCGCTAAGCTGCGTCACGATCGCCTGCAAGAAGCCTACCAGGCCAGGATCTTCTTCCGAGGGTTAGACGACTTCACCACCTGGCTGGACGAGGTGGAGGCGCAGCTGCTCAGCGAGGACCACGGTATGCACTCCATCATTGGTCATTTAGCGAAATCTTTACGATGTGTCCCTCTACGCCCTGTTTTAAAGGTTTGAGAATCCTTTTCAATAGTCCGTTCTCACTGTCGAGGCCATTCCTGACATATCGTCTGCATGTCGATAGCAGGAATCCTCAAAGAATCAAATCAAATCAAATTTTTTTTATTCAACATAAATGAAAGTACACACTTGTTGAACGTCAAAAAGAACTACCGCCAATTCACAAAAACTAGCCTCCGTCCTGAGAAGAACTGGCAAGAAACTCAGCGGGCATGGTTTATTTTTTTAATTATTCATTTTTACAATGAGTATTATAACATAACAATTATTGCAATATTGAAATGTCCGGAGCGAGCAACTCATTCCCACTTGGTGCAGTCTTGTTCCTCTTCAAATAATGAAGTAGGATTTGTTGTGAGGCACAAATCTCTTCAGCTTTGAATATAGCTTGCTTCTATTGAAGCCAACATGAATGTAAACTTAGAACTTTAGAACTTTGAAAAATACTGCATATAACCATGCTATTGTGAAGGGTCAGCATCATGCCGGCTCCATTAACGGTGCTCTTAGGTACCACAAGCACCGGTCACCATCCTCGTCGAACCCGTCGCTTGCGACGAAGGGCTCGACGAGTGAATTAACCCTCAGACACAGCCCACTGAGTTTCTCGCCGGATCTTCTCAGTGGGTCGCGTTTCCGATCCGATGGTAGATTCTGCGAAGCACTGCTCTTGCTAGGGTTCGTGTTGGCAACGTCGTCAGGTTTGAGCCCCGTGAGCTCACCTACTAGTTAAGGCGACGCTGAAATAGCCTCGCAAGGCTCTCCAGCTTAGATAGAAAAAAAAAACTGGTGGTAGGACCTCTTGTTAGTCCGCGCGGGTAGGTACCACCACCCTGCCTATTTCTGCTGTAAAGCAGTGATGCGTTTCGGTTTGAAGGGCGGGGCAGCCGTTGTAACTATACTCGAGACCTTAGAACTTATGTCTCAAGCTGGGTGGCGCATTTAAGTTGTAGATGTCTATGGGCTCCAGTAACCACTCAACACCAGGTGGGCTGTGAGCTCGTCTGCAGCAGTTCAGGATGTTAGCCTGAGTGAGCAGTGAGGTTCTGGTCATCAATGAAGTTCTTTATCGAATTATCGGTGTGGCTGTGTACTCTAGGCAAGGACCTGGCGTCGGTGACGGTCCTGCTGAAGCGGCACTCCCGCCTCGAGCAGCAGGTGTCCAGCAAGGCCGACACGGCGACGCAATTGGCCGACACCGCCCGCCAGCTCGCCGACACCAAGCACTTCATGGCGCAGGAGATACTGGACAGAGCCGACCAGGCCGTCAAACGGTAAGCCGACACCAGACCCGGTACTTCTTTTTTTATTGCTTAGATGGGTGGACGAGCTCACAGTCCACCTTTTTTTTTAACGCTGGGGAATCCGTTTACTGATACCCGGTGGAGGGGGGTAACAGACCGGGTTATGTCGGACTCCGGCGCCTCTAGAGAAGAAGAGGGAGACTACGCCTTGAGAAAGGCGCGTGAGACGCTGCACGGCATCAGCCACGCAAGAGCTACCCCGAAAAACCGACTACCGACTAAACCCCATCGAGCCCCACCACTCCGACTCCACGAAACCCACGGCACCTCACAGTGCGAGCCGTCGCCGGTACCCGTCCTGATAATAGGACGGGATTCCATCCCCGGGAAAATCCCGCAGGACGTCGTCTCGGGAGACACACCGTGAGCGGCGCACAGGAGCCACCTTGCGCCGCCTCACCACCGGACTCATTATATTCATTACATTCACATTACATTACATTACACTCATTATATCTCATTTCATTTAATTTCATCCCAGTTGATTAATGTCTCAAATTAATCATCTTCATTTCATTTCACTCCATATTATCATTTTTCATAAAAATATGAATATAAATTAAAATAAGACATGACTTAAAGGTCTTAGTTACCAGGTCATAAAATCCCTTCTTTGAAAAAATCGGCGCGTGACGCGATGTCGATCTAAATGACATTCAAATATTCCGTTAAATATAATTATTACACAACTACATAACAAAAGCGAGTTAAAAAGATGTGTTTTTAACTCGCTTTTGAATCGTTACGCACACAGATGCTTAGTGCGAGTTTTTAACGTCTTCGATAGCGTAAAAGTTAACTTTAATTTGTATATAATTGGCACAGCGCCCCTAGCGGCAAACGTAGGCAAACTTTCCGACTCCATACAAATCGGAGTTAACTTTTACGCTATCGAGAACGTTAAAAAACTCTCACTAAGCACAGTATTCACTCGGCGGTCTCTCTCTTGTCGTGAACTGAAACTCTAACAGTACCCTCTGGTCTGCAGCTACCGCCAGCTACAAGAGCCGATACAGATCAGAAGAGATAATCTAGAAGATGCCGAGCTTCTCCACCGCTGGGATAGAGACGCCGACGAGGAATTCGCCTGGTGAGTCACGGACTTGTGGACCCACGTCGAGCCGTGAGGTCGGGTCAACGTAATGGTTTCGCTGCAGAGATAATCGGGATTGTGGTACCTACCCGTGCGGGCTGTAGGACGCCAGTAACTACGCATTATTTAAAGTGTGTTTTTTTTTTGCTTAGATGCGTGGATGACCCTTCCTGGTGTTAAGTGGTTATTGGAGTCGATAGACATCTACAACGTAAATGCGCCACCCACCTTGAGATATACAACGGCTGCCCCACCCTTCAAACCGAAACGCATTACTGCTCCACGGCAGAAATAGGCAAGGCGGTGGTACCTACCCGTGCGGACTCACAAGACGTCCTACCACCAGTAAAATTATCTCTTTATATATATCTATATATTATGACATTGTGATGTCCACGGGCCGCTCCGAGTCTTCAACACCTATTCATTCGAATCTTCGAAATCTCAGTGCGGAACCTTGGATCCTCAGGTTACAGGAACGGGAGCCCTTGGTGCACCAGGAGGACGCCGGCTCCTCGCTGCCGGAGGCGCAAGCTCTGCTGAAGAAGCACCTGTCTCTGGAAGCTGAGCTTATCGCCAGGTACGAAAGTTTTAATATTAAACGTAACTCCTATATATCACTCGAGGTCCATGTTGTACACAGAAATAAGTCCACGGACCACATCGCAACGCCAGCGACTTTGACCTCAAGTTCGAGGTCAAAAGAGTGAACGTTGAGGCTTAGTTGGAAGTCGTCTTGGATTTCTTTTTCTTTTTTTTTATTGCCCTTGTAGGCAGACGAGCATACGGCCCACCTGATGGTAAATGGTTACCGTCGCCCATGGACTTCAGCAATGCCAGGAGCAGAACCAAGCCGCTGCCTACAAACCTTTCGACTGACTTCATCGACGTGGTATCCCAATCCCAGCCTACTTAACGCTAGCAGTAAAAGTCTAGAGATGAAACGGATATCCGGTAATTATCCGGTCTATCCGGCCATGTTTTCACTATCCGGCCGTATTTCGGATAGTAAAATTTATGAAAATTCATGGTTATTATACAAAAGGCAAATAATACCACAATAAGTTATGGACATCTTTAATTTTTATAATCGCACTAGCGACCCGCCCTCGCTTCGCTTCGGAAGCTGTAATTTATTATTGATTTCTCCACTATTTAATGGATGTTATTATACATATAAACCTTCATCTTCAATCACTCCATCTATTAAAAAAAACCGCATCAAAATCCGTTGCGTAGTTTTAAAGATTTAAGCATACATAGGGATATAGGGACAGAGAAAGAGACTTTGTTTTATACTATGTAGTGAAGTCAGAAGTGTGGTTGTTTTATTAATTAGTTTGTTTAATACCCAAAATGAACAAGTGGCAAATTGTGGTGAGTGAATATCAAATCGTCGTCGTACCGAGTCGTCGCGATCTCCGCTCATGAGCGATAACACCCGGACGCGCACGAATATTTCGGAAAGAGCCAAATATCCGGTATATCCGGCCAAACGTTGGTAGGCAGCGGCTTGGCTCTGCCCCTGGCATTGCTGAAGCCCATGGGCGACGATAACCACTCACCATCAAATGGGCCGTGTGCTCGACTGTCTACAACAGCAATAAATAAAAAAGCATTTACGTTCTATGATAGGCAGATCAATATTGAGCCTCTTAAACATGTCTTGTGTATATTCATATTTTGGTATTGCTGATGCTGATGGGCATATCCATTCAATCATTGAATGAATATGTTAGAGGAAGAGCAATAAACAAAAAAAGACTATCCGTTTCATCTCTAAGTAAAACCTCTGTGCACTCAATGACCAAGTATCGATCCGTGTCGTCCGTCTCATATCCAGAGAGCCCACGGTCAGCGCCGTGTGCGGGCGCGCGGCGCAGCTGTCCCGGCGAGGTCACTTCGCGTCGGGCGCCCTAGAGGCCCGGGCGCGCGAGTTGTCGGCGCTCATGCGGTCCCTGCTGCACGGCGCCAGCGTGAGGACCGCGGCGCTGCAACGCCGGTGCGACGTGCTCATGGTGAGTGGACTAGCAGGGACTGTTGTTGTCCCAGGGCACTCTTTTTCTTTTGTTGTTGTTGTTTATATGGGTGGACGAGCTCACAGCCTACCTGGTGTTAATGGGCTCCAGTAACNAAGTTCTAAAGTCGCAGTATAGTTACAACGGCTACCCCACCCTTCAAACCGAAACGCATTACTGCTTCACGGCAGAAATAAGCAGGGCGGTGGTACCTACCCGCGCGGACTCACAAGTGGTCCTACCACCAGTAATTACGCAAATTATAATTTTGCGGGTTTGATTTTTATTACACGATGTTATTCCTTCACCGTGGAAGTCAATCGTGAACATTTGTTGAGTACATATTTCATTAGAAAAATTGGTACCCGCCTGCAGGATGCGAACACCGTTGCATCGCTTCAACACGAATGCACCGGACGTCTTATCCTTTAGGCCACGACGACTTCAACAGCTTCAGCTGTGTGAAAGCTCACACTAGTGCTATATTCCAGTTGGTGTCGGAGGTAGCGGAGGCGCGCGCGTGGCTGGCGGCGCGGCGGGGGGCGGTGGGGGGCGGGGCGGGGGCCGAGCCGCGGGACGAGGGGGAGGCTCGCGGCCTCACGCGCCGCCTGCACGCCGCGCTCGCAGACCTCACGCCCTTCGACCTCACGCTGGACAAGCTGTACAAGGCCTGCGCTGCTCTGCAGGTACAACACTGTCTTAGTTACTATTTAGAGCGCCATTTGTTCAACACATCAGTAATCCTACTAATATTATAATTGTCAAAGTTTGTAAGAATGTATGTTGGTTACCCTTTCACCCAAAAACTACTAAATGGATATTGATGAAACTTTACAATAATATAGCTTACACATCAGAATAATACATGGGCTATCTATACTTCTATACTAATACTAATACTAATAATATTATAAAGAGGAAAGATTTGTTTGTTTGTTTGTATTGAATAGGCTCCGAAACTACTGAACTGATTTGAAAAAAATCTTTCATTGCTTGGAAGCTGTACTATTCCCGAGTGTCATAATAGGCTATAATCTTTTTTGAAAAAAATTAAAAATCCTTACTAAAACTTTTTTTTTTTTTTTTATTGCTTAGATGGGTGGACGAGCTCACAGCCCACCTGGTGTTAAGTGGTTACTGGAGCCCATAGACATCTACAACTTAAATGCGCCACCCACCTTGAGATATAAGTTCTAAGGTCTCAGTATAGTTACAACGGCTACCCCACCCTTCAAACCGAAACGCATTACTGCTTCACGGCAGAAATAGGCAGGGCGGTGGTACCTACCCGTGCAGACTCACAATAGGTCCTACCACCAGTGATTACGCAAATTAAAATTTTGCGGGTTTTGATTTTTATTACACGATGTTATTCCTTCACCGTGGAAGTCAATCGTGAACATTTGTTAAGTACGTATTTCATTCGAAAAATTGGTACCCGCCTGCGGGATTCGAACACCGATGCATCGCAACAACGAATGCACCGGACGTCTTATCCTTTAGGCCACGACGACTTCAAAACTCCAATAATGTAACCCAAGGTGTAAAAAAATTACCTAAGATATACTTTACATCGCGTGCCCTGCGAAAACTATTGATGATAGAATAAAATAATGTACTACGACTTTGTAGAACATATTATTATTTACAAAAATTATAGTTATGCCGCGCTAAGTGTACTTTTATTTTTAAAAATAAAACAACGTCAAATATCGTTGAAATTTTTGTTAAAAGACCCGAGCGGAGCCGGAGCGGGCTGCTAGTATTGTATATAAACTAACATAACTATATAGATCAGGCCCGTAGTGTTTCTACGGTAGAGGGTGACTTGCCCCATGTACTGACACCGTGTGTGTGTGTGTGTGTGGGGGCGGCAGGAGCGCGGCGCGGGGGACGCGGACGAGGTCAAGCGCAGCATCGACGAGCTGAAGGCGGAACACGAGGACATGAAGCTGCTGGCGGCCAGGAGGCAGCAGCGCCTCGAGCAGAGCGTCAAGTACTTCAAGTGAGTCCACGTCCTTTATCACTAGAGGTCGGAGTAGGTAGATTGATTTAAGGCTTCGTCAAACAGTACGCGTACATAGCGCGCGTCAGAACGCTAAACTGACGGCGCGCTATGACGCCGAGATGTGTTGTACTACTGTGGTAACATACCGTCAAACAGAGCCCCAGCGCTATAAGTACGCAACGCTCTGTCGCGGCGTTAGGACACTTTGACGAAATCAAACCCGCAAAATTATAATTTGCGTAATTACTGGTGGTAGGACCTCTTGTGAGTCCGCACGGGTAGGTACCACCACCCTATCTATTTCTGTCGTGAAGCAGTAATGCGTTTCGGTTTGAAGAGAGGCGTTGTAACTATACTGAAACCTTAGAACTCATATCTCAAAGTGGGTGGTGACATTTACATTGTAGATGTCTATGGGCTTCAGTAACCAATTAACACCAGGTGGGCTGTGACTTTGTCTACCCATGTAAGCAATAAAAAAAAAGCAGCCCCGCGCCCTCGCGTGAATCGAGCTGGTATCTGAATTCTGTAGACAGAATGATATTTTGTTATACCTTCGGTGGATACTAGCAGTAAAAGTGTCTTTATAGCTTATTACAAAATAATTTTCAGAAATATTTTGGTGTTTTTTTTTTTAATTATTAGTAATCTGGGTGTTAGGAGACCGCTTCCGAAAACGAAGACAGACGATAGTACTAATGACACCTTTGATTAGATAAAAGTTGGGTCAATAAGTATAATATGATCGCGCGAGTCTGCCGGGCGTTCGTTGACCCGAGCATCAGCCGTTTTTTATTTTGTGTTTCATTACTGGTTTTTTTTTTAGTAAAGTAATNTTTTTTTTTTAATTATTAGTAATCTGGGTGTTAGGAGACCGCTTCCGAAAACGAAGACAGACGATAGTACTAATGACACCTTTGATTAGATAAAAGTTGGGTCAATAAGTATAATATGATCGCGCGAGTCTGCCGGGCGTTCGTTGACCCGAGCATCAGCCGTTTTTTATTTTGTGTTTCATTACTGGTTTTTTTTTTAGTAAAGTAATGTATTTTTAATGAACCTATCGTTTCATTTAGCTGTACTAACATGATGGAGCGTAAACAAGCTAATAAAACGTTTTAATGTTATTATTTTTTAAAAATCAGAATCGTTTTTTTTCCGTCCCATCATCAAAGGTCATTTGTACTGTTACGCACTGGGGTTCGGGTTAAATAAAATTCTACCGATCTAACTAACTAACTAACCGATCTAATATCTAATCTAATAAAATTCTAATTACAAATTAAGACTGTATTCCACACTTAGAGCACTTAAAACACTTCACTACACTACACTTTTAAAATTCTCAATTCGCTTCTTCCGCTTCGCTTCAGGTGATCCGTTCGCTGTTTCGCTTCAAGTAGTTCCGATCACTGACTGACTGCGTGCCATCCCTGCAACGCTTTTATAGCCGATACCACATCCCTAGAATTATCGAGAATATTCCACACATCTCTAGTATTGTTTTTCCGCTACCTGACAATAGATGGTGTTGTACTTGTCGAGCGTTCTAGGTGCTACTAGCTATATCCTTCGATATTCGTTCGACTATTCGGCGATAGATGGCGTTACTCTCACCGGCGTAACAGTACTATCGTCTGTTTTCGTTTTTGGAAGCGGTCTCCTGACACCCAGTATAGTGACGTCATAAGCTGCCTAGTAGGGGTCCAGTCTAGTGACAGTACACGCTGCTACTCCTGCAGGTTCGTGGAGGAGTGCGAGGAGGTCTCCGAATGGATCGGGGAGCAGATGGCGGCGGCCGCCAGCGAGGACTACGGGCTGGACGTGGAGCACGTAGACACGCTGCAGCAAGCCTTCGCGAGCTTTTTAACTCAACTTAACGGTAAGCTCGGCCGTCTGCTGCTGGGCGACTCAGTCATAAATGCCAACGTTATGCCAAGTTATGTATGCCAATTTTTTTAATGAAATACGTACTTACCAATTCACGATTGACTTCCACGGTGAAGGAATAACGTCGTGTAATAAAAATCAAACTCGCAAAAATTATAATTTGCGTAATTACTGGTGGTAGGACGTGTTGTGAGTCCGTGCGGGTAGGTACCACCACCCTGCCTATTTTTGCCGTGAAGCAGTAATGCGTTTCGGTTTGAAGGGTAGGGCAGCCGTTGTAACTATACTTGAGACCTTAGAACTTATATCTCAAGGTGGGTGGCGCATTTACGTTGTAGATGTCTACGGGCTCCAGTAACCATTTAACACCAGGTGGGTTATGAGCTCGTCCACCCATCATCATCATCCTGCCCTTCTCCCAGTCACCTGGGGTCGGCGCAACATGTTTTCTTCTTCCATACTACTCTATCATATACCATTTCTTCGCTCACTCCTCACTTACACATATCGTCTTTCACGCAATCCATTCATTTCTTCTTAGGTCTACCTCTTCCTCTATATCCTTCCACATTCATAGTTAACATTCTCTTACCAACCTCATTTTCATTTCGTCTCATCACATGTCCATACCATCCCAAACGCGCAGTTCTCAGCTTCTCTGTCACAGATGCCACTTTCAGACTTCCTCTAACATATTCATTCCGTATTCTATCCATTCTCGTTACTCCACACATCCATCGCAACATTCGCATCTCTGCTGCATGCAATCGCCTTTTATAGTCCTCGAGCTCGTCCATCCATCTAAAAAAAAGCGACTCATTCGTAAATGCTAACGTTGGTCAGTTGTGTAGGGGGGACCAAGCGGGACCCACCCCCCACCACCCCCAGTGCGCGTCTTGACATATTGTTCCTCGTCCAGCGAACGAGGGTCGCATCGAGTCCGTCTGCGAGGCCGGCAACGTGCTGCTGGAGGAGAACAACCCTGAGTCGGACAAGGTTAAGCAACGGGTCGACGACATCAGGGGTCTGTGGGAGGACCTCAAGGAACTAGCGGTGGCGCGGCAGGAGGTGAGTTGGGGACACGCTTTTATTAAGTCCATTATATTTGTATGATGAAATGGAATCATTGAACGTCATTTTGATCGACTTCACAGCGATGTAGATGCAATCATTCGACAACTACGCTCCAATATACTGACCCATAACAAGATGACATTAATTATTAGTTCAATTTAGTACTGTTTACTATTAACATATTTTCCAATCAATATGTATGTTGGGAGATCTCACTATGAACGATCTTCGTGTGAGGTCCCTTACGAGGTCCCACGTGTGACCTCTTGCGAAGTCCCATGTGTGACCCCTTGCGAAGTCCCACGTGAGGCCTCGTGAGAGGTCCCTAACGAGGCCCCACGTGTGACGCCGTGAGAGGTTCCTTGCGAGGCCCCACGTGTAACGGCGGGAGAGGTCCCTTGCGAGATTCCACGTGGTCTCAGTCCCCTGTGTGCGGCAGGCGCTGGCCGGGGCGCGGCAGGTGCACGAGTTCGACCGCAGCGCGGACGAGACGGGCGCGTGGATCGAGGAGAAGGAGCGCGCGCTCAGCGAGCTCAGCCCCAGCGCGCACGCGCAGCCCGCGCACGGACGCGCGCTGCACGCCCTGCGCGCCGACCTGCACGCCGTGCGCGACCAGCACCAACGTCTGCGGGACGAGGCCGCCAGGTACACACTACTACCAAGGGGATACTCCATGCATATCGACACGACAAAGGATATTTACTGATGGTAGGACCTCTTGTGAGTCCGCGCGGGTGGGTGGGTATCACCTATTTCTGTCGTGGAGCAGTAATGCGTTTCGGTTTGAAGGGCGCGGCAGCCGTTGTAACTATACTGAGACCTTAGACCTTAGATCTCAAGGTGGGTAGCGAATTTACGTTATAGATGTCTATGGGCTCCAGTGACCACTTAACACCAGGTGGGCTGTGAGCTCGTCCACCCAACTAAGGAATAAAAAAAAAACCTATTACTCTGTACTGTTTTCTTTTTGTGTGTACATAAAATAAATAAGTAGCTTACTTACTGACCTCCCCCCTTCCCAGACTGGGGGAAACGTTCCCCTACACCTGCGATCACCTGTCATCTAAGCTGGTCATCTAAATGGTGATCATTTCATTTCACATTCAATTGTAATTCGATTTCAATCGCCCGATATTATTCGTTCACCATGCGAGACGTCTTGTCCATTAGGCCACGGACGACTTCAAATTTCTAGACATAATTAACCTTCGAAGCGCCCCACGCGTGCATAGCTTATTTACTGACCGCCCCCCCTCCCCCCAGACTGGGAGAAACGTTCCCCGACGCCCGCGAGCACCTGTCTTCGAAGCTGGAGGACGTGACGGAAGCCCTGGACGCCTTGGAGCGTCGCGCCGAGCACTGCGCGCAGCAGCAGGAGCTGGCCAGCCACCTGCAGGCCTACTTCGGCACCTACCAGGAGCTACTGTTAGTTTTCAAACGATCTATAGCGTCTTTAGATATTTAAAAGCAAGCTTCGGGTAATTTGTTAGGTGCATGGTTCAAAACTGTTCTTAAATGTATTTACTGGTGGAAGGACCTCTGTGTGAGTCCGTACGGGTAGGTACCACCACCCTGCCTATTTCTGCCGTGAAGCAGTAATGCGTTTCGGTTTGAAGGGTTGGGTAGCCGTTGTAACTATACTTGAGATATTAGAACTTATATTCAAGGTGGGTGGCGCATTTACGCTGTAGATGTCTATGGGCTCCAGTAACCACTTAATACCAGGTGAGCTGTGAGCTCGTGCACGCATCTAAACCATATTTTTTATTATTAAATCAAAATGCAAGGTAGTTTAACAACCTAAAGGTCCATATTATTATTATCCGCAACACGCTTCGTCAGATTATAGAAACAGAGTTAGTTATCAGCAAAATGCTTCGTCAAAAAGTACAATACTTACTTTCAGCTGCAAGAGTCGTCATAAATGTATTGAGTTGAGACAATAATTACTGTTTCAACTTGTTGTTGTATTGCACGGAGAGACAACTATAGCAATGAGTGACATACGTAACGACCAGTTATCATATTAAGCCAAGNAACACGCTTCGTCAGATTATAGAAACAGAGTTAGTTATCAGCAAAATGCTTCGTCAAAAAGTACAATACTTACTTTCAGCTGCAAGAGTCGTCATAAATGTATTGAGTTGAGACAATAATTACTGTTTCAACTTGTTGTTGTATTGCACGGAGAGACAACTATAGCAATGAGTGACATACGTAACGACCAGTTATCATATTAAGCCAAGTTGTACTCGGCAGTAGGCAGTGGATTAGTTGTCCAAATCCAAATTCAAATTCAAAATCATTTATTTCAACTTAGATGTCATTATGACACACTTGTTGAATGTCAAAATATAAATAACAATGTTAACTCTACCACCGGTTCCAAAAAAAGCCACAGTCCTGAGAAGAACCGGCGAAACAAACTCAGCGGGCTGTTTTTTTTTATTTTTACTCAATTATTTTCTTTTTTTTAAATAAATAAAAATATTTACAATAAAGGAAAAAACAAGTCAAAAAATACAATTAAAAAAATAATAATAATAATAATAATAATGAAAAATGAAAAGGCCAGGAGCGAGCGCCTTATTCCCACGTAGTGCCATCTAGTAAATAATCCTTAACTTTATAATATGCCTTGTTGCACAAATGTTCCTTGACAGTTTTCTTAAATCTATCTAATAATCTATATATATCTTCCCTTTGGTTTTGCTGACGTCTATGATCGACGGTAACCATTCACCATCAGATGGGCAGTATGATCGTCTCTTTTGTAAGTAGAGTCGGGTTGAGGCTTGAGAAGGCAGTGGATTGGTTGTCCTTTTGGTTTTGCTGACGTCCATGAGCGCCGATAACCATTCACTATCAGATGCTCGTCACTTTTGTAAGCGGAATCGATCTGGGATTCGGTCCCCCCCCCAACCCCCCTCAAGCGGGGACGCGTTGTTGAGTGGAGAGTAGTACCGGACGATGTCGGTGTCGGCAGGGCGTGGTGCAGCGCCACGCTGGCCCGGGTGACGGCGCCCGAGCTGTCCCGGGACGTGCCCGGGGCGGAGCGCCTGGTCGCCAGGCATGACGACATCAAGTCGGAGATCGACTCCAAGGACGAAGACTTCAACAAGTTCTACAGCGACGGTAGGTGCCCAATTTAGACACACACTTTTTCCTCAACATCTTCGCTGGTAGCCTATGGGGTTATTCCAGTTACTCAAGAACGGATAGGTGAGCTCACGGGCTCAACTTGAGAGAGCTTGTTAACACTAGCTTTAACAAGAGCAGCGCTTCGCTGAATCTTACTGGTAATAGGACCTCATGTGAGTCCGCGCGGGTATGTACCACCACCCCGGCTGTTACTGTCATGAGGCAGTAATGCGGTTTGAAGGGTGGGGCAGCCGTTGTAACTATACTGAGACCTTAGAACTTATATCTCAAGGTAGTTGGCGCATTTACATTGTAGATGTCTATGGGCTCCAGTAACCACTTAACATCAGGTGGGCTGTGAGCTCGTCCACCCATCTAAGCAATAAAATAAAAAAGGCTTGAGTGCAGATGAGCAAGCTCTTGACATTTGACTTGGCTTCAGGCGAAAAGCTGGTCAGAGAAGGCCACTTCATGTCAGCCGAGATAGAGGAGAGGATGTCCGCCCTCCGCAGCCGCCGCGCCGTGCTGGACTCGTGCTGGAGCTCGCGAAGCAGGATCTACGCGCAACACCTGGACGCTCTGGTCTTCAAGCGCGATGCCATGACCCTGGACAACTGGATCACGAATAGGTAATCTGGATCTTTGTTGTCGCATCATCATTACATAGTATAAAACAGTCGCTTTCTCTGTCCCTATATCCCTATGTATGCTTAAATCTTTAAAACTACGCAACGGATTTTGATGCGGTTTTTTTTAATAGATAGAGTGATTGAAGAGGAAGGTTTATATGTATAATAACATCCATTAAATAGTGGAGAAATCAATAATAAATTACAGTTTCCAAAGCGAAGCGAGGGCGGGTCGCTAGTTTTGATTATAAAACACCGGTCCGTTGGATGTTATTTTTCGTCACTTGTGACGTCATTTGTGGCTAATCTAACCACAGATCACACACAACCAGTACCCGCCTATGGTTGGTTTCACATAAATATTAGTTTTGAGTTGACGTTTGTCACGACTACTTTATAGATTGTTTCTTTATTCCATTGGCCGTAACCGCTTAGCATCAGCTGGGCTGTGAAATCCCCAGTCTAGACCTCATGCCTCAAAGCTAGAGACGTCAGTTAACATCGCACCTTCAGCTACAAAAGGAGTTAACTATCCAAACGTTACAGAGTGCCGCTGGTGAGGGACGGGAAACTTGGTGAGAACGTGGCCCAAGTTGAGGAGTTGATCACGCGCCACCGAGACCTGGAGGAGACCATCGAGGCGCAGAGGGACAAGTTCAACGCCCTCAAGCGCATCACCCTGGTGAGTCCTTGCCGCTCTTGTGGGGGGGGGGGTCAGGCTGTGATAATACACCACAGAGACTGGTGGTAGGACCTCTTGTGAGTCTTGTGATAATACACAATGTTATTCCTTGATAGTGAAAGTCGTTCGGGAATATTTTAGTTACGTATCATCATAGTCGGTTACTCTTGGCAGGGCAGGCTTTATTACTGGTGGTAGGACCTCTTGTGAGTCCGCACGGGTAGGCACCACCACCCTGCCTATTTCTGCCGTGAAGCAGTAATGCGATTCGGTTTGAGGGGTGGGGCAGCCGTTGTAACTATACTGAGACCTTATATCTCAAGGTGTGTGGCGCTTTTACGTTGTAGATGTTTATGGGTTCCAGTGACCACTTAACACCAGGTGGGCTGTGAGCTCGTCCATCCATCTAAGCAAGAAAAAAAAAAAAAAATAATTAACAAAAAAATTGTCAAATATGTAATAGTGTAGTGTTTGTAATATATATTAACCATGAAGTCAGTGTTTTATAATAGCCCCCCACCTCCAGAGCCCAGTCCCCTCAAATAGATCCGTCTTACACTATCCTAAGTATTAACATTTTTTTTCTCTTCCAAAGATCGAGCAAGCCTTCAAGGAGCAACAAGAAGCGGAGGCGGTGGCGCGTCGCCGGTCCGCCGAGAAGCAAGAGGCAGACCGGCTGCAGCAGTACAGGAGGAGGGAGATGGAACGCATCACCGAGGAGAGGAGGAGGGAAACTATCAGTAGAGAGGTGAACTGCTCGACTCGACTAGACCCACTCGACGTCCGACATGTTTATTGCCCCCCTCCGTCGCGGAGGACTAACGCTAGTACTGTTGCTAGACGGAGCACGCGCCGACGCAGCGGCCGCCCTCCCCGGAGGAGGGCCTGTCCCCGGCGCCGCAGTTCGACAAGCTGCCCAAGAGCGACGCCGGCGTCAAGCGCGCAGAGAGCATGAACGTAAGTCGACCTCCGCCGCCCCCCAACTCCCCTCGCCTCCCCCGCCGCAGTGGCGTACCTGAGGACAACACCTGACTGCTTTCATCCATTGAATATAATAAAATTACATTCGTTCTATTAGATTAGTCATTGTCTTTCAATATGGCACCGATCTAAGTTCGATTCTCAGTCCAATTCGATGTTCTTCCTGAGATGTCGCGTGAGTAGAATTGAACACTTTGTTTGTTGTATAGATGCGTGAAATTTATTAACGTGAAGCGCTTATAGGAACTAATGTTTTTTTTTCCCTACCTAAGCTGAGAGCCTTGAGAGGCTATATCAGCGTAACTTTAACTAGTAGGTGAGCTCACGGGGCTCAAACCTGACGACGTTGCTAACACGAACCTTAGCAAGAGCCGTGCTTCGCAGAATCTATCACCGGATCGGAAACGCGACCCACTGAGAAGATCCGACGAGAAACTCAGTGGGCTGTGTCTGTGGGTTAATTCGCTCGTCGAGCCCTTCGTCGCAAGCGACGGGTTCGGCGAGGACGATGACCGGTAGGAGCTAATGGACATTATGGTATCAATACCGCCTCGAGACATAAGATCGAATTCTCATTGTTTTGGTACCTGGTCGGCAGTGGATGTCGCCACCCTGCACCAAGCTGACTAAACCCCCGGCTACCCCCACAGGTTGTGAAGACGCCGAAGAGGACCCCCTCGTTCACGACCCGGCGTCGGACCCAGAGCTTCACCAGGCACCGGGGAGGGGACATCGATAAGCTACCGCCCGTGGAGATCGAAGGTACTTCGGGAATATGGACCCTACAGTGTGTAGTCGGAAAGACTCTCCAAATCAATTTTATTACTGGTGGTAGGACCTCTTGTGAGTCCGCACGAGTAGGTACCACCATCCCACCTATTTCTGCCGTGAAGCAGTAATGCGTTTCGGTTTGAAGGGTGGGGCAGCCGTTGTAATTATACTTGAGACCTTAAAACTCATGTCTCAAGGTGGGTGGCGCATTTACGTTGTAGATATCCATGCGCTCCGGTAACCACTTAACACCAGGTGGGCTGTGAGCTCAGCCACCCATCTAAGCAATAAAAAAAATAAAAAAGAATTTCGGGTAGTTAAACGGTTGTCCAGAAGAAATCGTTTTTAGCGATAAGACCGCCTATTGTACAAATGTATCTGCTTGTTGACGGTTTCCTGATGTTAATTGTGTTTTGGTGTGCAATAAAGTATGTTTTCTCTCTCTCTCTCCGCCCCTCTCTCTCCCCCTCTCTCTCTCCCCTTCTCTCTCTCCCCCTCTCTCTCCCCCTCTCTCTCCCCCTTTCTATCTCACCGCCTCACTCTCCCTCGGCCGTCCCCGAGAGCTCGGTGCGTCTCGGCGGCGGGCGGGGTGGTGACGGTCATGGTTGTCGTGGCGGCAGGCTACTTGGAGCGCAAGCAGCAGGCCGGGTGCGGCGGGAAGCGCGCCACGGTCCGGTCGTGGCGCGGCTACCACGCCGTGCTCTGCGGGCAGCTGCTCTGCTTCTTCAGGGACCAGATGGACTTCGCAAGTACCAAGGCCGCGGCGCCGCCCGTCGCCATACTCAATGTGAGGCTCTGACACACGCACGCACAACACACATACACACACACCAAGACACATACGCGTGTACGCACGCACGCACGCACACACGAACGCACACACGCACAAACACACAAACACTCAATACAAAATTTCCATCGGGTAACTCAAGCTTACAATAACGTACATTATTTTTATTTCAATTTGTCGAATAAAACTAAAATTAAACCATTACAAAACTACACAAAATTATCACTAAATTCCGAAAACCGATATAGTTTACAATAATATGTGAGTAGTCCGTGGACTGTGGTGGGAGTCCTTCCCTCTGTACGGTTCCTTCACAAGCCCAGTATAACACAAGCCGCGTTGCGCAGGCGGAGTGCTCCGCGGCCCCGGACTACACCAAGCGCAGCCACGTGTTCCGGCTCCGCTGCGCCGACGGGGCCGAGTACCTGTTCTCGTGCGGCAGCCGCGCGCTGCTGCAGGACTGGGTCAACAAGATCTCCTTCCACGCCAGGCTGCCCCCGGAGCTGCAGCTGACGCCCTACGCCGCGCCCGGGGACTCGCCCACCGCAGAGATCCGAAGGCGGCTTCAGCAGTGAGAGTCTTTTTTATTGCTTAGATGGCTGGACGAGTTCACAGCCCACCTGGTGTTAAGTGGTTACCGGAGCCCATAGGCATTTACGACGTAAATGAGTCACCTACCTTGAACTCTTAAGTTCTAAGGGTCTTAAGTATAATTATTGCCCTTGTAGGCAGACGAGCATACGGCCCACCTGATGGTGAATGGTTACCGTCGCCCATGGACTTCAGCAATGCCAGGGGCAGAGCCAAGCCGCTGCCTACCGCTTAATACTCTCCACAAGCCTCGTTTGAAGAAGGACATGTCATAGCGCTCGGGAAACACCTTGGAGGGGAGCTCATTCCATAGCCGGATGGTATGTGGCAAAAAGATCTCTGGAAACGCACTGTGGATGACCGCAGTGGCTCCAGGTAGTATGGATGAACTCTACTCCGGTGGCGGGCGGTGTGATGGTAAAAACGAGATGAAGGTACCTACTCGAACAATTCCTCAGAGCACTCCCCATGGAACATTCGGTACAAAATACAGAGGGAATCGAAGTCTCTCCGCAGACCCAGAGGTTCCAAACGATCCTTGAGAATGGGCATTCAACCGCGCACGTATTCCACCAGAAACGCCTCGTCGTCGTCCGAAGAGGAACTGTCTCCGGAACCCCAGCGCAAGTCCCGTTCTCAGGCGGAGATCCTGCAGGAGCACAGGAGCAGCCAGCAGGCGGCCAGGAGTAGCGCCACACCAGAGCGGACCACCACCACCACGACCGAAAGACTCATTGGTATATAAAAACTCATGTGTGGTCAGGGAGCAGGCGTACCCCCTCGGCGTCGCCCCACTTCGTACTTAGCCTTGGGTGGCACCGTCATTCCGCCTACTTCTCTCAGGTTCGAAGATGATGTTATACAACTAATACTTCAACCTCAAGCCTCAAGGTGCGCAGCTCGCGTCCACAACAGAGACAGCCTTTGAAAAATCGTGATAATTTAAAATGGGAGGGCTCACGACAGCGGGTTGGGAGGTGCTCGGACACATCATGAGCGTGTTGACCCCCCAACCCCCCGCCCGGTCCCCTCACGTGTGTCGTGTCGTTGCAGAGTCGACAGTGCTGCCGTCGCTGCCGCCCCGACAGCCGCCGCGCGAGGAGGAGGCCGCCGACGTCGTCCTCAGGTACGTCACCGCCGCCCCGCCCGCACGGTGCTGCGGACGTGGCTCCCTCCCTGTGATATTATACTACAGAATGGAAAGCAGTCGACGTCGCCCCAAACACACGTCATTACGGATCCTCCCGATCCACTAATGGTGCTTTTAGGTACCTCAAGCACCGGTCACCGTCCTCGTCGAACCCGTCGCTTACGACGAAGGGCTCGACGAGCGAATTAACCCAAAGACACAGCCCACTGAGTTTCTCGCCGGATCTTCTCAGTGGGTCGCGTTTCCGATCCGGCGGTAGATTCTACGAAGCACGGCTCTTGCTAGGGTTCGTGTTAGCAACGTCGTCAGGTTTGAACCCCGTGAGCTCACCTACTAGTTAAGGCGACGCTGATATAGCCTCTCGCCCCCGCTTCGCTTCGGAAACATTAAATTTTATTATTGATAGTGGAGTCCCGCGATGTTATCCCGCGGTAAGACAATAACTGCGAGTGACGACGCGGGGCGAAGCTAGTCTAAAAAAAGTAGCCTAAGTTACTCCTTATATCATCAGCTACCTATCAATTAAAAGCCCCGTCAAAATCGGTCCAGCCGTTCCAGAGATTAGCCGGAACAGACGCTCCGTGAGACGGCGTCCCGGCGTGACCCAGGGTAGGGGACCATGGACCCCTCCACGCGGACACTAAAGTTTTTCCAATTTCTGGTGAACAGGAACGCGGAGCAGGCCGCCGGCGGGACCTGGGGCAGATCCAGATTCTCAAACGGACGAGACATCAATTCAGACTTCATCAGGTCACAGAAAGACGGTATGTGTCTTAATAAAGGGACATGATAATATCAGTTCCAAGTGATATTTTTTGGACGTTGTATTGCCTGGACGGGCCCGTGGACATCAACGTGAGCACGCAGAAACTTGAAATCAGAATCTCCATTTCATAATGTATAGAACTCGTATAGAAAAACTCATTTTTCAACCAAACTTGCTCATAGACATTTTAAGGTTTGTTTCGTTAATTAAACAAGCAAAGGAACGCACAGCCCATACAGCCAAATTATAAGAAAAAACCGAAATAATTTTTGTTGTTCGAATAATTAAATTAACTTGAATTAGTTAAAATAATGTTTTAGTAAATTAGTGTCGTCATTTTGAAACACTAAGTCAAAGTTTTTTTATAACATTAGAACTATTGAAAACCGAAATTATTACCAAAAACTTAAAATAAAAATTAATAGTAAAATTTATAATAAAAACCGAAATATTGTTAATTAAATATTTAGGTTACTAATAATGTTGTCTTACAGATATCTATACTAATATATAAATCTACAGTGGTTTTTACGGATGTTCCGTTATAACTACTGAACCGTGCATCCGATTGAGTTGAAACTTGGTATCCATGTAGAAAATACATGTACTTAATGGATAGGCTAATATTTATATGAGTGCTGAACTCCCTAATAATAATGACAATAAATAATAATGTTAATTTTAACGGCGAGTAAGGCTAGTATATTAATTAAACGAATAAATGTATTGCTAACTTAATATTAGTTAAACTTGGACTAACCTAAGTTGAATATAGACCGCGAATTTTAATAAGACTGTTAAGTAATTGTGAAGGTCATACAGCTTCCTTGAAGATTGGTCCAGGACGAACTGGCCTGACCAAGGTTCAGATAGTGGCAGAAGACGAACCTGCTGGAAGATCCACTTCAGTTTTGTTATCAGACGCTCGCCAAAATCGACATTAAACCGTCAAAATAGATTTAAATGTGTCTCTGAAATTATTTAACGGGTTCTTACCGCTGTGTTTGAGGGTGGGTGTCTTTGAGGGTGTCTTTGGGGAACAGATTCATCCCACAGTCGACTCTCCGTCACGGCGCTAGAACACGCCTAAAAATATCGGTGGCTAATTTTAAATTGAAAAATGTGGTGAGAACCAGTGTGCCTTTAGGGAACAGATTAGTCTGCTCCTAACATCCCAAGGTCGACTCTCCGTCACGGCGCTAGAACACGCCTAAAAATATCGGTAACTAGTTTTAAACTGAAAATGTGGTGAGAACCAGTTAAATAAAAGTTTGTGTAATAATATCGAGGGGTGAAAGGCTTGAGCGACATTAATTTATCTTTGTAATTAAAGATCCGTTTTATTTGGCATCAGCATCAACAGTTCGATGTTTTGAATTGAACTTCAATTAGGTTTAATGTATTGAAATAGCTGATGATTTTTCTTTTGGGTTATGATATTTTTTCCAAATTTTAAACTTGAAATGGATCTTCTGTAATTTAGCGAAAATGTCCCTTAAACCATTCACCCTTTGAATTACAGTTGCATTCAAGAAATAATTATTGAAATCGACCGATAAACTTCGGTATTATTTAATTCCTTCGTTATCCGGATTCGTTCTAAACAATAGTTCAATAGATATGTTTAGCAGAATGGTTGTTGTGCTCTATCGAATGTGCTTTAAGTGTAGTCCTGTCGTGTGGTGTCGTGATGTACTTGTTAATTCTTAGTTCTACATTCGCCAATCGGATTTCGGCCATGCTTTCGCAGGCTAAGGTAATAAAGGTACTAGTAGGTACCAAAACAGGCATAGTTTATACGTCTTAGTTCATAGTCCTTTTACAGTCCATTCATAGTCCTTTTATAGTCCATTCATAGTCCTTTTACAGTTCATTCATAGTCCTTTTACAGTCTATTCATAGCCCTTTTATAGTCCATTCATAGTGTTTTTACAGTCCATTCATAGTCCTTTTACAGTTCATTTATAGTCCTTTTACAGTCCATTCATAGTCCATTTATAGGCAATTTATAGTCCATTTATAAGCAATTTATAGGCCATTCATAGTTCATTCATTGAGTAATCCTCTCTATACGGCTCGACTGTGAGTTTAGAACTACGACACAGTGTGCCTTTTTTGTACCCAATCATTAAAATTCTCCTCGAAGACCTCAATATTCCTCTCTTTGATGATAATGTACTTCATTTTCCCACTTACCTAACCCGAATTCATTCAAATTTGACGTAACTGTAATTATAACAGTTGTGGCGGATTCAAACAGCTCGATTATATTATAAGAAAGAACTGCGATTGATTTTTTATTTACATCAATTTCGGGATGCCATTCAATTTAGAAGCTCTTCGTACCAATACGCATCGCTTTCACTAAATACAGAATATTTTTACGACCATAAATAGCCGCGGACCTGCCTCCCTTACCGCCGATGGGGCCCCCGGAACGACCCCCCAGCCTCCCGGATCGACCTCCCGCATTACCAGAACGAGCCCCAAACCTCCCCGAACGGAATTCAAATGCAAACGACAGAGGCGAGAGATCTGTGACCGCTCTGGTGGATAGCTACCAGCAGAGAATGTCAGGGTCGTGGCAGGGAAAGGACGCTAACAGGAACACAACATGGCAGCAAGAAAGACAGAACAATAACTACACAAACGTGGAGACTTCGCACTTCTACTCAAGCGAGGCTGGTCAGTTTTGGAGCTCTTTGTATGGCTTTCGATGATGAGACGTGAGAAGTGCAACTTCTGTGGCCGAACAGACCCTATAACAGATTAAGCGGTATACTCTCTAGAGTCTGTCGTCAAAGAAGTTTCACTTCTGTTACTGGCTCTGAATTGCACGCGCTCTTGTACCGCCCGGGATATGCGGCGACTGTTCTCCGAATGGCAGTATAACTTCCTGGTGCAAGCCAAATAATAACCATTTTTTCGGGCCGAATATTTCGCGGTTTTAATATAACATATCGTCAATCTTAGAAACTTTGAAGGCTACGGCCAAACTCATTCTCGCTCGGCAACCAGCGAATGTCCTTGGCGCTGCCATAAATTGAATTCGGGAACAGCTTGCTTATATCCTCGTCAATAAACTGTAGATACAATAACGGGACTAGATCAGGAAACGAACCCCGCGCACGCTCCTATCAGGCTCCGGGAGAATCTCTCGATCGTGTGCTCCTATCAGGCTCCAAGAAAATCGACCGTGCTGCGTTGCCATAGACAAACCCGGTCACCGTCCTCGCCGAACCCGTCGCTTGTGACGAAAGGCTCGACGAGTAAATTAACCCACAGACACAGCCCACTGAGTTTCTGGCTGGATCTTCTCAGTGGGTCGCGTTTCCGATCCAGTGGTAGATTGCTAGGGCTAGTGTTAGCAACACTTCCGGTTTGAGCCCCGTGAGCTCAAATACACGTTAGGGTGAAGCTGAAATATCCTCTCAAGGCTATCAGCATAGGCAGGGAAAAAAGACATTGCAGTAATCCGTATAAAATACTGACATAGGCCTCTTCGCCAACTTCGCACAAACATCAGTTCTATTTCTGAGCGAAATTAAATTCGCGCCCCAGATATTGGCCAATGTCGTCTCAGTACTAGAAGTGACAGTTGTATTTTAATTTGACACTCTGAAGTGTGCCTTGAGATAATCCTGTCAGGTTGATGATGTCTGAAAAGTATTCATTATCCGGTTCTGGAATGGTAAAGTAGATTGTCTGTGCTCCTAGTAATTCAGGTCTCCATGGGTGATGATAAAACCTTTTCATAAGATTAGCTACCGGTACGTCTAACTCCCTAGTAAAACCCCGGCCAAAATTAACTTTAACAGTTTCACGATCACATTCATTGTCCGTCGAGTCGAATGAAGGTAAAAATGCTTTTAGTTCCGTTATTGTGTTGTCGATTCCGTAAAATTAACTTTAATTTTTAATGTTATTCATTTACATGCGAACAAAAGGATCCAGTCATCTTCTGTATGTCTTACATCGACTGCAATGTTCGTCTTATCTTGCTTTGTATTTGAACAAAAGCTATTTTGTATCTCTATGTAGCTTGCTTCTGACACAATTTATTTCTCTGCTAACAAAAATGTGTGAAATATTTAAAGTTATTTTACATTTTCAATCGTTTCAAATACTTTACGGTCTTCATAGGCGAAACCGTAAAAGTATTTTTAATAGAAATACAAATTATTTAATTTCACATACATACTTAATTAAGAATAAATTGTGTTTTGTAGTTTTTTTTTAGAATTTGCTTTTTATATTGGGTTGTTGGTAGCTTGAATGTCCCCACTTGAATGTTTGTTTTATTATGTTCCGTCTCTATAACTTTTAAAGCTTCAAATGTGTGAAAAAATTGAATGTCGATTCACACGTGCTTAAAATAAGCGACGCTTTTTCCGTGGGATTCGGTAGCATTAGCACAATCTACATTGTATTTATCATTTATCATTTTTATTGTAGTGATTATAGATTTGTTATTAAATTTATAGTACGCTTGTTTTTGTTAATTTATTCTAATAAACTAGTAGTAATTTTAGTTGATATAATTTAAAATAGTTTTACGGTTCTGTGCTGTCTATGTATTAATCTCTGCTTTTTAAGGTTTTCTTTTTTACTTTTTACTTTTACGAAAAATCTTTACATAACCGTAAAATTGTTTTTAAACGGACTTGTTTTACATAATTTGTATATTTTTTTAATATTTATTCGTAAATTATAAATAGTATGCAGTTTATAGTTATTGCTTAGCGTTTATTCTTCTTGCTATTAATTTTTGGTGTGGGTTCTTTTTATTATTATTTTATATTTAAAACTTTTATTATTTTACTTAATTGAAAAACGCATTAGCATTAAAATAGCATTGACGCGTGCATTTCGTAGTTAATGCCTTGATTAGTATATTTTTGTAGACAAAAAGTCTGTTTTGATTGCTGGAGACTATATCTATTGTGTATTATAATAATGTATTTGATTCAGCGCGCCAGTTTGCTGTATTAAAAACGCATTGGAACTCCGCTTTGAGATTCGAACTAAAACATCTTACATATTAATTACCAATATAAGGATAATTACAGTGACTTTAACTTTGACAAGTGCTTGTATTAAAGTATAATATAGTAATAATATCATATAATTAAAACTATTTTTACCGTTTATATTATTTTAAAAATTTTCGTATATTTTACAGATTTCGTGGTTGCGAAAAATTTAAATGTTATATTTGTCGACATTTTAATATTGTTTTGAGTACCGTTAATTTTTCTATACAAATTATTTCTATTGTTTTACGTATACTGACTGATTGATTTGATGGTGCAGATTTGATGGTGCAGTGGTTAGCGGCTCTTACTAGCACCGAGGGTTGTGGATTCGATTCCCGCATCAGAACAAACATTGTGTGATGTACATATTTGTTTGTTCTTCGTCTGGGTTGTTTATTATTTATTTCTTTGGGAAACCAACAGTACAAAACTCACATATAATATATTAAGAAATAGCTAAATCAATAAACAAACAAGTTTCCACCATCAAAATCACATATAAGTAGAAAGTGAATAAAGTAAAAATAAATACAGCTTTTCACCCCTCGAATCTATTATTACCTAATCTATATATTAATACGCGAAGGAAAAAACTTTGTATCCCTTTTTACGAAAATTGCGCGGACGGAGGAGTATGAAATTTCACACACTTACAGAGCATATAGCGAAGGAGTGCAGAATGCTAATATTTTTTTTTAATTATGCCAAAAAAATACATTAAATCAATAAAAAAAAACATTACACACACTACCATGTATTTGACGCATACACGCATGCATACTATTTATTTATTGTCAAACTTTTGTTCTTGACGTCTGTTGTCAAATTGAGAATAGATTGAATAGTGTTTGTCTTTATTAATATTTTTCTCTAGTATGTAGTAATTCTCAAAGTGCAAAGTCACTCGTAACTTCCTTATTGATTTAGATTCTGATGGCGTATTTAGTGGAGTCGCGACTAATGCAGTGGCGTGCACGCATTCTACATTCAGCAGAAGTTGTTGAATTAATAATCGTTTTCCTGTATAGCATACGGAGGTGGTGGAAGCGGCGCCAGGCCGGCGTCCGTGGCTGGTAGCGGAGGCTCTCCCGCCGTAGAGCGGCCCGCCTCGCGGTAAGTTCTTTTGACATGACAACGACATCCCTTTGAACATGATTTTGAGCCCCCTTCAAAACGTCGGATTAACTCGAAATTTGGTATACTTATTGAGAACCGACGACAAGCCAATTTTTAAAAAAAAATAAAAAAAAAGAAGATAAAATTGAAATTCAACTAAAAAATGAAAAATAAATAATAGTTTAAAAAACTAACAAAATACTTAGGCTTTTATAGAAAATCCTACTAATAATAAATAGAAAATAAATTTTAATAAATTTGAATTTAAAAATAGTGTATGAAAAAATGATTTTATTGTAAAAAAGCGTGGGGTGCATGATATCAGTAGTTATAAATATTTTATGAACAGATATGAATAGAAGGTGGTGGTAGGACCTCTTGTGAGTCCGCGCGGGTAGGTACCACCACCCTGCCTATTTCTGCCGTGAAGCAGTAATGCGTTTCGGTTTGAAGGGTGGGGTAGCCGTTGTAACTCTACTGAGACCTTAGAACTTATATCTCAAGGTGGGTGGCGCATTTGCGTTGTAGATGTCTATGGGCTCCAGTAACCACTTAACACCAGGTGAGCTGTGAGCTCGTCCAACCATCTAAGCAATAAAAAAAAACCTAATCTTTGGTAGCCTACGCTCACGGGCTCATCCTGATAGAGTTACTAACACTGTTAATAATTAGCACTTTCCAAATCCTCCAGGTCGTCGGGCGAGTCGGAGCTGTCCGTGAGCAGTGTGACTAAAGACAAGAAAGAGAAGAAGGGAGTCTTCGGAGGCTTCTTCAGCAAGAAGAAGCGGCCGCAGAGTCACATGTAGGAGGCGCAGAAGGCACCACTAACGCGACGACTCCGGTACCATTCCTGGTTTGCAAGTTTCTTAATGTCTTCGATGGTGGACCGTCATTCTGATAATGAGAGATGGTTAGCTCAGCTGTGACAGACACAGCCACTTAGAGCTTCTAATGATTCTAATTAAAAATGCATTAAATTTGTTTTTTTTTTTTAAATATAATAAAAATATTTTCTTAATTCGTTCAATGCCGGTCAAAATTTGAAGCGGAACTCTAGACGCATATACTATATAGATGTTCGTTAATGGTATATATTTAATTTTTAATGTTATAGTTCTGATGTTAAGTGAATATGATGTTACAGTATCGCCTTTGTAAACACCGCCCTGTCTTTTACCGCGATATTAAATGACTTAAATTTAATTTAGACATTGTTATGGCTCACCGAAGACAGCTTCAAAATCAATTTGTGCTTAGGGCAACCCTAAATATTACACTTTTTATGATTTTTTTAAATGTGGCAACACAGTAGCGATATGGCAATACAAGTCGTTGAAGTTGCACAGAAAATTCTGATCGTACCTATTTGCAAGAGTATTTTATTTTAGATTTAGACAATTAAAAATCCTTCTAGGAAACTAGAAAAGTTCCGTTGACGCCCGAAGTAGTTTGAAACTACGTAATTAGCATTTGAGAATCGGAAGATGTCGGGGATGTCTAGCTATCTCTCTCCCGCACTGTGAGCAGCGCTATTTGTCAAGAATACCCAATTTAATTCTAATCAAATCGTTTCTAAAAGAGTAGTTTTATTTTTACACGACATTAATGCTTTGCGGTAATAAGCAGGGTGATGGTACCAGGCCGCGAGGGCTCAACGCGCTCACCATTCACATTCCTTGCGAAAAATGTCACAAATTTTATTATATACACATAGGGACCAAAATACTAATGGTAATAATGTTGTTATATTTAAATGGTAAAATAACCTCTGTATTTTCAACTTAGAATTACTAAATAACATTACTCGTGCTATATAGTTGAAGTTAAATATTAAAAAAAAAAACTAAGAGAAACGTCAAATATCTGTCAAACTTTCGCTATGTATATTTTGTTTGTTATAGGAATCAAAATTCAATAACTACACGTGTCTTTCTAGAATATTATTCGATTTATTATTACTATTACTTTATAAAATATGTTACAAACAAAATTTTGTATCATAAAAGACTTCGATGTGTCAAATTTTATGCTAAAACGCTTTTTTTAATGTTAATTCAAACTGTTGTATTCTTCATTGATAAGAAAACGTGTTTCTCATTAATATTCTTTTATTATTATTTGTTATTTAAGTTTGTAACCTAACATAGCATTTTAAATGCGTCATGATGATAAAAATAAGACCCAAAAGTCTTGGCTCGGCAGATATGGCAACACTGTAAGGCGAATAAGGCTAAAACATCGGGCGTTGGCATAAGTCGAGACATCATATTCATTTATAGTACAATAAAAAGAACCACCCATTAAATAATAGTAATGTTGATTTTTACAATTTTATTATGTCGTTAAATAGTTTGGTTAAAATCTTTTATTTACCTGTGAATGTGTAGAAAGTAGCCTGTACATTCAAAAACCTTATTACAAAATATGCTATGTTAGGTTTTAGTTGATGAAGTGTTTATATTGTATAATTACTCATCGATAATGATTGTAAAAATGTCTGTGCGCTAACAGTTCTACTGTTTTAATTAACACAAGACTGTATGGAGTTAATTAATTTATTCCTCAGTCAACATTACACACAATCCCAATAATAAAATCGATGAGGGATGAGTTTAACGTAATCAATAAATTATATAAAATCTTTTTAAATAAGTAATAAAATATATTTTTGCGAATAATTTGTTTTATTTGATATTATCATATTTGTATTATTGCGTGCACGGGCGGATTAAATAACGACCCGCCTGTTGTTAACTGGTTACAGATGTCCATGGACATCAACAACGCAGTCTCCGTTCAAGAGGACAAGAGCTGCCTCACCCTTCACACCGCCTTGCGCCTTCAATCTAGCGAAGTAATGTATTGTCTTAATCGCGCTAAGCATCCGCCATTGTCTTTAAAACGCCGGCGTATAGCGGCGCGGGAATAAGCGGGTTGTAGTTGGTCCCGTATCGCCTGACGACCTCGATGTTCCCGGTCTGGTAGATGCGCTCGAGGCCGGCGCGCACGCGGGCCGCCTGCGCCACGTCACGCTGGTAATTCGTACCCCGTTTGTTTTTAACGTAAAAGCTGATGTCCTGGAAGGGGTCCTCGGAGACGCGAGGCAAACTCATCCTCTCGTATTTGAGAGACCGTTTCGATCTCTTAACAGAGCGGCTTTTGATGGCGGCGATGATCTGCCGCATCCGCGCCAAATGCTCTCTGATTTTGTCGAAAACGCTTTTGCTATTGTTATAACTGACTCCAGGTCTGTGTTTGTGGTAATTAAGGCCGGTGTCATGTCTATGATTTTGGAGTAGACGATACAAATTGAATCTTTCGTTGTCGAGCGAACGCTTTTTCACGCTTAGGGCGCGTGTGTAATCTCCCGAAGCGGCTTCTTTTATCTCAGAGTTCGCCCAGACTTTGTGTTTGATAAGATAATTTGCAAAATTCCGAGCTGGTTTGTCTCTGACGTTACGTTCCGCATTGACAGCTGTCAAATCTGACAGATTCGGCGAAGGGTTCCTGTGTATAGATCGTTTGACAATGGATTTTGGGATTTCTCTTAAGGGATTGTCATCGGTTGCTATCAGAAGTTCGAGAGATGATTCGTCTGGTACCGGTTCAAGAATATCTGGAATCGATGTTGACGAGGACGGCTCGGAATCTGCGTTGGTTTCTGAAAACAAAACCAGACTTTCTTTGTAACATTTTTTTATCGTGACTCGAGAGTTTTGTTTCTAAGTATCATTGTTAACATTGATAGATTATGTTTTTAAACCTCATTAGGAACCGTTGTTATAATTATATACACTACTTTCCCTAGTAACAATAATACCGTAGCTCTCACCGGTGACATTAAACAGTGACGCGACCATGGGCGGAATGGCGAGGGGATATCTGCAGCACACTATGGCCGGTACTTCAGACTTCATCTTGAGACATCTCATGAGATAATTCTTTACTTCCTCCGGCGTCTGCATTATGTCAGGGGGAATGAACGTTGGAAATGGAGAAGAGGTGGTGGCTGGAATGATTATGTGGTTTATAAATGAAACAAAATTACACGTGTGAAAGTTGGGACGAAAGTTTTTTTTTTATTGCTTAGATGGGTGGACGAGTTCACAGCTCACCTGGTGTTAAGTGGTTACCGGAGGCCTTAGACATCTACAAGGTAAATGCGCTACCCACCTTGAGAAGTGTTCTAAGGTCTCAATATAGTTACAACGGCTGCTCCGCCCTTCAAACCGAAGCGCATTACGGCTTCACGGCAGAAATAGGCGGGGTGGTGATACCTACCCGTGCCGACTCACAAGACGTCCTACCACCAGTAAACAATAACATAAATATCAAAGTTACTCACTAGTCGTTGTCGCCTCTAAGAAATCCTTGGGATTAACTTCGAATCCGGTGAGATGAGCTAATCTATCCAAGAGCCAGGCCAGTTTCAATATCAATTCGTTCTCTTCTTTATCTGCATCCTTAAATTTATGTAAATAGAAAGCTTATATTTCGATGTTCGATCGGTTTAATCTATTGTGACGAAATACCGTTAGATTTAAAACGCTAATAACTATGAGACAGTTTGAGATCAAACAGACACGACACGACTCAAAGATTAAAGATATGTGAATCTTTGATTTTTAAAATAACTAATTCCGGCGAGCTCGTAGTCTACCTGACATTGAGCCATTACAAGAACTTAAAAATAGCCCGCCTTGAAATATAAAGTCGAGGGTTTGATTATTGGAACAGCCCACTGAGTTTCTCGCCGGATCTTCTCAGTGGATCGCGTTCCCGATCCGGTGGTAGATTCTGCGAAGCACTGCTCTTACTAGGGCCAGTGTTAGCAACACTCCCGCTTTGAGCCCCGTTAGCTCACTTAGACGTCAAGGAGATGCTGAAATAGCCTCTCAAGGCTATCAGCATAGGAAGGAAAAAATCTATTGGAACACAATATATCGGATACTCTTAGCAAAGTCGTTCCCAAGGCAGGCACACGTCAAGCGATGTTCCTCCATTGAAGGCGGCTGTTAGAATTGCGAGCACATTGTACTGTGGTAGCTTTCATAGTACTGGTGAAGACGTCGATACAGCGCGTGGGGATCGATCTCTGCCACAACCTATATTTATGCTATACTGTCCTGTAAATCATTATTCTCTTGGCCTTCTCCCAGTCATCTGGGGTTGGCGCAACATGTTTTCTCCTTTCACACTCCTCTATCATATACCATTTCTTCGCTCACTCCCCTCTTACACATATCGTCTTTCACGCAATTCATCCATTTTTTCTTAGGTCTACCTCTTCCTCTATATCCTTTCACATTCATAGTTAACACTCTCTTACCAACCTCATTGTCATCTCGTCTCATCACATGTCCATACCATCCCAAACGCGCACTTCTCAGCTTCTCTGTCACAGGTGCCACTTTCAGACTTCCTCTAACATATTCATTCCGTATTCTATCCATTCTCGTTACTCCACACATCCATCGCAACATTCGCATCTCTGCTGCACGCGATGGCAACTTATCAATTACAGATGATAATTCAGTATTTTAAACAGTTAGACCCGTTATTTACTTTCGGAAGTTAAAACAACAAATTGATTTGAGCACCTTCTCTTTTCACTTAGCTAATTGGAAACTATTGTATTTGCCTGCCTTTGTACCAACCTCACTTCATTTGTTATTCGTCGAATGAAAACGTACCAATACCTTTTGATACTTATCAGCGTAGGCCAAGTCCTGTAGCCTCCTGGTGGTCGACATGGCGAGTCCTGCCAGGCGCCTCACGTGCTCGCTGGCCCGACTCACTCTCTGACAGGTCTCATTCAGCGCTGATAGGAAGATGCGGACGTCGAATCCTGCCGAACTGTTGTATGCCGTGCTGCTAGGGACCCCAGCAGCAGCTAGACCCGGTCCAATGCTCGTCAGGTTGCTAAGTCGAGAGTCAGTATTGTTCCCACTTAGATTGCTACTAGGACTAATATTGGTTTGATTGTTGGTAACTGTACTAATGTTGCCGGGTATGTTAATGATGTTGCCAGGTAGATCAGTGGTGTTGCCATTAGCGGTTATTTCAGTAGGCAATTCAATAGCTGGAAGCCACGGTGTGTTCTGTAACATAAAGTAGTTTATGAAGTTTTTTATTTAAATCATTGTCTAATTACAGAATTGAGGCTGTCAGCGCAAAAGTGCCCTAAGCTTACTATTGTATGGAGGCAATTAGGTTTGAATATTCATGAATTTGAATTTGAGTAGGTAAAAAAACAATACGCGCAAAAATAATGTTTACAAAGCTATCTGTTATCTATCGGTGAAACTATGGATAGGCCGGTTTTTCATCAGATTTTATTATATTTTAAATAAATTCCAATATACGTCATATAAGCTTGAATATAAAAAATTATGGGTTAGGCCACTTTTGCGCTGATGGCCTCAATTCTGTTTGAATTTTACATTCCTGGATTTGCATTCCTGCGGTGTACAGCCTACGTTTTACGACCTATTACGACGTAAATACGCCGCCCACCTTGAGATATAAGTTCTAAGGTCTCAGTATAGTTACAACGGCTGCCCCGCCCCCCCCCCCCCTTCAAACCGAAACGCATTACAGCTACACGGCAGAAACAGGCAGGGTAGTGGCATCTACCGGTACGGTACGGTCTCACAAGAGGTCCCACACCATTAATTACGAAAATTATAAAATATTCGTTGTTATCTGACGATATGAGAATATGGAGATAATTATCAACATTGTCACCTCGTTGTTCGCTCTGTTACAGGCTTCCAGAGTGAGAGCATACTGTTCAATTGACCTTCGAAGACCTTCGAGATAAACGCTTCCTTCGTGAACTATTTCCGATACCTAGAACAGTGTTGCAACTTTAAATAAATAATAGTTTAAAAATAAACAAAAAAAATACGCTTTTATAGAAAATCCAACTAAAAATTTTAAAATAAATTTTAATATATATTTTTTTTTATTGCTTAGATGGATGGACGATCTCACAGCCCACCTGATGTTAAGTGGTTACTGGAGCCCATAGACATCTACAACGTAAATGCGCCACCCACCTTAAGATATAAGTTCTAAGGTTATAGTTACAACGGCTGCCCCACCCTTCAAACCGAAACGCATTACTGCTGCACGGCAGAAATAGGCAGGGCGGTGATACCTACTCGTGCGGACTCGCAAGAGGTCCTACCACCAGTAAATTTGAATTAAAAATAGTGTAAGAAAAAAGGATTTAATTGTAAAAAAAAGGTTGGCGTGCATGGTATCAGTAGTTATAAATATTTTATGAACAGATATGAGTAGAAGGGTTATTTTGATAATATCCTGAAAAGCACTCCCCGCATTTTTTACAATAAATTCCTTTTTTCTTACACTATTTTTAATTCAAATTTATTAAAATTTATTTTCTATTTTTTTGTTGGATTTTCAATAAATATGTATTTTTTTAGTTTTTTTAAACTATTATTTATTTCTCATTTTTAGTTAAATTTCAATTTTATTATTTATTTTTTTTAATTTTGGATTGTCATCGGTCCTTAATAAGATTCCCGATCCTGCGGACAGAATGGAAAGCAGTCGACGTCGCCCCAAACACGTCATCTCGGATCCTCCCGATCCACTAACGACGCTTTTAGGTACCTCAAGCACCGGTCATCGTTCTCGTCGAACCCGTCGCTTGCGACGAAGGGCTCGACGAGTAAATTAACCCACAGACACAGCACACTGAGTTTCTCGCCGGATCTTCTCAGTGGGTCGCGTTTCCGATGCGGTGGTAGATTCTGCGAAGCACGGCTCTTGCTAGGGTTCGTGTTAGCAACGTCGTCAGGTTTGAGCCCCGTGAGCTCACCTACTAGTCAAGGATACGCTGATATGGTCTCTTTAGACTATCAGCACTGGTAGGAAAAAAAATATGGACATAATTACTTTAGGACACACATATCCAGCAATTGTGAATTACGTGTAGTCTTCAGTGAATAAAGTGAGTGTAAAAACAAAAGTGTTTTTTTTTAAAAGGACCCACGTTGAGCCATCCTCACACTACAATACCGGGCCCGTAGACCGTGGACATCACGACGCGAAGCCCACATACTGGAGACAAGAGATTTCGTCGTTCAAGCTGATACGCATTACTGCATCGCAGCCGAAAAATCCATTCTGTGTGCTTAGTGCGAGCTTTTTAACGTTCTCGATAGCGTAAAGGTTATCCTTTCTTCTCAATCGTGTCACTCTTGACAGAGTAAACACTCGGTCGTGATCGTCATGTAGTGTTGATCATTCCCGATCCTGCGGACAGAATGGAAAGCAGTCGACGTCGCCTAAAACACGTCATCTCGGATCCTCCCGATCCACTAACGGTGCTTTTAGGTACTTCAAGCACCGGTCACCGTTTTCGTCGAACCCGTCGCTTGCGACGAAGGGCTCGACGAGTAAATTAACTCCCAGACACAGCCCACTGAGTTTCTCGCCGGATCTTCTCAGTGGGTCGCGTTTCCGATCCGGTGGTAGATTCTGCGAAGCACGGCTCTTGCCAGGGTTCGTGTTAGCAACGTCATCAGGTTTGAGCCCCGTGAGCTCACCTACAAATGCTGAAATAGCCTCTCAAGGCTCTCAGCTTAGGTAGGAAAAAAAAAATAAAAAAAAAAGTAGTGTTGAAAGGGGCAGAGTTGATGCGTCTCACGATGTCCCGCCATCTCTCCCTGCTCGAGGCCATTCTACTGCACTCTATTGGGGGACCTTAGGGGCGTAAAGGTTAGGTAATTCAAATTTATATAGAGTTGGAACGTTTGCCTACGTTTGCCGCTAGAGGCGCTGTTCCAACTGCATACAAATTTGAGTTAACTTTTATGCGGTAGGCAGCGGCTTGGCTCTGCCCCTGGCATTGCTGAAGTCCATGGGCAACGGTAACCACTCATCATCAGGTGGGCCGTATGCTCGTCTGCCTACAAGGGCAATAAAAAAAAAAAAAAAAAACGCTGTCGAGAACGTTAAAAAACCCGCACTAAGCACACTAGTTCTACTTTACGATAAATAGCGATTGACTCTGCCCCTGGCATTACTGAAGTCCATGGGCGACGGTAACCACTCACCATCAGGTGGGCCGTATGCTCGTCTGCCTACAGTGGTTAGAATAATAACTTCGTAACTTAATGACCCATTATTAATGACAATCTTAGGACGTGCAAATAATTGATTGTCCAATAATAACTTACTTTCTTCTCCATATACGAGTGGTAGCCATATTTCCGTGCGTATTTCATCTCTTTATTATCCATATTGTGATTTAGCGAATCAATATTGAAATCATCAAACATCTTTTTGTACATTAATCTTTTGTTTTCTTCCTTTTTTTCTAATTCGTTTTTTTCGAAGACATATTTACGTATTTCCGGTAAGTCTATTGTCCATGACAACACTTCCGGTACCGCGATGAGCGTTATTAATAAATTGAGTGACTTTTTATAAGTCATTTCTTTGTTCTTAAAGTCTGAAAACATTATTAAATGTTGTAGTGTTTTCTCAATCACTCATGTATTTGTAATATTATTTATATTCATTTATAATATATTTTTCATTTTACGCATTTGATAACGCCAACACGGATGACAATTTAAATAGGAACTTTTTTAAAAGGCTTAGAAATCGTACTTCTTTTGTTTTTAATGATGTTCTAATGTCCAGTTAGTTTTCCGTTATGATTGTATTATATACCAGACTCGTTGGTCCGATCAGATCCGCACCGCTTTGGACAGTACAGTGTACAGCGCACTGCATGACGCCGTGGACAGGGGAAAGTGGAAAAAGATCTTAAGATTGAAGCTCATGGGTGATGGTGGTCACGACCCTCAGGCATGAGGAACACGACTCGAGGAGGAGGATATACTGATTAAATAAAATTGCCAAATTTTAACACGCATTACTTGAAAAATAAGTTAGAATTAGAATTTCGAACCAGTTATATGAATGAGATTTGGATTTAATGTATAACTCCTAATTTTACAGTGCTTACGAATACCTATATAGTTATAGGACCACGTGCCTGTTGTCAGGGCAACTAATCTATTGTACTTATAATTACGGTAACAATATGGTTCATTATCCTGCCCTTCTCCCAGTCACCTGGGGTCGGCGCAACATGTTTTCTCCTTCCATACTCTTCTATCATATACCATTTCTTCGCTCACTCCCCCCGTCTTACCCATATCGTCTTTCACACAATCTATCCATTTCTTCTTAGGTCTACCTCTTCCTCTATATCCTTCCACATTCATAGTTAACACTCTCTTACCAACCTCATTTTCATTTCGTCTCATCACATGTCCATACCATCCCAAGCGCGCACTCCTCAGCTTCTCTGGCACAGGTGCCACTTTCAGACTTCCTCTAACATATACGGTAACAATATGGTTATGAGAATTAAATCAAATAACTCGCTTTTGGCCCCAAATTTGAAAACGACCCTGAAACCAAATAACATTTCAACCCTCGATCACTACTTAAAAGGTAATTAATTCTATTCGAAGCGAAACCTCGCACTGATCGCTTCGAAAACCAAGAATGGAATTATGGTAAAGTCTATCTCAATTAGTATAATAATTAAATTGAGTTTTAATTATGTAGTATTTCGGTGACATTTTTATTCATCCCGAGCCCCAGCCCATACTTACAAATATTTTCAGGTCATGAACACAAACACTAAAACGATTTAATTTCATAAAACGCGGCCTTCGATAATTACTTACAATTTAAAATGAACAATAACTAACATTTACGTTGTGATCCTTTAATGATTATTAATCGAATGGAGGTTAGGAAAATTGAGGATGCGGCCGATTTTTTTTTTGTTTGTAAAGTATTTTCCGTTGTGGCGAGGCCATCTTGCTTAACTTGTGCTTGGCGTGTTCGGCCATGAATATACACTCGAATGAACCCTTTCACGTATAAAGAATAAATCATGCTGGTGCGATTCATCTTCAACGCGAGGACTTCAGGAGGCGTATTTCCTTTCCCGTGTACAATAGGAGACAGTACTGCCTTGAAACACGTACGTGTTTGTTGCGCTATTTTTTTTTAAGATTGAAGTACTATCAGTGGCCAGGAGGCCTTTCCAGTTTCACCAGGACAGGTGGGCGAGCAAGGGCTCAGCTAGGTGGGGTGGGATTTGCTAACAGCTACCCGAGCGCCTCCGAAGACCTAACAACTCAAGAGTAGCTGCTTCGCGGATGAATCTACTACCGGATCGGAATCGCGACCCGCTGAGAAGATCCGGCGAGAAACTCAGCGGGCTGGCGTTTAGGTTAGGTTGCACGTCGAACTCTTTGCCGAGTTCGCCGAGTACGGTTACCGGGATCCCTAAGCTTGCTCCTAGTATTAGAGCTGAAGGTATCAGTTGTTGCGCTAATTCCCTTTCCAAGCTCGTGTTCAATTCCAGGCACGTGTCCTTCAATCACGCACTGTTTGCGATCGCGATGCTAGACAGGGGCGTAGTTGTGCTGCTGGCTTTGAGTCTATGAGCGAGTGTTTTTTTTATGAAGGAAGGATTATTGACGAGTCCGAGGCTTTTCCAGTTTCACCAGGACGGTTGGACCAGCAAGGCTCAGCCAGGAGGGTTGGGCTTATGGCGGTAGCTATCATACAACACAAGATATTTGACGTATAGCCTTAGAACACATATCTCAAGGTGGGTGGCGGCATTTACGTTGTCGTAACTTACGTGACGTCATTTGTCATGCCATGCTGCCAAGCCACGTATTAACACGCCCCCTTCCGCCACTGCCACTAGCCAAAGCCAACAAAGGGGGGTAATGTTAATAAAACAAGCCGTGCCAGCCATTTCTACCCGCTTTTCTGCTTTCTCGCACAAATAAAAGAACTTGTCGTTACGCTGCTGATTTTTTTGTCGCATCATTTACAACATTGTAGATGTCTATGGGCTCCAGTAACCACTTAACACCAGGTTAGGCCGGCTGTGAGCTCGTTCACCCATCAAAGTTATAAAAAAACTGTCTGAATCTCGCTTACATATTCAAGATAAGCTTGCGTATATACAAGTTCCGAACAACAACATTCCGACCCTCGGGCTTACGAGCAATATCACCCGCTCGGTGGAAGATCTTCGCTTTGTCACATACATACAGGGATTAGCTCACAGCTGCCCGAGCACCTACACAGGAGACCTAACAACTCAAGAGCAGCTGCGTCACGAATGAATCTACTACCGGATCGGAATCGCGACCCGCTGAGAAGATCCGGTGAGAAACTCAGCGGGCTGATGTTTAGGTTAAGTTGCACGTCGAACTCTTTGTCGAGTTCGACGAGTACGGTTACCGTAGCGACAGTGTCTTCATCCATCCTCACCCACCACCCTCGTCCCATCCCGTCCGCACTAAAACATAACCCAGGATTATGAAAACTGCAAGGTGCTTCTTTAAAAACATTTTTATTGATATCAACAAAATTTAATTGCACAGTGAAGCCTCTTCATCTTTCATACAAAAATATTGAACGCTTTTTAGACAGCACGATTACAATCAGAATAGAAGATTTATGTACTTTTGACATGCATGCGTTGCTGACAATTTATGGTTATGGCAGAAGATATGTACCTACTAAATAATAAACGACTGATGCTATTCAGTAGCATCACTTCAGCCCTGTCAGAGTTTATTAACCACAGAAACAAAAGAACACGTTAACTTGGGAGATTTCGGTTCAAAACCAAAAACATCAAATACTGAAAGATAATGGAGGGTAGATGTAAGTAAACCTGCTTTACGTTTAAGAATAGTTGAAAAAGTATCCGGTTAAAAGTGGTAAATTGAAACTCAAAAACTCAGCACATCAGAGTTCTCTGGGGAATTGTTTGAGATGACCTCACCATCTCATTTTTACCATCACACCGCCCGCCACCGGAGTAGAGTTCATCCCTGGAGCCACTGTGTTCATCAACAGGGCGTTTACAGATTGTTTTTTTCCCATGTACCAAACCGGCTTTGGAATGAGCTCTCTTCCAAGGTTTTTCCCGAGCGCTATGACATGTCCTTCTTCAAACGAGGCTTGTGAACAATATTTAACTGTAGGCAGCGGCTTGGCTGTGCCCCTGGCATTGGCGCGTGACAGAGGTTCACCAATGTTTAAATATATAACTTTATTATTTACAATTTATTCACTAACTAATAGCACTTACAAAAAAAAGACTACAAAAAGATTGTCCCTGTTCCAACTTTGCTCTGTCAGACGACACTGGCCTTAAATGCGGAGACATTGACACGAACAATGTCAATACACCAAAGTAAGGACGCGTCCTTAGCACCAGTTGAGACAAACAGCCTCACTCACGATTTCATATCTGTTATAATGTTATAAACTTCAGTAACGCCGTGGGCTTTGATCCTGTGCTTTTGAACCTCACATTTCCTGATAAACGTCGCCGGACATTCGGGGCACTGAAGCCTCTTACCCCTGTTGTGCCTTCGCTTGGCGTGCTCCGTCCTACGCGAGGCGGATATGAAGCCCTCGCCGCAATCATCGCACTTGTAGGGCCTCTCTCCCGTGTGCCGCCTTTTGTGGTAAACCGCAGCCATTTTACTGACCAATTTCGCACCGCAAATATCACATTCGAAGTTCCTGACGCGCGTGTGGACCACAGAATGTTCCGCCAATCTAGCCGGAGTGTAGAAACGTTTGCCGCACCACTGGCACTGGTGAGGTCGAATGTCCATGTGGATCCAGAGTATATGATTCTTCAGTTGAGGTCGCGAGGAGTATGTCTTATTACAGTAATCGCAAGTAAACGAGGCGGGATCGCGTACGTTGTAGCGCTTCGTCCGCGGGAGACCATGGACATCGGGCTTGGCCTCCGGCTCGCACTGGGACCTGTGCTCCCTGTAGCAACCGCGGTTAGTGAACTGACAGCCGCAGGAGCGACAAGTTCGCACCATGTGCATTTGCGTGTGGTGATCAAAGGACTCTTTCCTAGGGAAGGTTCTACCGCAGTCGGAGCATGTCAGGGCGCCGGGCTTGTGATGTTTGGCAACGTGCTGAACGCGGTCGGCTTCGGTTGTAAAAAGCAAGGGGCATTCCTTGCACAGGTAAAAGGTGCTTTTGTGGACGGTTTTCATGTGCGCAAGCATGGGGTCGCGTCTTAAGACAACATCCCCACAAATGAGGCAGGCTTCCTTCTGCCCGCTGTTCATGAGATGAGCGTTCAAGAAATGGGGGCTGGAGAAGGTTTTCCCGCAGTCAGGACACGCACAGTCAGGACCGGTGCGGTCCACGCGCAATCTCTTCGGTGGCTTCCTGGAAATTCTACTTTGGAACCTGTTAACCAACGCTTTAGGGTCGCCAGTCGTGTAATTCTTCGTGATTTGCACGCTCAAGTCGTTCGAGCTCACGAATGCGCATAAAGACTTCACCTGTGGTACGACCGGCGCCGTTATACTGGACAGGCTATTTATAACTTTGTACCAGGATTTTTGTGAGTTCTGAACGAACATTCTGAACTCTTGGACAGCCAGGGCGGAGCTGGCGCACGAGACGCAGGCCCCGTTGGGACACAGGGGATCTTCTTTGATCTGCAATAATGTTCCGACTAATACTTTAATACGTGTTGACATATGAGTCGTCTATTATCAAAGCCGGCAATCTGACTTTTGGACAATGATTGGTAAATCAGAAAAACGAATTATTGACTTTGAATTCCATTGGCAGTCACAAAACTCTTCGGAACGACATCTTAGATAAATAACAGGTTAACTATTAACCTTCATTTAATGCAGGTTTTGAACCGTATTCTTTGAAGGAGACGATTATATTCAAATCAATCTGAATTGACATATCAATAATTTTTTTTTGTCCAAATGCACAGATTGCCACCTTTGATAATAGACGACTCATAAATGACTAAATCAGTAAAATATCGACTTGACCGCATTAACGAATCGATATATAAATATATTTATATATTATATTTTTACTGGTGGTAGGACTTCTTGTTGTGAGCCCCGCACGGGTAGGTACCACCACCCTGGCTATTTCTGCCGTGAAGCACTAATGCGTTTCGGTTTTATAGGGCGGGGCAGCCGTTGTAACTATACTGAGACCTTAGAACTTATATCTCAAGGTGGGTGGCGCATTGTAGATGTCTATCGACTCCAGTAACCACTTGACACCAGGTGGGCTGTGAGCTCGTCCACCCATCTAAAAGATAAAAATATATTTTTTTTTAGGATGGATTATTTATTAGTGGCCCGAAGGCTTTTCCTCTCAGTCAGGAGGGATGGGATTTGCTAACAGCCACCCGAGCGCATCCGAAGGAGACAACAACAACTCAAGGGCAGCTGCTTCGCGAATGCGGTATTTATTTATTGCAGACGAGAACTCAGCGATACCGTTATGTGGTCACCGAGGTCAATATACATACTTAATACAATACGATGAAGATCTCGACCTCCATATCTCAAAATGGGCGGGTATTATGCGATTTATCGTGCCTTGTATCCAAAAGTTCACTGATTTAGCACAACCAACTCATTTCGACTTTTACATATTATAATATACACTTTAGACTATAAGTATAGTATAAGTGGAGTATATTTTTTATTGCGTTTACGAATCAGTGCAGATGACAAACGTATGAAGCCAGTACTTACTTAGCAAACGAGAGAGGGTAACAAAAAAAAACTTCACAATTATTCGAGGCACTTCTGTCTCGATTAATTGTGAGAAACGTCCTTTGATCTCATATCAAATGGTCAGATACAAATCCTAAATTAGCACGTAGCTGACATTCACGTAAGACAAAGAAATAAACGTTTTTAATCTCCCTATTAAAGTGAATTAAAAAGGACCTTTTTTTCATTATACCGCACTAAACGTCCAATTAGCCAAACTTGATGTTTGAACAAGTAACTTGATAACGTGATTGTTGAGTGCGAGACAATTAAATTTCAGAGCTTTCCCACTTTATAGTGACTTTACGTTTAGCTTTTAGGCATGGCGTCTATACAAGAACCGTCCCTTTTCATTATCTTTCCCCACTTTCGACAACTTAATAAAGTGTAGCCACATAATAAACCAAAGAAGTTCACATCTAAATCTCTTTAATTAGTCCAATATTTTATTTTTGAAACGTCGCTTTATAGGCACGTCCTGTGCTTTGTCTGGTATCTGAATAAAATCGAAATGTATCGTTGAGTAATGCTTTTTCAGTTCCCAGGGTCTTAGAAATCTCGCGGGGCACTTGTCGCATGCGTGCGGCATGTTCTGGGTGCCCATGTGCCGCCTCTTGATGTGGTCTAAGCGCCTCGAAGACGACAAAAACCTTTCGCCGCACCTCTTGCACTCGTACGGCTTCTCGCCAGAGTGTATCCTCTGGTGGAGCCGATAACCCAATTCCGTGGTCATTTTAGCACCGCAGTGACACTCAAACACCTTCCTCACGTGGTTATGGGTCCTGAGGTGCGACTGCAAATGCGCGACGGTCGACGCCCGCTTCCCGCACTTCTGACAAACATACGGCAACACGTTCAAATGTTTCTGTATTATGTGCACTTTCAGAGATGGTTTTTTGTTATATTCTATTTTACAATAGTCGCATATGAACGTGGATTCAATTGGCGAGACCTCGCGTTTGCATCCTCTCTGGTGATGCTTGAAGCATTTACGATTCTCAAATGTCCTGGAGCAGGACTTACAGTCGAACAACGTGTGCGAGTACATGTGAGCGCGCAAGGCTCTCTGGCCGCTGAAGCCGGTGCCGCACGTATTGCAAGAGAACGAATTAGGGCCGTGAGACGATAGCAAGTGACGCTTAACTGACTCTTGGTCTTCGAAAACCGCGTAACACATCCGACAGTGAGCCACGGAGACGCCATGCTCGACCCTCATGTGCTCCGGAATGAATCTCTTCTGCATGACCAAAGCGCAGGTTCTACACGCGCAATTCAACGAACTCTTCAAATGATAGTTCAAATACTGAACGTTCTGGAAGGTCTTGCCGCACTCGGGACAAGAACATTCTAGAGGCGGCTGATACGATCTTTGGTATTTGCGCGGTTTCTGCTCTGTTTCCTCGTCAAACTTCGAGTTCAGCAAATCTGAGGCCGCTCTTGTATCTGTGGTGCTTATTTTGTCTTTCAGGAGCAAGATAGCGTCGTCGTATAGGAAAAAGAGAGTTCCACTGTCGGCGTTCGCGTGAATCCGCGATAGAAGCTCCGCGGCACTGGACCAACGCTTTTTCGATGTATCACACAGCTGTCTGAAGTTGTAAGCGGCCATGGTATCCTCGGAGCAATGCCTGCAGACCCCGGGTGGAAGGGCGTCTTCGTCCGCCACCTGAAACCACGCCAGCCATCAGTCCGCTCACCCTTGCTATTTGCGAGATAAGCAGTCTTTCATTTTCGCGTTAATAGCGTTACTATAAGACTCCCAGTTTTATATCGCGAAACAATTAATTAATCGGATTAACTTAGTGCTTCAAAACAAACATTCAGGGTATTTCGGCATTCTTTAAATATTACATTTTATCAATGATTTCCCAATTATTATTAGCGTCCTAAGTCTTAGCCGTCTTCACGAAATATTAACACAAAACACAAGATGCCGATCCTTTGGTTAGGAAGTTATTTTCTGGTTTCGGCCACATAATCTGGATTTTTAATTCCATTTGTCAATTCCGTTACTGGCTACACTGGGTAAGGCCATCACGACAATCAGTGCTTGACCTTCAAATGCCTGTCCAATCGCCCCTTCTGATGATATATCTTAGAGCACTTCGGGCATCCAAAACGGACTTTGGTATTACAGACATCGTGTTTCCTCGCGTGCCTCTCGTGGCCTCGTCTCGTGCTAAACTTCGCGTCGCAGTGGACACACACGAATCTATCCGCGACTCTGTTGTGAGAATTACCATGTTCCTCCAAGTGCGAACGATTACCGAAAACCTTTCCGCATTTATCGCACTGGAATTTCTTTAGCGACATGTGCGCATTGAATATGTGAAATTTGAGGGTAGTCCTAACGCTGTATTCTTTCGAGCAATAGTCGCAGACGTATCGAACGGCGCCCCTGTTACTTGGGCACGTTTTTCCGTGTTTTCTAAAACATATTCCATTCGTGAACTTTTTACCGCAAGCACACACCGCCGGTTGGTGTTTCCGTAAGTGCGTCCACAGACTCGTTGCGTTGCGAAAGCTACGTTTACACTCAACGCAGCAATGTACACCGATGTGCTTGGTTTTGTGTTTTTCCAAATACGAATACCTCGCGAACACCTCCGGGCATTTCTTACATCGGAACACCCTCGCGTTGTGATCATTTTCAGCGTGAGCTCCGTAAGAATTCAAGTTCACTAAACGTCCGCACTGCGTGCAATACTTCATTTTCAAATTCCTAATGTGAGCATTAAACCGCACCGCGTTCTTAAAACACTTCCCGCATTCGGGACAAGCCATTCTGGAACGTTCTGGACCTTTCATGCGTGCCGACCGCGTACTGATTTTGGCTCCCAAATCTTTTACAAGTTGCGAGTGATTTTCAATCTTTCTCTTGCTGCGGTAAGTTCGAAAATCTTTTGCGGCTACAACGTAGAGAGTAGCCGCGTTTTTCTCGAGCCCAATGTTGGCCAAATAATTGGCCGTTCTGCTCCAACGTTTGAATGAGTCTATGCATAATTTTAAGAAGAGCGTAAGATCGTGTAAACTACTTTTACAGTGCTTGCATATTTTGTTTGGTAATAGAGTTGAATTCTCCACCTAAAACAATATTTTCATCAGTCAGTTGCGACCACGCTCTAGAATGGGCAGATAAGAAAGTCAAGTATGAGCTACTTAAGCGCCAGATTTCCTACTTCATAATTAGACGTTCGTTTTTTTATGATTTTTTCACAAATTCGAAGACCGTTTTCCGCAGCTTTAGAGTCGAAATAGGTTTCTAGATAGAAAACAATTGTATTCAAACTAGTCATGGTGATAAGTGCTATGTAATATTTCGATTGAGTAGAATTACAGTAATTCGTCTTATAACACGTTGCTCTTATAACGCGTTTTCATATTACGCAATCTCGATATTCCCTGAGATTTCACATGTTATATTTCTGTACTGTGAAATGTATATTGATTTATAAAATTCACTATTAATTTCGCTATACCTATGCACATTGTGTCAATTGCGTTGTTATGAAATTGAAATTAAATCAATTTATTAAATTAGTGTTCCTAGTTTCCTACAGATTTAATTTAAAAAAAAATTGGTATTATATTTGTATATAACGCGTTATGTGGGGTTGTATGATACAAGCGCGTTATGAAATAATTCTCCTACAACGCGATTCCTATAACGCGGAAGCAATCTACCGTGTTATGGGGGATTACTGTTTTATGTATATTTTTTTTAATATATTTTTTAGTTTTAATATATTCACTGAACGGATAAATAATTGGCATCCTAATAATGTTACACACTGACATGTAACAACATATTATTCCATTATTATGAATCCATTGTTATATGTAATAGATTTTCCCTGTAGACTGTAGACCCCTGTTAATCTAAATATTGTGTGTGTATTAATCTAAATAAATACTAACAAGATCAACAATAACCAATATCATATGTTTAAGGACGAGAAATATAATGGAATCACTGCGTTAATATATAAATGGACATTAGTTCACTACACTTGAATAACTTTAAAATAATGTGAGTTATGTAATAATAATAATTAATTAATTCGTTTCCAAATTATTCTTGTCCACCTGATGGTCGTCTGGAAGAGATCGCTCTTAGCGATAAGATTGCCAATTATACTTTTTTTGTATTTAATGTATCGCATTGTTTATTTATTTTTTTGGTGTACAATAAAGAATACTCTCTCTCTCTCTCCCTCTCTATGTATGTATGTGCTGTATCAGCTGAGATCTTTAGTTACGTGTGAATGTTTCTGTGGTGAACCAATAGAGCTCTACAACTTGCAAATTTTACTTTGCAAATTTCACAATCAAAGGACCCTGGTTTGTCTATGTGATGTACGGAGGAAACATGCTTCCTGAGCTGGTAGGGTAGCCTGAACTTAGCAGGACAGACGGCACATGAGTGTCTCAAGACCGTATCACTCTGTCTGTGTGCCTTGCGGACATGCTCCGACCGCCTTGACGAAGCAGAGAATCTTTCATCGCAGTATTTACACACATAAGGTTTCTCTCCGGAGTGTAGTCTTAGATGTTGTTGATAGCCTAGTTTCGATTTTAGTACAATATTGCATAGTTCACATTTGAAGGTCTCCGATGTTTCATGTCTCTTCAAGTGGACTGGCATGTGAGCAGCAGCGAGGTATTTTCCACAATACACGCAGGGGCGGTGAGTGGATTTCATATGCACAATCTGAATGTGAGTCGCTACAAATTTCTTTCCGGCAAACCTCTTCTGACAATAGTCACATATACATTCAGTGTTCCTACTGCCCCGGAGACCAACTTTGACTGACCTCTGATCACTCTTAACCAAAACCGATAGTTTATTCTTCGTTTGATGTATTTCCCGGCTTTCCCGGCTCAACTCACAGCACCTTTTAACGTGATAAAGGTAACAAGTTTGGTTTCGGTACAGTTTAGAGCACTTTGGACAGGTCTTTGGAGTGTGTACTGATAGATGAGCGTTGTATGCCGGCAGAGATTTGAATGATCGTCCACAGTCCCCACACGTACACACACCGGGCCTGTGAGCGTCTGCCATGTGCTTCTTGTAATGTTTGTACGAGCGGAGCAGAACAGCACATTTGTTACAGTTGAATGGCTTTTTATTGTGTTTTTCTCTTAGATGCTCCACCAGATCATCTTCAGACATTATCCTTGCGCACACATAGCAAGCCCGAGTCAAGTCCGTCGATCCTTTCAAATGATCATACAAATCTGATGCATATGAAAATGTCTTCCCACAGTTCGGACATGAGCATTGTAAGCTTTTACCATATTCTTTACTTTTAATAGGCGAATGTTTGATTGTTTTATTTTGTCTTAATGAGTCTTCGGTGATGGATATTTCGTTGTCAGATACGACAGCATAAATCTTGGATGCGTTTACAGGATGAAAGGTGGTGACCTCCTCCAGTAATTTTACTGTGTTATGCCATTGCTCTATGGCTTTCTGGCAGAAGTTTCTGAACTCTGCTGCGGATAATGCTGAGAATGAGCAGGCCGAGCATAGAACGTCGGGCAGGTTATCTTCCACTGTTACCTGCAACCATTCTCTCGGTCAAACAGCAAAATTTTTATCCTCTTTTTGTTTTTTTGTAAGACTAGGTTTTGGTCAGAGAGATTAAAGTGAGCTCATGGGTTTCAATCAATATATAATGTGTTTTAAGTGATGAATTAACAGCAGATATTGTGTACTTTGTTTAATATCTTTAATATTTACTTTACTCGACTTAAATATTAAAGCATATATTATTACGTCATCATTGCAAATCTCCGTAAACGCATTGTAAAATATTCAAATTAATTATAATAATAAAAGTCGAATACAATTCTTTTAAATAATATAAAATAATATAGAAATTATACATAGAAAGAAAATCAAAGCAAACATTGTTTATATTGAAAAATCTAAAACATAAAAAACATTAGGTAAGTTCGCGTCACATAGCTTCTGTCGGCCATCTTGTAATGAACGCGCGGACACGCCGTTCCGTTTTTCACAGAAAATAAACAATGTTCGTTTTGCAACTTTATTTAGACATTTTACATAGCTCACCTCGACTCCCGTGATTTGTTCTAATAGTTCAGCTAAGGTCACGGGCTTCTCTCCGTCCACCATTACAGTATCTCCAAGGTAAACTTGGCCCTCTGTTGTTTCACCCATACAAATACGACATTTTTCGGTGCCATCCCCTCTGACTAGATGGGAAATTAATGCTTTCACATCCACTTGTCTTGTCATATTTAATACTCTTCGTGGTTTGTTTCAGCGAACTTTTTATAACATTAAATTCAGTGAATGTCGGCACATTACCCTATATATCGGTTTAGCTAGACGTCAAAAAGTTCGTTTGATTGGTGCAGATTGACGTTTTGAAATTGTCATACTTCAAGCTGTCAATGTCAAACACAAGTTGACATTTTTTTTCTTTCAATGTAACCACGGGAACCAATTTTCCCTTAATTGAATCAAAGATAATCTTCAATTGAAAAAAATAACCAACAACCATAAAATTATTTATCAAAATTTAAAAATAATTTTATCTTTGTACTCATTAAATGGTGTGTCAATAGTCACATATACTTCAATTAGTGATGCCGCTTCTGTGATTTTACCCATGAACCAGAATAAAAAGTAATTTCTGTGCCGCTCATTTAAAACAAGAAAATTATTTTTGTGTACTAGATGTAAAAATACTTACGTTTGTACATGCAAAAAATATTATTCAAAATTGTGTCTATAAATTTTGTGGACAATAATTAGCAAAATTTTATGAGTACGAACATATTGAATGTCCTAAAACTTTGTCGTTGCAAGTGTTGCTATGATCTATTTTCTATGGTTTTTAATATTGCTAAAAATTCTACTTAAATCCCATAAGTACCTATAAATATTTTGAAAATTAATTAAGAAAAGTAAAATCTCAATCGTTTTCTTAACTAACTAAGTACTAATAAATGTTAAAAATAAATAAAAAAATACAAGCCCCCTATCCCCTATTTCTTGCATTGTGCATTTTTTTTTTATCAAGTGATGTATTAAAATCCGAAAGTAGAGTGATGCTCTTCTTTTATGCTTTTTTTTTCCTACCTAAGCTGATAGCTTTGAGAGGCTATGTCAGCGTAACCTTAACTATACTCGCGAGCAAAAGTTTGGAATCACTTACTTGATATTGGTTCCGCGCGATCTTGTGTACTAAATATTTTTTTAATAATCATAAAAATGACATAATTTTAAAGGTTTAACTTTTAACTTTAAACTGATACTGAATTCATTAAAATCAAGCCAGTATTTAAGAAGCTATCCCGGATTAAGTGAAGGAATAACGAAAAAGACGTGTTTTAATTGTTTGATACGTCGCAAGTTGCGACCTATTGACTCCTGTAAAAGCACCTGCTATCGGATTTTCTTTATCACTCGACTTTCACGCGTTGACCGGTATATATCTCCGCTAATTTTGACCCTTTAACTTGTACGACAATGGAGACAACACCTACAGAAGCAGCACAAATGGTAGCCCTATTGCAAGAAGGGTTCAACCAGTGGATTGTCGCTCGTCGACTCAACATAAGCCAGTCCTAGGTTTCGAAAGCTTACAAGCGCTTTCGGGAGACTGGTGGCTTTATCTCGAGACCAGAATCTGGACGGCGCCGGTGCACATCAGAGAGGGATGACCGTTTTATCGTGTCAACCTCTCTCCGAAATCGGCATTAACCTGGTGTCGACGTCCAATAGGAGCTCCGAGATGTTCCTGGGGTAGCAGCCAGCGAGTGGACAGTTTGTCGACGACTCAAGCAAGCAAATTTGACTCCAAAAAGGCGTGCCACAGGCCCAAAACTCACGGCCGCTCCCCGACAAGCACGCTTTCAATTTGCTCGCACCAATCTTGATTGGGAGGTTGAACAATGCAGGCAAGTCCTGTTTTCCGACGAGTGCAGGATGTGTTTGCACGGTAGCGACCGGGTCTACAGGCGGCCTGGGGAGTGATTTGCACAGTGCTGTTTCGCTGAAACAGTGGTTTAGGGGGCGGCTCTTGTATGATGTGGGCCGGCATTTCCTTCCACGATAAAACCGAGCTTGTTTTCGTGCCTGGCGGGGGACGAGGCGGCGGTCTAACTTCGGACCGGTATATTTCCGATATTCTACTGGAACACGTCGTTCCCTATGCGGGATATATCGGTGATGCTTTGCTCCTTATGCACGATAACGCTCGTTGTCAGACTGCCCGTGTAACAACTGAATACCTCGAAGAAGTCGGTATCGCCAAATTGGACTGGCCTGCGCTCAGCCTGGACTTGAATCCCATTGAGCACGTGTGGGATGAACTGAAGAGGAAGGTTCGTTCCAGAACTCCTGCTCTTTCATGTCTGAATGAGCTGAAATCGGCGTTGATTGAGAAGTGGGAAGGTATCCCACAAGAATCAGTTCAGAAGTTGATCAGGTCTATGAAGAATCGTCTTCGAGCAGTTATTAGGGCGAGGGGAGGGAACACCAAGTACTGACACATAATTTGAAGGCTAAATAAAAAAAATATGAATTATTTTTTGTTGTTTTATTCATTCATTATTTTTTCATATTTCCTTGTTTTCCTACCTCTTTCACTTAATCCAGGATAGCTTCTTATATAGTGACTTGATTTTAATGAATTCAGTATCAGTTTAAAGTTAAGAGTTGAACCTTTAAAATGATGTCATTTTTATGATAATTAATTTTTTTCTAGTAAGCTAGATCGCGCGGAACCAATTTCAAGTAAGTGATTTCAAACTTTTGCTCGCGTGTATAGTAGGTGAGTTCACGGGCTCAAACCTGACGACGTTACTAACACGAACCCTAGCAAGAGCGGTGATTCGCAGAATCTACCACCGGATCGGAAACGCGACCCACTGAGAAGATCCGGCTATAAACTCAGTGAGCTGTGTCTGTGGGTTAATTCACTAGCCGAGCCCTTCGTCGCAAGCAACGGGAAAAAGTTCGCTGAAGTCTTAGTAAATAATTAACATTTTATTGAGACATTATTTCCTTGTATCTCATCTCGTTTCATTTAGCTTCATTTGATTTTATCACAATTACAAATAATTCAACTTTTTTTCATTCGTAATTCAACAGAACTTAAGTAATTAATAAGTTATTAATATTATCTATGAAACAGAACATAGATAATACAATTTTTCATGGGATTTTATGACCTGGTAACTAAGACCTTTAGGTCAAGTCTTATTTTAATTTTAATGAAAACTTTTTTATATAAAAAAATGATGTTATGAAATGAAATGAGATGGTATGGGATGAAATACAATCTCAATACAGTACATACATACAGCAAATTACTGAGACTTTTTCAGTGGACTTTATGGAGGATGCCGAGAAGTTACGTCCAGCGGCTTTGTTTCATTTTCCCACATTTGTGCACTTTCACAGATACTAAACAGTTAATAAGTCACCGTTGTTACACATTTACACCTGAAGAAACACTAAATAGACAAAATTAAACAAATTACACAACTTCGCTACTCGCGTTCCCGCCAAATAGTCCATAGTTGATAGATCCAGTGTAGATTCTGCGAAGCATTGCTCTTGCTTGGATTCATGTTAGCAACATTGTCAGGTTTAAGCCCCATGAGCTCATCTACTAACCCGGCGACGCTGACATGGTCTCTCTAGACCAGGCCGGGGCAAATGGCGGCCGGGGCCCGAATCCGGCCCTCGGTAGAATTTTGTCTGGCCCGTGAAGCATTGTATACATTATTATGAAAAACACAAATATTAGTTTTTGTCTAACATAAATTGGAGCATAATTTTTTTTTAGATAAAATACATAGTACACATTTTTTAATAATACATTTAATACATTTTTTCTACACACACTTATCACTTTTTATTATTATTCTCATTATCCTCTCGCAGGTCTGCTAGAAGAGATTTCTCAAAGAAATAAGCAGTGCCTTTGTACATAATTTTCCTATTACTCTGTACTGTGTCTTATTTTCTGTGTGTACATAAATAAATAAATAAATAAAATAGTAATACCAGGGTATTATCAGGGCCGGTAGGAGCCAAAAATTTCTCTTTCAGCGCCAATATAATTATGATAATTGAACAATTACAGTATGTATAATAGTCGCACAATATAAAATTAGAAAAAAACTGTTTGGCTTGAGGTCAAATTTTCCTCTGCAATGTGGCCCGACTATCAAAATATTTGCCCACCCCTGGTCTAGACCATCAGCTTAGGTAGGAAAAAAAAGTACACGCTTCGTAAATCTTTATATATATATATATATATATATATATTTTTTCTGTGCGTGTGTTTGTCACTTAACTCCTAAACGGCTCGACCGATTTGAATGATATTTTTGTACGCCTTTAGGTGGCACCCTGGATGGTTTAAGCTTCACAGATCAGCCCGGCAGATGGCGCTGCAGTCGGTATCTAGGATAAATATCATTCCTAGAAATAATTTCTATGGCAAAACTTGGAAGTAATAAATGTACATTTTCCCCTCCCTTTTATTCCTCAATCATTCCGCAGATTTCGGGGAAACTTGTCACAGTTGTTGACACAACAGAGTATGTCATACGAAAGATAAATGGCCCTAATGCAGCTCCAACAACTAAACTTCATACATTTAGCAGTGGCCACAGAGGAATGTATCTATCTGTTCGCTAAATACCACTACATAGTATAAAACAAAGTCGCTTTCTCTGTCCCTATATCCCTATGTATGCTTAAATCTTTAAAACTACGCAACGGATTTTGATGCGGTTTTTTTTAATAGATAGAGTAATTGAAGAGAAAGGTTTATATATATAATAGCATCCATTAAATAGTGGAGAAATCAATAATAAATTACAGTTTCCGAAGCGAAGCGCGGGCGGGTCCCTAGTTACAAATAAAACACAAATACTAGTCCTTAATTAGTGTACCATTTATTGAATAAAATTATTATTATTACATTAGGAGTATGAATAATACTAAAAGCGAGACAGTGCAGACGCGAGCGACTTTAAGTGATCATAGTCTGTTATTAGCAGTGTTATTAGCCATTGTCGAGTCCTATCCCATACGAGGGCGGCCCATGCCGCGACCAGGCATCTGCGCCTCTTCACCGCCCTTGACATTCTTGATGGTCTCATCCACTGATAGAATCTGCAAACAATCTTATATTAAAACGTTGGTAAAAGCCGCGCTAACAGAGAAACGAATCGAAAATGGCGTCAATGGTACCTGCACTGACAGACGGTAGGGTCAACAAATATTAGTTCTTTAATTAATTTTAATTTTATATAAATAGTAGTTGACATTTTTAATTTTAATAATTTTGATTCGGTTTCATATGATTTTGTTTCATTTTTGTTTTTAGTCATTATGATAAATTGTAATTTTATTGTATTTTGATTTAGATTATTGTAAAAAAGTTGTTTATTGTAGAAAAAAACATAAAAAAAACAAAATATGAGAATGTACTTTACTTTACTTTGGTGCCCTGGCAGAGGGAGGTGTAAAAAAAATACCAAAATAACAACAAAATAACGAACAAAAAACAACAGAATTTGAGAGAAAACAGAGCGCGTCTGAGAACAAAGTCAGAACTGATATTTTTTTGCAAACAGTACGCGCCGTGTGCGACTAAAGACGGCAATAGTTTAGAGTGAGAGAGCGCATTATCGCCGCCTCATTTTAGATTAATTTATTTATTGGCGCGGCTTATAGCAACATTCATTCTCACTATAGTTATACGTAATGATGGACAATATCATTTACCAATACTTTAAAAAAATTCATTGTGCAAAATTATAATTTGCCTAATTACTGATGGTAGGATGTCTTGTCTGCCTGCACGGATAGGTAACACCACTGCCTATTTTTTCTACAAAGCAGAGACATGTTCTGGTTTGAAGACTTTCACTGTACTGTAGGATTTTAAAACTTGCTACACAAGTCTAAAGGTAGGTGACTGCTTTTATGTTGATACTTGATGTTTAAAGGCTCCAATAACTACTTAAGGCCAGATGCATTGTGAACTTCTGGTTTCCGTGGATAACTGAAGCTATATTTCTAACTCTATATTAAGAGTATGAATTAGAACAAAGTACATTCGTTTTACTCACACACATCACACATACACATCATTTTATTTACCGCTACCCACATATCTCAATTGAATAAAAATTGCACTAATTACAAGTTTTGCAGGTTTGATTTATATTACACAATGTTGTTCTTTCACAGTGGAAGCTGTTCATGGAAGTACGTATTTCATTAGAAAAATTAATAGCTACAGGAATCGAACCAAGTGCACCAGATGGGTGTCTTATCCTTCAGTCCACAAAGACTATATGTTTAGTTTTAATAATAATACTCTTAATACGAAATCTTCCGAATGTATTTAAGCACTACTCTACCTGAGGTTAACCAAAGTGGTCACATATTCTGAATATATTTATTTAAGCATTACTCGACATGATATTAACCAAAGTGGTCACATACCTGAGCGGTGGCCTCGCAGGCGGCACTCACGGCGTTAAGCTTGACGAGGGCCGGCTCCCACACGCACTTCGCAAAGTTATCCACCACCTTAAATCACAAAAACAAACAGTACTCATTATGAGAAGTTCAATTACTCCAAACCCAACCAGTGTTTGACCACCAAACCCACACAATGATACAATATTATTAATAGGATCAGACAGGGAATTTACAAGTGAAGTGTACAAAAGTACATTCAAATATTGAAAATAAAATATCTAGAAAGCCAAAATTGGAAACTAAGTCAAGAATTACAAAAAATATTAAATTGATAATCTTTGAAAATGTTGTTGTGTGATTCAGAACTTCAAATTTCCGGAACAAATATCACAATAAATATGAAGTTTTGGTATTTTGGAGGCATATCCATATTATCCTCTACGTTTGACGTCAACGACCTTAAATCAATCTACCTACTCCGACCACTGCTTATAACACACTACGACATGTTACAGCAATTTTACAAACAGCAGAAAAATAGGTTATTTTAACTAGGTAATTTCAAGAAATACAGTGGTCACTGAAACTTCAATTATATAATTACCTCTCCACTGATAACGTCCACACCGTGCGTGTGCTCCCCAGCGGCGTGCTTCTGTCTCAGTTTATTGAGGAGTCCGGTCCCGTCCAGGCCTGCATTGTCTGCCAGCTGACGAGGGATGGCCTCAAAGGCTCGGGCCACTGCCGCCACAGCCAACTGCTCCTTGCCAGCCAGTTGTAGAGAGTGAGACCGGAGATGGGCAGAGATTTGCATGTCCACTGCACCTCCGCCTGCAAGTTGATACGAGTAACTATACTGAAACTTTACAACTTATTATATCTCAAGGTGGGTGGCGCATTTATGTTGTAGATGTCTATGGGCTCCAGTAACCACTTAACACCGGGTGGGCTGTGAGCTCGTTCACCCATATAAGCAATTAAAAAAAAAAGTCTTAGTGACAATAGGGAATCACAAAAACAGGTAAGTAGGTGATAGGTATAGTTATAACTATGAATGTGTGTTCACTGTTATAACTAAACTATGAATACGGAAGGCTTTAGAGGAAGAGGTAGACCTAAGAAAAAAATGGATGTATTGCGTGAAAGACGATATGTGTAAGCAAGAAAAGAAATGGTATATGATAGAGGACTGGGTGGTATGGGCTGCGGTAACCTTTACTCCGACTTTACATCATAAGTCTCAGAGCATATCAAAGAGCTCATGAAACAATCTACAACATAGTATCTGCTTGTGTACTAAATATAAACAATAACATACCAGCCACTACAGCATCATTCTTGATCGTTCTCCGGACTATCATGATGGCATCGTGCAGAGAACGCTCCGTCTCCTCCAAGAACTGTTCCGCGCCACCTCGCAGGATCAATGTACATGTCTTGGCACCCGGACAACCTGGAAGATAATAGACACGTTGAAAATATAGCGGAATTGAGGAATCTAGCTACATGGATTGGCACTGATAGTTTACCGTAGAGCCATTTCTGTTACTAGTGCCTGAAATTCCTAACTTCGTCTTCTTTTGTTTGTTAATCTTTCTTTTAGGTCTCTTAAAAATAGATTCATTCTCAGTATCATTCCTCTTGTCCTGGATTCCTCTAGTCTATCTATAGATATTCCAGCGCCTTAGCAATAGAAATCTACTTTTTTTTTTATTGCACTTGTAGGCAGACGAACATACGGCCCACCTGATGGTGAGTGGTTACCGTCGCCCATGGACTTCAGCAATGCCAGGGGCAGAGCCAAGCCGCTGCCTACCGATTACTTCAGTGTATTAAATAACGAAAAAGCATTGCGAGGAGCTGAGACAATTCATTTTTCTTGCTAATCAATTAACCTCAAGAAGTCATTGTTACACACTGACCAGTAAAGAAGTTGTATCTGTCAGCTCCAAGCTGTTTCTCCGTGAAGAGCGCCGTGTGACCTAGAACTTGAGGCGTGAGGTCCCTCGTTGAGGCGAGCACGGCTCCCCCGCAGGCGCGCGCCGTACGCCGCATGTCTTCCTCGGGCACTCGGCCAGCGCAGAACATATCTCTGTGGAATGAGATCAGATTAATGTTGAGTATACTTTATTTCATTAAAAAGCTCTGTATTTATTAGGTGACTAAAATTTTACACTATCCAATACAATAAATTGCTCTTCAAGTAAGTAATGGTAATGTTACGCTGGCAAGAGTAACGCCATCTATCGCCGAATAGTCGAACGAATATCGAAGGACCTAGAAGCACTTAGAACGCTCGATAAGTACAATGCCATCTATTGTCAGCTAGCTGAAACACAACACTCGAAATGTGTGGAATATTCTCGATAATTCTAGGGATGTGGTATCGGCTATAAAAGCGTTGCAGGGATGGCACGCAGCCAGTCAGTAATCGGAACTACTCGAAGCGAAACAGCGAACGGATCACCTAAAGCGAATTGAGAGTTTTAAAGTGTTTGTTGACTGTTTTAAATTATTTGTGAAGTGTTCTAAGTGTTGAATACAGTTGTTTTAGTTGTATTTTGGTAGAATTTTATTTATACCGAACCCCAGCGCGTGACAGTTATTTAATTTGTATCACGTAATTCTCACAGCCCACACCCTCCCTGCCTATTTCTAAATGTGTTTCAGTTTGAAGAGTGGGGTGTACCTTCGTACTATAAAAACTGGGACTTAGAACTAATTTCTGGGGATTTTTAGATTGTTGACATTAAAGGGCACTGGTAATCACTTAACAACAAGTCCTCCACCCATCTTAGGATTAAATTTTACTGATTTTTCAATGTACTATTTTTTTTTTGTTGCTTATATGTGTGGCGGTGCCTACCCGCGCGGACTCACAAGAGGTCCTACCATCAGTAATTACGTAAATTATAATTTTTTGTACTGCTTATAGCAGCGGTCGGGGAACTTTTTTAATTATTACCCCAAAATATTTTTCTGTAAGTTGATATTACCCCATGGCGAAGAACAAAAAAAACGAAATCGCTTCTTTTTAGCATCTTTCATATTATAGCACCCATGATAATTTAGAAAATAAAAAAATAACTAAAAATTTAACAATTCTAAAGAAGTTTCACTTCAATATATACTTTTTACTCATAAAAGTTCCATTTTTACCCCCCAAAATTTCATTTTACCCCGCTTGGGGTAATTTACCCCGGTTCCTCCCCGACTGCTGGCTTATAGTCATAATCATGAGTGCAGATTCTTAGTTTCAGATAGTAACTTACATATGTGTGTGAATGTGTGTGTGTGTGTGTGTGTGTGTGTGTGTGTGTGTGTGTGTGTGTGTGTGTGTGTGTGTGTGTGTGTGTGAGCGTGAGCGCGTGTGTATGTATACGTGGTATTTAGGCATCTGTTCAGATGTTAATTTTTTTCTGTATGCATCTTTTTTGAATTGCAATCCAGAATTGTTATGTTAAACATTTAAACTTATAATTTCTTTGGTTGTAATTTGTTTTGTGCATCAATAAAAATAAAATAAAAGAAAAAAAATAAAAAAATAAAGGCAAGACCTCGGTCAGTACAGCAGCTAGCATAAATCAACAGCACATACCGGTCCGCAAAGTATTGTGTGGCAACATCTCCGATGGGCAGCTTGCTGAGGACCACATTTGCTCCGCTAGCATGCAAAGCGGCGAGCTTCTCGTATAAGATCTGCCACTCAGCATCCACAACCTTCTGATATTCCCTCACGTTGTTTACCCGGACCTTAATGTGGGATTAATACAAATAAATAAATATGAAGTATCAACAGATGTATCAAATGTCAGAAGTACAGATTTTTATTAATTGCATAAGTAAGCAAGAAAGAATATACAAAAAGTATACAAAAGAACTTATTTATTTTTATCTGTCCTTGCTGGTTCTGACTCATTACATTATATTACAATGTCGTGGCCTAAAGGAAAAGACGTCCGGTGCATTCGTATGTAGCGATGCTCCGGTGTTCCAATCCCGCAGGCGGGTACCAATTTTTCTAATGAGATACGTACTTAACAAATGTTCACGATTGACTTCCACGGTGAAGGAATAACATCGTGTATTAAAAATCAAACTCGCAAAATTATAATTTGCGTAATCACTGGTGGTAGGACCTCTTGTGAGTCCACACGGGTAGGTACCACTACCCCGCCTATTTCTGCCGTGAAGCAGTAATGCGTTTCGGTTTGAAGGGTGGGGCAGCCGTTGTAACTATACTGAGAACTTAAAACTCATATCTCAAGGTGGGTGACGGCATTTACGTTGTAGATGTCTATGGGCTCCGGTAACCACCACTTAACACCAGGTGGGCTCCACATGACTATTAACGTTGGTAACATTTAGATATTGTAAGATCCCCACCTCAGCGTTGTCTCTTTCAGCTTTCAATTCCAGCTCAATATTGAGGAGTGCGATCTTGCAGTCTTTGTATGTCTTTGGCTGCATCTCAAAGCCAGCGTAACTGAAAGTTTTCTTGAAAGCCACACCGGGTACCAGGAACGAGTCTTCAAGAGCTCCACCGGGGACCTTCTTGATTCCTGCAAGAAGCAATTCAGAACATCTCAAGTTTACAAGTCTAATAGTTATAAAAAAGTAATTCTCCCATTGTTTTGTTCATTGACCTCTGAAATGTGTACGTGTTCATTGCTCGTTGCATTATTTTTTACCAGTTACATTATCTGTCTTTTAAAGTAAGATAAAATTATGTGTTAATTTTGTTAATAGTAGTCAAAACATAGGAAAGCAAAAAAGAAAAAAAAAACCTAAACTACGCCATTTTGACAGAATTTATGAGAAAAATACTGGTGATACCAATTGTTTACATAAAATATATTAACTCAATTTCGAATATTTTTGGAAATTGTACACTTTTAATGCGAAAAGAGACGTATTTAGATCTAACTTTGAAGATGAATATTGATATCCATTTGTCCGGTAGTGATGAACAAAATTGGCTTCAGAAACAGTATAGTTGCAACCCAACTTCCTAAAAACTCACCAATCATGTCGAGAGGCAGAAGTGGAGTGTCCAAAGACAGGACAGCATCAACAACAATCTTAGAGAAGTGATCCTTCTGTTGATGAATCAGTTTCGATGACATCGCTGTTGATGCACACTTCAATAGGAGATCTCTGTTGATATAAGCATATAATTTACAATTAATAATTTTTGGACTGAGCGAAAGAACAAAACTGACTGATGATTAATGGTTATTGCTACTCATCGACTTCATAAGTATATGCCTTTGTATCGTATAATGGCTGTCCTACACTTCAGATGGGATGAGTGACTGCTTCTCACCATACTACCAGCCAGTCAAACCTCAATGGTTTGTCATAAAGCCTCATTTCTACTATCACGATCCACACAACCATTTCAGTAATTGGATCCGTATGTTTTAATCATCAGCTATCAATTATTTATCATATAAAAGGTAATTTATTCATTGAAATCATCAACATTGTATAAAAGACAATTGAAATGTCTAAACTCTAATCAGTTAAAGATTTAACCACAAAAGTAATAGAAACCTATTATATTCATTACCTTTGTTCCTCAGGCGACTTATTATCAATTTTCACAGCTTGCTCCTTGATTTTCTCAATGGCCAGTCTTGACGCTGTTCTGACTGCTCTGATCAGAACACGAGGGTGAACACCTTTGGAGGACAAAATTTATATATTTATTTTTATAAATGTACTAGCTGACCTGGCAGACTTCGTAGTGACTCAGTCGATAAATAAAAGACCTAAACTTTTGTATAAAATAAACTTATAACAAACAAAAGGAATCCATCTGACGGGGGACAAATCAAAGGAAAAACACAAAATTGTTATTTTTATTTAATTCAGAGCATTTTCATAGTTATCTACCCTTTAAACCTTCTCTGGATTTCCACAAATAATTCAATAACTAAATTAGCCAAATCGGTTCAGCCGTTCTCGAGTTCTAGCGAGACTAACAAACAGCAATTCATTTTTATATATATAGATAGATTTTTATAAATGTACTATTTGTTAGAATACTGCCACCATCCAGGTTCGTTCACCAACTTCATAAAAAAAAAGACAAAAGACTGACCTTCTTCAACAAACGGCTTCAACCTCTTCAGAATTTCACCGGCCAATATCACTACCGAGGTGGTTCCATCGCCAACCTGTATTATTTTTCAAGTGTTAAATATATTAAACCAAATATTTCCGAAAAAGTTTTTATGATTTTTTTTCTCATCCATAAATTAAATTTTCCTCAATTAATTAATTAGGAAATTGGATCCGTTTGTTTAATCATTGAATTCTCTAGAGATGTTCACCGAAATGCATTATAGTACTTACGTAATGTAGGCTTAAGTAATGGTGATAATCTAGACATGATAAATAAATAAATAAATAAATAAATATTTACTAACAATCACGCCACGTTAACTGGTCCCGTGATAAGTTCGTAAAGAACTTGTGTTACAGGTACCAGATAACGGAAATAAATGTAAGATTTTTATTATACACATACATATATTTAATATACATCCATAACCCTGGAAAAGACATTTATATTTATCATACAAATATCTTTCCTTGGCGGGATTCGNTTTACTAACAATCACGCCACGTTAACTGGTCCCGTGATAAGTTCGTAAAGAACTTGTGTTACAGGTACCAGATAACGGAAATAAATGTAAGATTTTTATTATACACATACATATATTTAATATACATCCATAACCCTGGAAAAGACATTTATATTTATCATACAAATATCTTTCCTTGGCGGGATTCGAACCCGCGACCCTCTTGTGTAGTGACCGATATCATAGATTGTGTTTCGATATCATAGAAAATAATCAAGGAGTATATTGTGTCAAATACATGTAATGTTTTTTTTATTGACTCCTCTATATGTGTGGGAAATTTCCTACTCCTCTGTCTGTGCAAAAAAGGAGGTACAAAGTTTTTGCTTCACGTATTAATGTATAGATATTCTATTTTAGACACCAATACGTCCATAGTTTGTTCTCATTTAACAATTTTATGAATGAAGGTGTCCAAGTTTAGTACATTACCTCGGCATCTTGAGACTTTGCAATATCCACAAGAGTCTTAGCGGCAGGGTGAATGATATCCAGTAGCTGAAAAAATGAATTACATTCTCTTACTTCAATTGTAGTAACATAAGTAAAAATGTAATTGGCATTACACAAATATTCCCTAAATCTCACTTAAAATATGTGATAGGAAGACAATAAAAACCAAAAAAAAGACTAACCATGTTTTTTTTTTGTATTTTTATTTTTGTATACTTTTTGTTTTTATTTAGCTCTAAATGTTTAAAATTGTAAATTAAACGAATACAATAGCTTTAAAAATTTTTTTTTATTGCTTAGTTGGGGCTCACAGCCCACCCGATTTTAAGTGGTTACTGGAGCCCATAGACATCTACAACGTAAATGCGCCACCCACCTTGCGATATAAGTTCTAAGGTCTCAAGCATAGTTACAAAGGCTGCCCCACCCTTCAAACCGAAACGCATTACTGCTTCACGGTAGAAATAGGCAGGGTCGTGGTATCTACCCGCGCGGACTCACAAGATATCCTACCACCAATCATTAAGCAAATTATAATTTTGCGGGTTGATTTTTATTACACGATGTTATTCCTTCACCGTGGAAGTCAATCATGAACATTTGTTAAGTACGCATTTCATTAGAACAATTGGTACCCGCCTGCGGGATTCGAACACCGGTGCATCGCTTCAATACGAATACACCGGGCGTCTTATCCTTTAGGCCACGACGACTTCATAAGTAAGTCGTAAGTACGACTTAGAAGTAAGACAGACAGTGTACAATACACCTAAGAGTTCGATCTTTGGCCTGTAGAAGGTGGGTGAACTCACACTCTGCCACATGCTCGTGGCATTTAAAGCTGGAAAAGTGATTTGAGCTCACTGTTATACTTGAGAACCACATCAGAATTATATTTGAAACAGTAATCATTCAAGTAATTTCGCCTTTTCACGTTAAAAGTGTACAATTTCCAAAAAATATTCGAAATTGAGTTAGTATGCGGAATCATTTGGTACCACCAGTATTTTTCTCATAAATACTGTCAAAAGAGCATAGTTTAGTTTTAGTTTTTTTTTAGTATACCTATGTTTTGACTACTATTAACAAAATGAATACATAATTTTATCTTACTTTAATAGACAAATAATGTAACTGGTAAAAAATAACAAAAATTAATGTTGCAAAAATGATTAATATTAAAAATATCACATGTTAAACTTTAAGTAAGTTTGGCGATTATACAGTTTCAATGCGAGAAGATGATTTGTATAGCATAAAGCCTCATTTCTACTATCATGATCCACACAAACATTCAGTAATTGGATCCGTATGTTTTAATCATTGGCTTTGAAAATTACACAAACAAACAGTCCTAGTTTCCAACAGCAAAAGCTTCTCCAAGGCATACCTTCATGATCGTTGCACCATCGTTTGATATAACCGCCTTTCCATTGTGATCTACAATCAGCTTGTCCATACCACGGGGACCCAGGGTGGTTCTGACCTGTAACAAGAAGGATTACTGAAATACTGATCAAGTCAGTAGCTACTATCTTAAACAACAAACAAGAGTCCACAACTGGAGCAATATGGCGGGATGCTAGAGATAGACTGTGTGGTCTCAAAACTTTCTACTGTACTCCTTTTTTTTTCCGGACCGTGGCCGAGAATCTCTTACGAGGTCCCCGCGCCTAAGGGGCGAGCGGGGTATGTGGGACTCTACTGTACTCCATAACTCGTCTATTCATAGTAGTAGTGCAATCCTCTCCTCTAGTACCGTAACAAAACATTACTCGATTATTTTATTGTGATAGTGTAGATATAGTCTTCTTTCTGGTCGTTCCCTCAATGCTCTTCTTCTAGATATAGTCTACATGCTACATTATCCATATATATTTATTGGATGTACCATTTTATCACTAACACTATTTTGAATAAAACAGCAGTTATGTAAAAACATGATGTCCATAGGAGGCATGCAGCTAGATGATAATAAAATTACTGTCTAGTTTATTTGTTTGAGCGAAACCGAACGTATTCAGTACACCTGTACTTAATGTAGACTTGTGTTAGATCAACTCATCCTTGTATGGGCAGACTTAAAAAAACTCTGTCCATAATACATTTGTAAAAGAGTAAGCCTATTTTGATCTCCTTCCTCCTGATATTCCTCGCCCCATTGATCTCAAATCTCTTCTTTCCCTTGTCAACTCCCCTTTCGTTTATATTCTTAGTTCATTCATTAACCATAATAATATTAAGCTGTAGTTTGTCTGTCTGTTATCGAACTAACCCCTGTATATATATTGTGTGCGTCTTATTTGTTTTAGGTAAATCAACAGAGATCCTGTCATCANGCCGCCTGGCGGACCCCGCCTACGGGCGACGGACCGTCGAGGCGATCCGCCCGGTCCTCTCGGACTGGGTGAATCGCGACCGAGGACGTCTCACCTTCCGAGCGACGCAGGTGCTCACGGGACACGGCTGTTTCGGTCGCTACCTGCACCTCGTCGCCCGGAGGGAGCCGACGCCGAAGTGCCACCATTGCAGTGGCTGAAACGAGAACACGGCGGAGCACACACTCGCGTGCTGCCCCGCTTTCGCGGAGCAGCGCCGCGTCCTCGTTGCAAAAATAGGACCGGACTTGTCGCTTCCGACCGTCGTGGCTGCGATGCTCGGCAGCGATGAGTCCTGGCAGGCGATGCTCGACCTCTGCGAGTCCACCATCTCGCAGAAGGAGGCGGCGGAACGGGAGAGGGAGAACTCTTCCTCCCTCTCGGCGCCGTGCCGCCGCCGTCGAGCCGGAGGTCGGAGGAGGGCGTTTGTCCAGCTCCGGCCCCTATGAGGAGGCAGTCTCCTCCCGGTGATGGTCACGGGGCGACCTAAGGGGGCTGAGACTGCGCCGCACGCTACCGTCACTCTAGCGCGCTGGCACCAGGAGGACGGAAGGACGCGTCGGCGGCTGCGGACTGCGATGCGGTCTGCATTTCCGTCGTCGCTGTCGTCGCCGAACATACTGTGGAAGAGCAACCCGGTCGGCGGTGTATCGCGTTCCGACCCGGCAGGCTGGTTCTGGCCCAGCGGGGTATCCCGGAACACCAGCGGCATCGCCCGGGCGGCCTGGTAGGGCCGCCGTACAGCGGAGACTGACGTCGTTGGTCGTCGACTATCGCCTCGACGACCCGTCCGTCGGGCGTCCTCGGGGTGGCGCCGCGTGTCTGGTTGTAGTGTTGACCGCGGGAACCCCCCTACTCTGACCGGGTTTTAACCCCGGACGGAGATCGGACGCCGGGTGTAAGAGTGGAGGGGAGTCGTTTAGTGGGTGGGCCCTAAATTCCTTGGGCCCGCGGTCTGCTCTCAACACCTGCAGATCGTTGAGTCTCACATACCCCGCGCGCCCCCTAGGCGCGGGGACCTCGTAGGAGGTTCGGCCCTCGGCCCGAAAAAAAAAAATCCGTAGTAGGTAATGAAATCCTATCCTCTAATACCGAAACAAAACATTGCTCGATTATTTTATAAATCACAATAAAATATATATAAAATCACAATAAAAATAAGACACAGCACACTGATTTTCTCGTCGGATCTTCTCAGTGGGTCGCGATTCTGATCCGGTGGTAGATTATGCGAAGCAGGGCTCTTGCTAGGGTTCGTGTTAGCTACGTCATCAGGTTCGAGCCCCGCGAGCTCACCTACTAGTTAAGGCTACACTGATATAGCCTCTCAAGGCTCTCAGCTTGAGTAGGAAAAAAAAGGGTATGTAAGACCGTTTTCCGGTAGCTCTCTCAATACTCACCGCATCGACGACAAGTTGACAGGCATTGATGTTGGAGACGAGCTGAGGCTTGCCCTGCGTCTGGTCCGTTCCCTCCCTCAGTAAAAGTATTTGCGGTTGCTGTGAACATAAAGCATCCAAACTTTTAAGACTATAATTTAAGCTAAGCAAAATCTAAACAAAAACACCATGAATGATGGAAAAGCAACCAAACAGTCTGGCTGCCGCCTTGAAAAAACGGAGTTACGGTAAACGGCTTAAGAGAAAAGACGTCATATAGTTCAATGACCAATTTTTTATTTAGAGTAGATGGCTCACTGGAGTCAAAAAAAATTTTTAGCTACAATGATAAAAGTGCTGAAAGTCACAACTTCTTAAAATTTCTTTCAGATTAATGATTACATTAACCCTTTGTACTCAAAGTCAAGTAGAGGTACTATTAATCACTATAATCAAGATACTAATAGCCTATCTCTCTTTCCTATTGTCTGTAATGTCTTTAGTTTATATATTATAATTACTTTCCCTGTATAATCTCAATATCAATATAATCAATATAATCACAATGTTAGATTGGTGAATAAGTCATGGCCCTCTTGGTCTGGTAAACTCATCAGTGACCGTGCTACATCATAGCTCTAAATGTCCTTACCCACTCAGACTTAGAAGTCAGAATCCCAACTGTACTGTAGAACAGCTGTTCTAGCTATATAAAGCTAGCTAAATAGCTATTCCAGTCCTAACACCAGTCCATTCTAACGTCTAATCACAATATAGTATATCTTGTACTCTAGATCTCAAGTCATGACAGTCATTGACCCATTTCGGACACAAAGCAATCATATCTGTTTTAAAGAATTCTAATTCACTAGCTTACCTAGTGTTACCTCACTAGCCTACTAAAGGTTAAGGCAAAAAGCATCAATTTTAAGCAGTACCTAAAAGCTCCAGAACTATTAACCAGCTTAAGCTCCTAAAGTTTTTTTTTTGGCTAAAAAACAAAACCTATATGTAACTTCAAAAGATGAAAATGAGTGCAGAGGATTTAAAAATTTGATATTGAATAGCCTCATATTTGTTATTGTGATCCACACAACCATTTCAGTAATTGGATCCGTTTGATATAATCATCAGCTATTCATTCAATCAAACTCTGCACTGTCAAGTTAACTGTGTTAACTGTATTAACATAAAAGTTAACTGTATTAGTGTGAATTGTGTATTTTTTTGCCTTTTTAGGCAGACGGGCATACGGCCCACCTGATGGTGAGTGGTCACCATCGCTCATGGGCTTCAGCAATGCCGTGGCAGAGCCAACCTGCTGCCTACAGTTTCGAATGGATGGCAAGAACATGTAAATACTCATAGCTGCAAAGTTATTCGTTTTTTATTGAGTTTTAACGTGGAATTTTACGAGTCTTAACACTAACACTGATTTGAAACAAACTGAGATTTCTTGGCCGATTTTAAATCATAAGCCACTTTTTTTGGTTTCAACACGTATTTTTTAAATTAAATATCAATGTTTTATGTTGCGTTTAAGATTATTTTGTGTATTTATGTTATAAAATTCGAATCACATGAGCATTTGGTGTCCGATCATCCGACATTCCCTTGTCTATGAGAAAATATCAAATATCGGACTGCGCGGATTATAATTAAACTAAATGGTAAATTCTCGAAAATTTAGCCCTAACTACATAAAAGTTCAATCATACCCATGGCAATAAGTTGTTTCGTAGAAAAATAAAAAAAAACTAATTTCCTTCTCAATGATTCAAGCCCGGTTTTAAGATTGTATCTCCGAAACTATATTTTGGTAACACAAAATATGTACGTATACACATATTTTTCACAATTAGGTGTCATAATAACATATAAAATTTAAATAAATCTAAGAGATTTCACAGAAAAAGTCAAATTAATTTACCATTTTGCTAGATTTGTTTCACTGTCTCTAATTTCGTTCCAGAGAAAAATACATTTGACGTTGACAATGACAATCATGAAATTTTCAATTTTTGTTTTGCCGGCGCTTGACACTTGACATTTGACTGTTACTTTTTTTTACTGGCTTGAAAACAAAGTCTATTAAGTAATTTGACTGTTATAGGACATAGAGTTAAAATACACTTATGGTCTTACTGCAATTTTGCTCCACATCATATAAGTTTAACTCTAAAAGCGGCGTCTGGCATTATAGCCTTAATTGCACACCAATATTGAGACATGAGGTCTATATAATTCTATCAAATTAAATTTCTCCTTACGTGGTGTTTCCTGCTTGAGTAACTTCTCCTTCTTGTTCTAAATCAAAGACTCTTGTCAGAGTGGTCGTGGTTGCGCTGACAATGTATAAGCAGAAGCACCCGTTAGGTCGTCCACGCTCCCGAGGACCACTCTCCAGGCAATGCGCTTCCAGGTTAGGCGGCTCACCAACTTCCCCTTCAATGTGTTTAAAATTATTCCTTCTAGGAAGCAGCAGCGTACGTTAGGCTGGACCCTGGTATATGCAAACAGCCCGCCTCGACTAAAGAAAACTGGATCGTTTACTCGTCTGTTTCCGATAGCAATGTAATTTAGAAAAGATATTCTATCTAACCGTAGTTCCAGAACATAGGTATTCGCTATTACACATGTATAGTCTATGATTTCAATCATACTCTACTCTCTTGACCGAAAGGTCTATGTTACCAGGATATAAAATTTAAAAAAACCTACCTAAACTAATCTGTAATTTGTAATCTGTAATATTCTGTCAATTGTCATTTGGGCAGTGCTTTCGATTTCAAAAATTTCAATTTATTCCAAGCTAAAAAAACCTTTTTTTTTGTATTGGAACATAAATTAACCCGGCAACGATGTCTTTTAACAGTGATTTTCGACAACTATTAAAACCATACTATTGGGTTAACATATTGCTAAGTTTATCGTACGTTCTCTGCAAGCGTACATCCATTATTTGTAATTATATATTTCCGGAGAGTGACTGCGAATTGGACAGCCGTGAAACGGAAATATTATTTTTCCTAATTATAGTGATAATGTTGAGGACGAGAAAAGCGGGAAGCGTCACGATGGTGAACTATCTGTCGTCTTCGTTCGTTTATACCAAGATTGCGAACTTAATTCTGTGGTTCTACGCCGACATTAGGTATGTAAACATTTTTTTATAGCTTTTTGGTTTATGCGACTTTTTTTTATTGCTTGACGAGTAGAGATAGACGAGCTCACAGCCGACCTTGTGTTAAGTGGTTACCGGAGCCCATAGACATCTACAACGTAAAGGCGCCATCCACCTTGACATTTTTGCAACTTTACAGGAAAGCCTTTTAAAGTTTAAAATTTGAAATAACAGTCATAAAAAAACTTCAGCTATCCCAATGGGACTTTTACTTTTTGTTGGACGGTTAAATTTGAGGGGATTGGGTTCTGTAGGTGAGGGGCTATTTAAAAACACTGCTTCGTGGTTAATGTAAATATATTACAAATATTTTGTACACCATTACAATATGCTATTTTTATAAAGCCCTAAGATGTTGCACTGTCCGTGTCTAGATGAGAAGTCATTGTCCTCACTGAAGAGAAGACAATCATCTGTTTTAAACATTAAAATGAGCATTCCAATATTCGAAAACGGTTACTTCACATGTGACAAGTGTTGCCTGCCATTACTTACATATTCAAACTCCACACTCTTAATTGAAGTTCAATTAAAAACATCGAAATGTTGATCCTAATACCAAATAATATGCAACATTAATTACAAAGATATATGTCACTTAAAGCTAACAGCCTATCAACGCTCAATAGTGTTATATTATTATATAAAAATTTATTTAATTAACATTAGTCTTTGGAGTCCTTCATCTTTTGGATCATCTTTAAAAAGTTACAGCTTGCGTATAGTTTTCATTGTGCTGGTGACAATTTGATAATATTATGTGTGGATCTTTTAAATAAGATTATTTTCAACATCACTGTAATATATACGACATAATTTTTGTCCGTGATTACATATAGATTAATTGAATAAACCACACTCCTTGACGCTTGACTAGAAATTTAACATGAAATTCAAATTTAAAATACTGACGTGTCAGCACCTGCTAATTTAGTATTCATGGCCTTTATAATGAAAAGTACTTTTACGGTTTAATCTTGTGTTTGTAATTTGCATATATTTATTTGTGGATTGCAAATACAATTATCAAGTATCTAAGTCATTTAGCACAAATTAACTGTTTACTTAGTGTGAAAAGTTAGATAAAGGTTGGTACATATACAGTGTGTTCCTATGAGATCAAGTGATGCATGATTATATTATCAACTATTTTGAAAACATATAAAATATATAGCTTTTAAGCTATTGCATAGCTTTTATCGCGGGCTTTGAGCGCAGCGACCGAATCAAGAAATTCCTTAACGAAAATAAAATATATCGACGCTTGAAAGGCAAACGTGACTAAGCGACAATAACTGCTTTGTACATAAATGATAGGCAATAACCATATTCAATACGCAAAAAAAAATTATTTCTAGGTCTATTAAAATCATTTCAATCCTACAGCTACTAGCTAGATTCTACTACAGCTATATTTGTTAAAATAAAATTTGTTTTCAGGTATTTCAATTTTAAATTAGTCTGCCGGAAAGTTCACGCATTGTTGCTTTGTCACGTTTGCCTTTCAAGCGTCAATATATATACATATATATATATTTATTGCTTATTGCTTAGATGGGTGGACGAGCTCACAGCCCACCTGGTGTTAAGTGGTCACTGGAACCCATAGACATCTACAACGTAAATGCGCCACCCATCTTGAGATACAAGTTCTAAGGTCTCAGTATAGTTACAACGGCTGCCCCACCCTTCAAACCGAAACATATTGCTGCTTCACTGTAGAAATAGGCGGGGTGGTGGTACCTACCCATGCGGACTCACAAGAGCTGCTACCACTAGTAATTACGTCGTCGACACGTCGGTCAGGACTGCTTGAAGTCTCGCCGGGAACCCCCTATTCCGCCCAATCTCTGACTTCAGATGGAGATCGGACCTCGGGTGAGAGAAGGGCATACCAAAATTAAATTTCTCAAACATATTTTCAGGTACGGCCTTCCCTATGCAGCCGCGATCATACTCCTGGCTCTGCTCCTCCCGGAGCCAACGTACACAGGACCGGAACACGTCACCTACTTCCGAGGACCCGAGTCCTTGGAGGACGAGTTGAAACGCAACAAGCACGCCACCTGGGTCGTGTGTCTGTACGCAGCATGGCACCCGGCCTGCGTGAATTTCGCACCGGTCTTTGCTGAGCTATCTTCAAGCTATAGTCTGGATAATTTGAGGTTCGGCAAGCTGGATGTTGGGAGGTGAGTGATCAGGCGTTCTTTAAGATTAGATTAAGGAATCTTTGTTTCATCATATTTATTTATTTACTAGCTGACCCTACTAGCTTAGATTTAAAACGCTAGTAACCGTGAGACAGTTCGAGATCAAACAGACACGACTCAAGGATTAAGGATATGTGAATCTTTGGTTTTTTTATATAACCAATTCAGGCGAGCTCGTAGTCTACCTGACATCGAGCGGTTACAAGAACTTAAAAATAGCCCGCCTTGAAATATAAAGTCGAGGTTTTGATTATTGGAACAGCCCACTGAGTTTTTCGCCGGATCTTCTCAGTGGGTCGCGTTTCCGATCCGGTGGTAGATTCTGCGAAGCACTGCTCTTGCTAGGGTTCGTGTTAGCGACGTCGTCAGGTTTGAGCCCCGTGAGCTCACCTACACACGTTAGAGTGAAGCTGAAATAGCATCTCAAGGCTATCAGCATAGGTAGGGAAAAAAAAGTGTGTGTGTCCGCTCCGACGCACGACTGGAGTTTACTGGATATAAAAAATTAAACGAAACAATACGAGAAATAGTTCTATATTACGACAACACGATACACTACAGATTATTAACAAATTAACGAGACACAAAACAAACGACTAACAAATATATGAAAATACAATAATGAGAGAAACGCGCGATCAGTACGAGGCTTTGTGGCGGACTGCCGGCGCAGCAGCCCGGCGTCACCTGCGATAACGCGGCCGCGCGTTGGCTCCTGATTGGCGCGCGCACGCATCACGCAATCAGGAGCCAATCAGGCGCATAACGCATTTCGTGTGACATGCTAGTACGATTTTGGTCCCCATAATTTTCATACCCCGGGCCTATATATGTAAATCGATTCTAAAGGAGTAAACTCCAAAAACAAACAGATAAATACAATTCCTTGTTTTTTTAATTTTTTTTTTGCTTATGTGGGTGGACGAGCTCACAGCCCACCTGGTAGTAAGTGGTTACTGGAACCCATAGACATCTACGACGTAAATGCGCCACCCACCTTGAGATATAAGTTCTAAAGTCTCACTCAGTATGGTTACAACGGCTGCCCCACCCTTCAAACCGAAACGCATTACTGTTTCACGGCAGAAATAGCGGGATGTTGGTGCCTACCCGCGCGGACTCACAAGAGGTCCTACCACCAGTAATTACGCAAATTATAATTTTACGGGTTTAATTTTTATATTTTTGTTTGGTTTGTTTGAAAGAAATCCAGTAATTATTTCAGGTACCCTGGTTCCGGTCTTCAATATAAAGTGCAGGACGGGCCGACGAGTCGGCAGCTGCCCACGGTGATGGTCATGAGCGAGGGCCGGGAGAAGATGAGGAGACCGCAGCCCGACAGCACCGGGAAACTTCAGAAGTGAGACATTTTGATGTGATTGGTGGCAGGGCGTCATGTGAGCCCGCACAGGAATGTACCATCACCCTGCCTATTTCTAAGTAGTAATGCGTTTCAGTTTTTTCAACTTTAACTCACACATCATAACGTGAATGCCTTTTTTTTATTGCTTAGATGGGTGGACGAGCTCACAGCCCACCTGGTGTTAAGTGGTTACTGGAGCCCATAGACATCTACGATGTAAATGCGCCACCCGCCTTGAGATATAAGTTCTAAGGCCTCAGTACAGTTACAACGGCTGCCCCACCCTTCAAACCGAAACGCATTACTGCTTCACGGCAGAAACAGGCAGGGTGGTGGTACCTACCCGCGCGGACTCACAAGAGGTCCTACCACCAGTAATTATGCTTTAAATAAATTGCAATACATTAGCATAAATATGAATTGTGGGTTAGGCCACTTTTTCACTGACATCCTCAATTATTTTGGTTTATTAATAAAGACGTCTTATTTTGCTATAGGTTTCTTTTCTCGATGGACAATATGAAAGCGGCGTTTGATCTCGACGGTCTGTACGCGGAGTGCAAAGAGAAACTGGCTTCCTTCAGACAGAATAAGAAGGATGAGTAGACCACCATCGCGCAGGTCTTATTACTGCCCAATTGCAACCCGTAGGAACCACACCCGCAGACGCCTGAAGATATGTGGTTTCTTCTTCTGTAGTTTTTGGCTCCGGTACGGTTTGTGCATTAGCCAGTGTCAAATAATAAGATTTTTATAATTCGTCGTTTTAATTATTGACAGTTTATGAATACTAGATGATGACCGATTTTTTGATAACGCCATCTTGTTGTGTCTTTAAAGCGGTTAGTTGCCCTCAATTAAGAAAAATAGTATTATTATTCGCCGATAGATGTCGGGAAGAGTTGATTATTAAAAACACGAATAAAACAAAATTTTCTGAAAATAAATCGTAGCTAGATCGATTTATCGCCCCCGAAATCCCCTTTATACTAAATTTTATGAAAATCGTTGGAGCCGTTTCCGAGATTCAGATTATATACATATATATTAATATACAAGAATTGCTCGTTTAAAGGTATAAGATTAAAATACGAAGGAAACTTAACCAATTAGCATGAAATTTAATGAAATGACATGATATGATATAGGATGAAATATAATATTGGTTGTATCATTACTCGCTCACATCTATAAAATATCACCTATAGTATCATCTACATGGCGTCTCTCCTCACGTGCCTACCGAAAGCCTCTTTAGCATCTTTTATAGTGCAACTAGCTTCTCCTCCTCCTCACCTTTTTTTCCTCATTACTGAGGGTTGTGACTCCCCCGCTGCATTAGTGTCTCCCGCACGATTTCCCTCAATCTGCTGCGATCCTTAGTTTCATGAAGGGCATTGTGGAAGTTGATGTTCAGAGAGGATCGTATTTGGTCCGACCATCTAATGAGACTGCGTCCTCTGGGACGTTTGTCATCTACCTTGCCTGTAGAGCCTGCAACTGGCTTCTAGCGACGCCATTATTGTCAGTGTACAAAAATCTTCAATTATTAAATGCATGCGTGTCTTTAGATGAAAAATCATATTAGGTTGATAAATTTGAGAGTTTGATTGAATGAAATAAAATCTTAGCAAAATTGTAGTTATTCAGTAAGACTCAAATGGACTTTTTGAGGGAACTTAAATTGTCTCCCAATTTTGTTTCATTTTCCCACACTTTTGGGCTGTGCTTTCACAGATGCTTTAAGATTAATAAGCTCCTTTTTTCCCTACCTATTTACTGGTAGCTTAAGAGCTTACTCCAGGTACGCTTGGATTGGTAGGTGAGCTTACGGGTTCAATCTGAAATAATTTGCTAACACTAGCCCTGGCAAGAGCAGTGCTTTGAAGAATCTACCAACAGATCGAAATCGCAACCCACTGGAGAAAATCCGGCGAGTAACTCTGGTTTATAAACCACTGTTATTACACATTTGGTTCTGAAGAAGCACAAAGTTAACAAAAACAATTTTGCCGCTCGCGTTCCCCCTAACAAGTGAATACTTTTTTTTTTAAATGTATTTTATGACCTGGTAACTTAAACCTTTAAGTCATGTCTTATTTTAATTTATAATTGTTATTTTTATGAAAAATTATATTATGGAGTGAAATGAAACGAAGATGATTAATTTGAGATATTAATCAACTGGGATGAAATTAAATGAAATGAGATGATATGGGATGAAATATAATCTCGGTAAAATGATGGTCATTTACTGAGATTTTTTCAGTGGACTTTTTGGAGGATCCCGAGAAGTTACGTCCAGCGGCTTTGTTTAATTTTCCCACATATGTGCACTTTCATAGATATTAAACAGTTAATAAACCACCGTTATTACACATTTAAATCTGAAGAAAAACTAAATAGACAAAATAAAAACAAATCACACAACTTCACTCCTCGCGTTCCCGCCAAAGAGTCCCAGTGAATACCAAATATAAGATTTAGTGTTGCCATGTTTTATCGTTAAGAGTGTTGTTTTAAATATTTATTGTTTTTAAATTCTCGAATCTCACGTAATAAGACTAGTAAAATGAATATCTTCATTGAAGAATCGTGTGATGCGCAGAGGTTGACTCAGATCAGACGCTGCCTCTGATTTTGATTGTTTTATTGAGTTTAATAAATTATTCGCATTTTTATTAGTTGTTTTATTGTGACGTGCAATACCGTCTTTACCATAAGGGCACACGGGGCCCGTGCCCAGGGCCCCCATTCTCAGAGGGCCCCGAAAGACCGAAAATTTCTCTCACACGTTTATTCTCAAAACATTTTTGTCGGGCACATTACACTTTTTTCACAAATCAGTAATCAGAAGGTATTTACAAGGCATATACTATGCCTATGATAGAAGGTTTTGCTCAACAGAAATCCCGAAAGAAACCGTTATCGAAATCGTAACCAAAAAACCAGGAGCATTCTAATATCATTAATGACATATATCATACTGTATTTGATTACCTATAATAAATGGTCTCATACTCAGTAAAAAAATGTTATTATAATTCGCTTTTTTTACTTTCCAAAAGGGGCCCAAATTCTTGTGTCCCCAAGGGCCCCATCCTAGTTTAAGACGTCTCTGGTGACGTGTGGGGGTATTTGTGAGCGAAATTCATATTTCCTGTAATGTGCTCAGTGCGAGTTTTTTAACGTTCTCGATAGCGTAAAAGTTAACTCAACAAACGTAGGCAAACGATCCCAACGTTTTTGTACTGGTAGTACGACTTCTTGTGAGTCCGCACGGGTATATACCACCATCACCCTGCCTATATCTGCCGTGAAGCAGTAATGCGTTTCGGTTTGAAGATTGGGGCAGCCGTTGTAACTATACTTGAGACCTTAGAACTAATATCTCAAGGTGGGTGGTGCATTTTTCGTTATAGATGTCTATGGGCTTTAGTAACCACTTAACACCACGTGGGCTGTGAGCTCGTCCACAAATCTAGGCAATAAAAAAAAATACGTAAACATATGAGATCTTGTATATTACACTGTCACTAATTACTCTAGTCATTAAATATATTAAATTTCCTAACTCAGCATACTTCAATCAGTTAACAACTGCTCAATTCATATCATACCCTGTGCCTATGCTAGCGCCATTCTGGGGGATTTTCGAACTGTTATTTAGTGCTGAAAGTGGGACACTTCTTCAAGCTTCTACCACATGAGACGGTTCTCCTTACCTCTACCCTCCATAGGTCAGATGTTACGCGCCGCATGAGCAATTTTTTTTTTTTTTTAATACTTTATTTCAGTTTTCTTTTTTTTTTTAAACCATAACATTTTGTTAGTAATAATTACTTATAATCTATGTTAGTAACTTAAAAAAATCTAACACATAACTATCATTATATACATTTCATACCATTACATTTATTTATTTTTTCTCCTTCCGAATGCCTACTGCAAAGGCTATTGATCAGCAGTCCCTCGATATTGCTCGATATGATTCTCAAAAGACTGTGCAATCCCCACCTCTTCCGGTTTGTCGTGAGCCCAGTACACTCATATAATCCGGCTAGCATCAGAAATGATTCAATCTCTTCGAATGATTCTCTTGCCACATTTTTATACTATCAGTATCAGGGGTAAATAAATAAAAAAGGATGATAATAAAAATTTATTTATTTCATTGACTAGAATACATAAACAGTACAAGATATTGATGAGAACAACATTGATTACTATTATATATAGATTTCATAAAAATATTTACATTTATCTTCATTGATTATTCGACTGTGATCACCGGCTTTCATAGATACATCCAGCTAGAGGTGTGACGTCAAGAACTCATCATTGAAATATTTTTGTCGCCTTGAATACTGGCGTTTTGGAACGAAGTTCCTTATGGGACGATACGGAGGGGTACCGGGAAAGAACGTCCGTAACGTAAGATTTTTTATTATTTATGTATAGTCTTAGTTAGATGGCTATACATGGAAAATTTTGATTCGAGCCCTTACACCCCAGCAGAGGGTAATAGGAAATATAATGGTGATGATCATTATTATTATTATTCATATATATAGCTGTTTCTTTGTATATTATTATAATATCTTTTTTATAAATCATTTTGAATAAAATAAAGTCGATAACTTCGTAAAGAACTTTTTTTTTATCAATAAAAAAATTATAATAAAAAATGCATACCCGAATAATTATTTTCTTTATACCTCGAATAGAACTTTAAATTAATATTTTTCATAATAAGGAACTTCGTTCCTATCCGGTGTCCCTCGACACCACACATCTTTCTTTTTTCTTCGGATAAATAAAATCAAATTTACTACTGCGCGTTTATTATGTCTATGTGCTTAGTGCGAGTTTTTTAACGGTCTCGATAGCGTAAAAGTTAGCTCATCTTTGTATGGAATGGAATCGTTTGCCTACGTTTGCCGCTAGGGGCGCTGTTCCAACTGCATACAAAATTGTGTTGACTTTTACGCTATCGAGTACGTTAAAAAACTCGCACTAAGCACACTGATGTTTTGAATTAGTTTACTGTTTACGTGATCGCAGACGACGGAGGCGACGTTTGTCAGCGACATCGCGTTCTTCAAATCGTTAAAGTATTTTAATTAACCCTTTGACTGTCGTGTAGGTCACCGGTGCCCTACGCACTGCACTGAAATAATTATGACGATTTCTGTTTTCACTAAGGCGTCGGAATATCTAGTCGACTCTGGGATAGACTAAACCGTAGATACTGAGAATGGATCTATGGCTAAGAGATCTAAGTCTAAAAAAAAAAAAACATTAACAAACAAAAGAAGGCAAAGAGTTTGGCAATCCAAGCGCCTTAGTAATAAAAGTCTACATAATTACTTCAATTAAGATCTGTAATATGTGAAATCGTACATATGTTAAAAAAAAGTCGAAATTCATTATAATTAGAATCGATTTCGTCATTAAAAACGGAAAATCACAAATCACAGAGATACAAGTAAGTATATACCGTAATATAATTACAAACATGAACACTTCGCCTTTTCGCATTAAAAGTGTATAATTTCCAAAAATATTCGAAATTGAGTTAATATGCGGAATCATTTGGTATCACCACTATCTTTCTCATAAATACTGTCAAAAGAGCGTAGTTTAGTTTTAGTTTTTTTACTTACCTATGTTTTGACTACTATTAACAAAATTAATACATAATTTTATCTTACTTTAAAAGACAGATAATGTAAGTGGTAAAAAATAAAAAATAAATGTTGCAAAGATGATTAATATAAAAAATATCACAATATGTTAAACCTTTAGAACACTCTCCTGTAAGTTTTGAGATTATACAGTTTTAATGCGAGAAAACGATTTGTGCTCCAAGCATAATAATAAATTTAACAAAACATATCCTTCTATCGGATCGAGGGGTGAAAGGTTATCTTATATCTTTAAACGACCAATTCTTGTATATAAATATATACATATTATTATATAATCTGAATCTCGGAAACGGCTCCAACGATTTTCATAAAATTTATTATACAGTGAATTACGAGGGCGATAAATCGATCTAGCTACGATTTATTTTCAGAAAATGTTGTCTTATTCGTGTTTTCAATAATCAAATTTATCGATAAATTTGATTTTTTCTTTAAATAACCAGTTCATATTTTTTTATTATTCTGTCGGTAAAATCGAAAAATATAATTCATATTTCATCATTTTATCAATATGTAATTCGTATTAAAATATAATTTCTAAAAAACACAATTTATCAAAAAAAATAGAACCGATCATTATCTAGTTAGGATATTTATCTTTGTAATTATTAAAGGTCCGTTTTTTTTGGTATCAGCATCAACAGTTCGCCATTTTTAATTGAACTTCAAATAAGTTTACTCCATTCAAAAAACAGGTTTTTTATTTATTGCCCTTGTAGGCGAGCACACGGCCCACCTGATGGTGAGTGGTTACCGTCGCCCATGGACCTCAGCAATGACAGGGGCAGAGCCAAGCCGCTGCCTGCCGCTTAATACTCTCCACAATCCTCGTTGCTTTGCAAGCTAAAGAATCTTTTTTTTGTTACGATATTTTTTACAAATGCTTAAACTTTAAATGGCTCTACTGCGAAGCTGTAAAAAAAAGCCGCTTAACCTCAATATCTTTTCACCCCTCGATATACTAATATTTATTTTCAAAGAAGATCAAAATAATTAAAATCGATTAGTAGCATATAAAAGCTTTGACGAACTATCTCTATATATGGAATAACAATGCTTCAGGACCTTTTTATCATTATAAGTTACGACCAATCTGATACCGGGAGTGGAGTGGAAGATCAGTCTAGTATATATCATGTGGAATAACAACGGTGAAGGAATAACATCGTGTAATAAAAATGAAACCCGCAAAATTATAATTTGCGTAATTACTGGTGGTAGGACCTCTTGTGAGTCCGCGCGGGTAGGTACCACCACCCTGCCTATTTCTGCCGTGAAGCAGTAATGCGTTTCGGTTTGAAGGGTGGGGCAGCCGTTGTAACTATACATGAGACCTTAGAACTTGTATCTCAAGGTGGGTGGCGCATTTACGTTGTGGATGTCTATGGGCTCCAGTAACCACTTAACACCAGGTGGGCTGTGAGCTCGTCCACCCATCTAAGCAATNTCGCTCTATACTTGAGGTGTGATTTTTTGTTTTACAAGTTATAATTGCACAACACGGCACTATAAAGCGGAGATCTGTTCGCCAAGTAGTCCGAAGCGCACTAAACGCGGTGAATGAAAGAATCGGTCGAGTTATGTTTGTTCTATCATAACTGTGGCACGCTTGCCCCGCCTACATTACCATTCCAACCTTATTTATCTATTCCGTGATGGCGATACATGGAAAATTTTGATTCGAGCCCTTACACCCCAGCAGAGGGTAATAGGAAATATAATGGTGATGATCATTATTATTATTCATATAAATAGCTGTTTCTTTGTATATTATTATATTTTTTATAAATCATTGTGAATAAAATAAAGTAGACAACTTTGTAAAGTTTTTTTTTATCAATAAAAAAATTATAATAAAAAATGCATACCCGAATTTTCTTAATATCTCGAATAGAACTTTAAATTAATATTTTTCATAATAAGGAACTTCGTTCCTATCCGGTGTCCCACGACACCACACATCTTTCTTTTTTCTTCGGATAAATAAAATCAAAATTTACTACTGCGCGTTTATTATGTCTGTGAGCTTAGTGCGAGTTCTTTAACGTTCTCGATAGCGTAAAAGTTAACTCATCTTTGTATGGAATGGAATCGTTTGCCTACGTTTGCCGCTAGGGGCGCCGTTCCAACTGCATACAAAATTGTGTTGACTTTTACGCTATCGAGTACGTTAAAAAACTCGCACTAAGCACACTGATGTTTTGAATTAGTTTACTGTTTACGTGATCGCAGACGACGGAGGCGACGTTTGTCAGCGACATCGCGTTCTTCAAATCGTAAAAGTACTTTAATTTAAATAAACCCTTTGACTGTCGTGTAGGTCACCGGTGCCCTACGCAACGCACTGAAGTAATTATCTAGATTTCTGTTTTTACTAAGGCGCCGGAATATCTAGTCGACTCTGGGATAGACTAAGCCGAAGATACTAAGAATGGATCTATGACTAAGAGACCTAAGTCTAAAAAAAAAAACAAAAATTAACAAACAAAAGAAGGCAAAGAGTTTGGCAATCCAAGCGCCTTAGTAATAAAAGTCTACATAATTACTTCAATTAAGATTTGTAATATGTGAAATCGTACATATGTAAAAAAAGTCTAAATTAATTATAATTAGAATCGGTTTCGTCATTAAAAACGGTAAATTACAAATCACAAAGATACAGGTAGGTACATACCGTAATATAATTACAAACATCAGCATTTGGTCTTTTCGCATTAAAAGTGTACAATTTCCAAAAATATTCGGAATTGAGTTAATATGCGGAATGATTTGGTATCACCAGTATTTTACTAATAAATACCTACTGTCAAAAGACCGTATTTTAGTTTTAGTTTTTTTTTATTTACTTACCTATGTTTTGACTACTATTAACAAAATTAATACATAATTTTATCTTATTTTAAAATACAGATAATGTAACTGGTAAAAAATAAAAAATAAATATTGCAAAGATGATTAATATTAAAAATATCACATGTTTATACCTTTAAAACACTCTCCTGTAAAATTAGTAAGTTTTGAGATTATACAGTTTTAATGCGAGAAGACGATTTGTGCTCCAAGTATATTAATAAATTTAACAAAACATATCCTTCTATCGGATCGAGGGGTGAAAGGGTATCTTATATCTTTAACGAGCAATTTTTGTATATAAATATATAGATAATATATAATCTGAATCTCGGAAACGGCTCCAACGATTTTCATAAAATTTAGTTTAAATGGGATTTCGGGGGCGATAAATCGATCGAAAAATATAATTCATATTTCATCATTTTATCAATACGTAATTCGTATTTAAATATAATTTCTAAAAAACATAATTTATCAAAAAAAAAAACCGATCATTATCTAGTTAGGATATTTATCTTTGTAATTAAAAGTGCGTTTTATTTGGTATCCAGCATCAACAGTTCGCCATTTTTAATTGAATTTCAATAAAGTTTACTCCATTAAAAAAATAGGTTTTTTATTTATTGCCCTTGTAGGCAGACGAGCACACGGCCCACCTGATGGTGAGTGGTTACCGTCGCCCATGGACCTCAGCAATGACAGGGGCAGAGCCAAGCCGCTTAATATTTTCCACAATCCTCGTTGCTTTGCAAGCTGAAGAAGCTTTTTTTTGTTACGATATTTTTTACAAATGCTTAAACTTGAAATGGCTCTGCTGTAAAAAAAAGCCGCTTAACCCAAATATCTTTTCACCCCTCGATATATTAATATTAATTTTCAAAGAAGTTCAAAATAATTCAAATCGATTAGTAACATATAAAATCTTTGACCTACTTATCTCTGTATATGCAATTACAATACTTCAGGACTCTTTTATCATTATAAGTTACGACCAATCTGATACCGGGAGTGGAGTGGAGATCAATCTAGTAAGCTCTAGTATATATCATGTGGTTATTCAAGTCAAAAACTTGTCTAAAAGTATCGAAATATCAATAATATACAATGAGACTTGAATGAGCGTGAATGAGGATATGCGATGGAAGGGTGTGAGCGCGGAGATAATCCTGAATGGAAGAGAAGCCTGGATAGGATAGGCCTGAATGGAAGATGTGGATTTGCAGACCCTGCGTAGTGGGATAATTCAAGAAGAAGACGTTACTAAAATATCATGAGCCCTTCTCTCTCTCCTTTTTTTTTAAACTATTGCATAGCTTTTATCGCGGGCCTTGAGCGCGGCGACCGAATCATGAAATTCCGTAACGAAAAAAACCTAACACCCCTTACTCCGCCTACCATGTAGCTCGCGTTCAACACATTCACACGTTGCGCTTGTGTAGTGTTGGTGAATAAGCGCGCGGCGTGACGTCACACTGCATGCGCATCATGAAAAGTCTGTCCATCTTTCTCTCTCGCGCGGTCTAGCTTATGAGTGTGAAGGGGACAGTTAAGGTTTTGCTTTTAGTAATGTTTAATATAGCGTGGTCTTGTTTTATTATTGTTTTAATATTAAATTATCATTGTCTAATTATGATTGTACAAGTTGTTAAAAAATGCTATGCAATAGCTTTACCGCGGCAGTTCCCGAGTGCCACACGTTTTTTTTTATTGCCCTTGTAGGCAGACGAGCGCACGGCCCACCTGATGATGAGTGGTTACCGTCGCCCATGAACTTCAGCAATGCCAGGGGCAGAGCCAAGCCGCTGTCTACCGCTTAATACTCTCCACAAGCCTCGTTTGAAGAAGGACATGTCATAGCGCTCGGGAAACCTGCGTCGATAATCCTCAATGCTGAGGGTCGTGACCCCCTCTAATAACTTTCACCTGGATTATCCTGTGCCACTCCTGCCTATACTTGGCTGTGAGGATAACAACTAACTCTGAAGTGTTGAGAGTAGAGCGTAAATGAGCTCCCTAGGTGACTAAATATTTTCCATTGACTATAGGGTAAGTTTTTTTCCTCCAAAAAGTCCACTGAAAAAATCTCAGTAAATGACCACCATTTTACTGAGATTATATTTCATCCCATATCATCTCATTTCATTTAATTTCATCCCAGTTGACTAATGTCTCAAATTAATCATCTTCATTTCATTTCACTCCATATTATCATTTTTCATACAAATAAGAATATTATTAAGTTAAAATAAGACATGACTTAAAGGTCTTAGTTACCAGGTCATAAAATACCTTAAAAAAAACAAAACATCACCACGTTGTGACTCCGCCAAGTTTTGAATAGATAAAGCAACGCTCAAGGTACTTCGTTTATTCCCGTCAAGACGCATTGATCTATCAACAAATCACCGCAGATCACTTCGGACTGAAAAGCGTTTACAAAAACACAAAATCCATTAGCGTATCCAGTATATTCAGGAGTGGAATGATGAATCTAGATTTGTTTTCATCTTCAGTTTTCCGATCATTGTCCCGCCTTTCGCGTTTAGCGTCGCCTTCTGAAAGAGCGCTGGACTTATAGGCTGACTGCAAAACAAACAATTGACGGTACCTTGAAATAAACGCCTCTGATCAAATTCAAAGGGTTTTTTTTTTTATTGGTGTTTAGTGGTTACTGGAGCCCATAGACATCATTATTATTTCTCACCCCCACAAAGATTCTCATCATTAACGCCCCCACAACTGGTGTAGGGAGTCCAACGCTCATATAAATATTAGTCTATCCATTAAGTACATGTATTTTCTACATGGATACCAAGTTTCAAGTTTCAGCGGCTTGGCTCTGCCCCTGGCATTGCTGAAGTCCATGGGCGACGGTAACCACTCACCATCAGGTGGGCCGTATGATCGTCTGCCTACAAGGGCAATAAAAAAAAAATAAAAAAAATCAATCGGATGCACGGTTCAGTAGTTATAACGGAACATCCGTAAAAACCCACTGTAGATTTATATATTAGTATAGATATACACTTAATTGACTTGGACTGCATTGATGATAATCTCATCTCACTTTTTGACTGAATCAGTGGTGCAGTAGTTATCGGCCCTGACTGTCGCGCCGTGGGTCGCGGGTTCTATTCCCGCATCGGGCAAACATACTTGTCATGAACAAGTTTGATTGCTCTGTGTCTGGGTGCCTTTTTTTATTTTTATTTATTGCTTAGATTGGTGGACGGACGATTTCACAGCCAACCTGGTGTTAACTGGTTACCGGAACCCATGGACATTTACAACCAAACGCCTCCCACTTTCAGCTATGGGTTCTAAGGTCTCAGTATAGTTACAACGGCTGCCCCACCCTTCAAACCGAAACACATTACTGCTTCACGGCAGAAATAGGCAGGGCAGTGGTACCTACCCGCGCTCACGAGAGGAACAAGGCGGTTCTCGGTCGCGAATCATACCTGGGTACTCGTTGGGTTTGTAGGAGGTCTCCTCCCCTGCCATCACCCTGGGGTAGATCACCGGAGTATTGTCCTGGTACACGCGGATCTTGTACTCGGATTGTTCGTAGGCCCAGTGACCAAATATCCCGACGCCTTGAATGGATATTTGAAACGTTATTGCAGTCCACGGACTTAATAACGTGCAACAAAGTCAAGTGCTATCCGTGCACTGGTGTATCGAAGTCTCAAATTGGAACTTTGGTAGGCAGCGGCTCGGCTCTGCACCTGGCATTACTGAAGTTCATGGGCGACGGTAACCACTCACCATCAGGTGGGCCGTACGCTCATGTGCCTTCAAGGAAATAAAAAACTATTTTATATAAAGGCAAGCGGAACACAAATATGACAAGATTGTGGTACCTATACTTAGTCTGGCCATAAATACTGTTACAATTAAAATTAAAAAAAATCTATTGCATATAATATTTATTACTTTTACAGTATGTTAGTTTAATACATAAATAGAAAACAATTTAAAGTATAAAAAGCTTATTCGAAGTGGTCTCCATTGGCTGCAATACAGTCCTTTAAACGTTGAGGCCAGTTATCAATAGAAGCACGCACTCTTTCCATGGGTAAATTTTTCACTGCCAATCGTACGGATTGTTTTAGGGACTCCAAATTATCATGCCGTTTAGAGCAAGCCGTACTCTCTAAAACTGACCATAAATCATAATCCAGCCAACCATTCTTGATTATTGAACATGGTGTTGTTGTTAAGGGGCTTCACTACCTTCTCAAGAATGGTATCTTGATACACTTGTGCCAATGTTTTGATACCTTTTCTACAAAAGTATGGCTCAGCCACTCCTTCATAGCTAATACCCCACCAAACCATCACTGAAGTCGGATAATGCCCACGTTGCACTCTGTCGACTAATTGGGAAACTTCCTTAGAGCTTTGAGCATAAATACAGTCATTTTGTTTGTTAAAATGTTGCTCAATTGTAAAAAATTTCTCATCCGTAAACAAAACTTTTCTATGACCTCCCTTTGCGTACCGCTTCAGTAGTTGTTTCGATTTTACCACCCTATTCTCTTTTAAATTATCAGTTAAGAAATGACCAGTACGTCTCTTATAGGCTGCAAGTCCTAAGTCATCTTTTAAAATACGCGACATGGTTCTAGGTGCTATCTTCCTCTCCCGAGATAAAATCTTTTGCTTTCGGACAGGATTTCTTCGAATTCTTTCCCTTACTGCTTTGACCACCTTTTTCGTACGAACACTACGTGGACGGCCAGATCTTTTTCTGTCACAAACAGAGGAGGTCTCATTGCACCTATTAATAGCCCGGCGCACAAACATTTTACTAATACCAAGCATATGGAGAGTTTTAAAAATTGCATTTGGCTCCATACCTACTTTGTGTAATGCAATCACAGCGATTCGGTTCTCTTTATCACCCCACTCCATTTTAATATCGCAAAATATTGTACAATGTATTGGCGCCAAAATGAGATATCAATGAGCAATCATATAAAAATGACAGATTCCAAATTCAAATATAATATTTTGTTTATTTTTAATTGTAACAGTATTTATGGCCAGACTAAGTACATACGGGCCACAATAAACTATATGCTTTGGTTTTTTTTCCTACCTAAGCTGATAGCCTTGAGAGGCTATGTCAGCGTAACTTTAACTGGTAGGTGAGCTCACGGGGATCAAACCTGACGACGTTGCTAACACGAATCCTAGCAAGAGCTGTGCTTCGCAGAATCTACCACCGGATCGGAAACGCGACCCACTGACAAGATCCGGCGAGAAACTCAGTGGGCTGTGTCTGAGGGTTAATTTACTCGTCGAGCCCTTCGTCGCAAGCGACGGGTTCAACGAGAATGATGACCGGATGCATCCTCTGCAATGTATCCTCAGCGGTAGGCAGCAGCTGATGCCTCAGATCCTTCAATTATTCTAATGCAGTAACCGTACACCATTGAGTTGGTGATTTGATTATATTTATACTGCTTATTACACAAATATTAACACGAAATAAATTATTGAATTCAATCAGACAGCATAAGTGATTAAAAATTAAACCTGCAATTGCTATCAAATCATCCATAGTTATTGCAGTCTGTCTTTTTGTTATCTATATGTGAAGCAAAAACTATGTACCCCTTTTTACCAAAATTGTGCAGAGAGGAGTATAAAACTTCCCACACTTGAAGCAGTGCAGAATGTTAATTTTTTATTTAATCATGCATAAAAAATATTGTAAATCAATAAAATAAAAACATTACACACACTACCATGTATTTGATACAACCCATATAGTTATATGCTTTGTTTGTTGTCAAATTTTTGTTATTGTTTCCGCCGTTAATTAAACTAAATTTACTCTTTCTAAATAACATGTTTAATAACTGTCATACCTATCGGTCTGAGATAGTCATCAGGGATGTACACAACATCGAGACCGCATGTAGTGGAGCTGTATTCATTCTCGAACACTTCGTAGCCAGGTCTGTGAACAAAAAAACAACAACAACTTTTTTACGAGACCCCGCTGTATAGTGAACCATTGGGTCATTCAATAATCACTATGTTGGACGGTTAAATTTGAGGGGACTGGGTTCTGGAGGTGAGAGACTACTGAAAAAAAACACTCTGCTTCATGGTTAATATAATTATATTGCAAATACTTTGTACACTATTACACCATTACAATATTTTATTTATATAAAACTAAGATGTTGCTCTGTCCGTGTCTAGATGAGAAGTCATTGTCTTCACTGAAGAGAAGACAATAATTTGTTTTAAACAGTTAAATAAGCATTCCAATATACGAAATCTGTAACCTTACATGTGTCAAGTGTTGCCTACCATTACTTTCATATTCAAACTCCAACACACTATAATAGTGCCTTTTTTTTCCTACCTAAGCTGATAGCCTTGAGAGGCTATTTCAGCGGAACCTTAACTAGTAGGTGAGATCACGGGGCTCAAGCCTGACGACGTTGCTAACACGAACCCTAGCAAGAGCAGTGACTTGCAATATCTACCACCGGATCTAAAACGCGACCCACTGAGAAGATCCGGCGAGAAACTCAGTGGGCTGTGTCTGAGGGTAACAGTGCCAGTGCTAGCTTACGGAGAGTAGGAGAGGAAAAATTTAATTACAATTCGTTCGCTAATAAACAAACAAAACGACCGGTTCGTTCAGGGAATGTTAATGTTGTTGTTGTTATGTTGAATGTTGTCCTTACATACTGTAACGATGATTTTACACACTAACCTCATGTGATATGCGACATAAAGATCAGCGTCGCCGGATAACGACCTCAACTCTATCGACAGAGGTCCAGTGTATCCCAAATGCCAGTACGTAAAGTTTCCTGCGCCAACGATTCCGGATGCAACGTTCAAAAGCAATTTATTCGGCTGTCGTTCTGGTAAAGCGCTGAACAAGGACGAAAGAGTAGAAGCGCATATTATTCCTAAAAGTATTATTATAAATTTGCGGCGCATTTTACTAAAACTTAATGTATTAACTTTGTTTAGGTTTAAAAAAACATATTATTTGGAAATTTTGAAAACCATTAAATGTCAAAATTTGTCATATTTGTTTTTTTTATTGGTTTCTATTGACGAGCAAAGGGAACATAGTCCAGACTTATATTTTTTTGGAACAAAGACCAAAAATATTGAGTGAAATATTGGGTACCGTCTGGCGCATGTGCGACCGAAAAAATCTAGTAGGCCATGATCCCCGTCATTTACAAAAAATAAAAGCACTGTGCATTTTTACATAAAATACATAAATATTTTATTATTTTATTTAGAGCCGCTTTTATTTAAGCGTCCTAAACGTTCATGTATGGTCTCTTTAATTAAGCACCATGGAGGATAGAGGTAAAGAGCACCATCTTGTATATGAGACAAGTTGAGAAAGTATCCACCTGTAAACAGCGTGCTATTGTTGGAAGACTCACCGACATAGCGCTAGCATAGGAAGGGTCAGGGACGTCTTAAACTACGATGGGGCCCTTGGGCACACAAGAATTTGAGGCCCTTTTGGAAATTAAAAAAAGCGAATTATAATAACATTTTTTTACTGAGTATGAGACCATTTATTAAAGGTAATCAAACACAGTATGATATAATATGTCATTAATGATATTAGAATGCTGCTGGTTTTTTGGTTACGATTTCGATAACGGTTTCTTTCGAGATTTCTGTTGAGCAAAACCTTCTATTATAGGCACAGTATATGCCTTGTAAATACCTTCTGATTACTGATTCGTGAAAAGTGTAATGTGCCCAACAAAAATGTTTTGAGAATAAACGTGTGGGAGAAATTGTCGGTCTTTCGGGGCCCCCTGAGAATGGGGGCCCTGAGCACGGGCCCCGTGTGCCCTTATGGTAAAGACGGTATTGGGAAGGGTATATGATTAGATAGGTATAACATTTTAAACAGAGTGAAGTGTGCTGAATTGACGTGAAGCGTGGTAGTTAATGAATTAAATAAAAATATATCAGCTTTGTTTTACAAAACTTAGTTTTATCTCTATGGTTTTATTCGAGACAGTTCTATCACAGACCAGTAATTACGGACTTATATAGATTTAATTAAAGTATAAACTAGAGATGTACTCATACAACATGAGTCGATAAAGAAAGGTTCTATTTTCTAATTTCAACAGTAGTTATGAACCCGTGGCCTAAAAGATAAGACATCCGGTGCATACGTGTTGAGCGATGCACAGGTGTTCGAATCTCAGGCGGGTATCAAATTTTCTAATGAAATACGTACTCAACCATTGTTCACGATTGACTTCCACTGTGAAGGAATAACATCGTGTAATAAAAATGAAACCCGCAAAATTATAATTTGCGTAATCACTGGTGGTAGGACCTTTTGTGAGTCCGCACGGGTAGGTACCACCACCCGCCTATTTCTGCCGTGAAGCAGTATTGCGTTTCGGTTTGAAGGGTGGGGTAGCCGTTGTAACTATACCGAGACCTTAGAACTTATATCTCAAGGTGGGTGGCGCATTTACGTTATAGATGTCTGTGGGCTCGTCCACCCATCTAAGCATTAAAAAAAAAACCAGGAATTACAGACTTAGATTACAGACATAGATTATATTAAAGTATAAACTAGAGATGTACTCATACAACATGAGTCGATAAAGTAAGGTTCAATTTTATAATTTCAACAGTATTTTAAAGCGCTGTTTTTAAATCTCTCCACTAGCTACGGTTGTGATGGTACTCTCCCTTTTAGCGGACATTTTCTAATACACTGAGATGGTGCTTCTTGCTTCTACCCTCTATATTAAACACTCTTATCTGTGTAGTATTTATAGTAATGTCTCTATTGAGTTGTATAAACTCTCTTGCAGGCGCTTTTGGAGGCAGCTGTTAGCAAATTCCACCCCTCCTGGATGACTCCGTACTCGCCCACATGTCCTGGTAAAACTGGAAAGGTCACTAGGATTACTATCCTCCAAACGCTTTGAAGTCTTTCTACCTAGATTTGGTAGTGGACTTCTTAGTCGCCACAAAATTATAGAATCACAATTGAATTTTTCTGGAGCGACAAGCGCTAATGGATTATATCAAAATACGTAATAATGTTTTTCTTTAGTCATTTCCTGTTACAATTGCAATGACAAATACTAAAGGTTCTTGGTATCAATGATTCTTCTTCTGCCTTAGATAAGATAAAACGTTAACGATGTACAAAGATATTTGATAAAGTAATTTATACGTCATAGCGATAAAGGATTTTTATTTTTATTTTATAAACAAAAGTGCTCGATGGGTAAGTACACACAATGATGTTTTGGTATTGCTACGCGCTGGGGTTCATCGTCATGGAGAGATCGTCCACCCATCTAAGCAAATATAAAAAAAAAACGCGGTGGATTATGAATTCTTGGTATTTTAGTAAAAATGTGTTATTATTGATGAAATACAAATCATAGAACACAAAACGGGTGAAAGCAAAAGAAACAGTAAAAGAAGAAACCGAATCTCTGTCTATGGCGCGTTGCACAATACTATTGGTGTAACCACGGAGGTTTGACGTCAGTCCGGTCGTCCAACTTATGCCAAATTCCAATTCCTCTATGCGGCATGATAACAGGTCATGCTTAGAAGATCCCACGTTATGACGGATAAGGGGGAGAGAAAAAATATGTGTGTGTGTGCAAGTCACACACGGTAGAAGTGAAACTTATAAAAACTAAGAATAATCGCAACTTCGCAAGGGTCAACCACCAACCACTCCGCAGAGCAATGGAGCAACCTCACCCTGGGGGAACCGTCTGCATGATCACGGTATTTCCACGCCAGGTAAGTATGATTTAGCAAGAGAAATACGAGAACGTCTATCAACTGTGTAACATCTCGTCATCGCGATTCAGGAATTGTTGAATTTACGTGCTAAATAGAAATAATTGTAAATCATCTTTTATAGTATGAGGTACCGCCCTCTGTGAATTGATATTTTAACTTCACGTTTCATTTTTTCGTTTCATCGACTTTGAAATCACATCACAGCGATCCTAAAGAAGTTTCACTTCAAAAAGGAGTTATTCCCTCATAGTACTTCATCATGCTGCGGTAATTGGAGAGGAGAGAATGTCATAGTGGTCGTACCATGGTCGATACTGTTACACCGGTATGAGTAACGCCATTTATCGCCGAATAGCCGAACGAATATTGAAGGATCTAGTAGCATCTAGAACGCTCGAGAAGTGCAACGCTATCTATTGTCAGATAGCGGAAACACCATACTCGACTTATGTGGAATATTCTAGAAAATTGTAGGGATGTCATATCAACTATAAAAGCGTTGCAGAGATGGCACGCAGTCAGTTAGTGATCGAATGTACTCGAAGTGAAACAGCGGACAGATCACCTGAAGCGAAGCGGAGGAAGTGAAGGGAGAATTTTAAGGTGCTTGCTAAGTGTTTTAAGTGTTAAATGCAGTTTTGATTTGCACTTCAGTAGAATTTTTATTCATCCTGCACCCCGGCGCGTAACAATATTAATCCGTGGGACTGTGGTAATAGTTTCAGGGCGTGTACGATGAGATCGCACCCATCCCTTTCTTAAGCGAAGTAAACATGCTCAAGAGGTCATGATTCTTCGAGATATCGGCGCGGCACGATAACCCTCTTATCATGGCGACCGCAAAATACATCCCCGACCCGGACGACGCGGGGCAAGGAATAACTAACATTCATGTATTGTCGGATCCTCCGATCCACTCTGAATGCTTTTATTTATTCTAAGCACCGGTGGTCGTTCTCTTCGACGAGAAATGTAACCCACAGACACAGCCCACTGAGTTTCTCGTCGAATCTTCTCAGTTGAGTTCTATAGACTTTTCTTAGGCTCCGTCAATATAGTGTTAAGGTAAATGTCTAAGCTAAAGATCGCAGCAGATGGAGGGGGATCGTACGGGAGAAGCTGATGCAGCGGCGGAGTCACGACCCTCAGTAATGAGGAAAACGTTGCGAGGAGGAGGAAATGTCTAAGAGACTGGACCATAAGAAATAAATATTGACAATTGTGATCTAACCGTGCCTAACTGTGCCCCTTCAAGCCGAAACGCATTACTGCTATACGGCAGAAATAGGCGGCGTGGTGGTACCTTACTGTGCGGACTCACAAGAGGTCCTACCACCAGTAAATTAATAAAAAACCAGTAAAGTCAAATCATTTTTTCTTACACTATTTTTAATTCAAATTTATTAAACTTTGTTTTCTATTTTTTATTTAGATTTTCTATAAAAACGTATTTTGTTAGTTTTTTTAAACTATTATTTATTCCAGTGTGTTTTGGACCTCGAGACCGAACAACTTTAATACATAACTATACTTTATTATATGTGTAAGTGGAAACTACTGGAAACCATTTTTAAGTGAAATCCCTAACAAAAAACAGTCTCCCACGATCTTGTCTGTTCCTTTCCGACTCGTTTATAATTAGTGAGTTAAAACGAGACAGAAGATAAGTCGATAAAATATTTCAGCTGTTCAACCTAAATTTGTTCGTTGTGCTGTCTCGTTTCCACTTATAGGGTTCGTAGCTTGAAAGAGTGAAACAAAAGAGGGACAAAAAGAAGACGTCAGCTGTTCACGGCCTCTAGTGGTTTTTTTTTGTGAAGCAAAAGCAGGTTGAAGCATCCTGCCAGCTGTTTTGTATTTTGTAAATATTATTATCATCTTTCAAAATGATTCCTTCGTAAAGGTCTGATTCCGCTATCTGTCTCGTAACTTATTGAAAATAATCTTTGAATCTGAAAATTGTGAATCAGCATAATATGTAAAGACAACCCTTTTTCTTGTAATCTATACATATAAATAAAATTGGAGAGTCTGTTTATAATATTGAAATAGCCTCTCTTTACTACATGCATATGAATGTATATTATATACGGTAAATACACCAAAATAACACTTTTTACAAATTTTGTTTGTCTGTTTGTTCCGGCTAATCTCTGGAACGTCTTTTAAGTTTATTTTATGTCTTTTATTTATCGATTGAGGCACTACGA